TCTGATCAGTTGCATAAACCGCTGTTTCCTTCCGCCCAGAGTATGGAGCAATGGATTTCAAACGGGCACTCGTGCTACAACGGCTACTAGAATTGTATTCGGGCAAAACAGTCAATATATCATGATGATCCCATGACCTGGCAAAAAAGACAACATTCGGTTTTCAGTCACCAACAGGACATGATGATTTACACACTAAAGCTCTTGCAAAAAGAGATTTTACACTGTTTTCTTCAATGCATTTTAGTTACCTCTCTGAGGATACTTAAAGCTTTACACTATAAACAGTATTCCAAAAATTCCCCTCAAAAGTTAAATTGGTATTCTTCTCCTAGGCAACTACGGTCTCCTTCAAAACAGTTTAAATTTGACTGAATGATTTTACTTGATCTGTTTACTAGGACTCTCATAGTTTTAACACACATGCCAATACCATCCAAAGAAGTTTCTCTCATTTTCTTCACTATTGATACTTCCCATACGTTCTAACCATTGTGCTAATCCCATCTAATCTAGTGCGGATCGAATCCAATGTTCTGATTTCTACTTCTTTTAACACTTTTTTTGTTTGTAATTAGTGCCCTTCAAAAGCTCACAATAGAAGGTAAAAATCACATATACTGCAACCCAACATCTGACCTAGACTGTTCAGCCAAAAAAATCCGTCAAACTCATCAGCTAAAAGTTCCAACAAATTGGACTTTCTTTAAACAGCATCTCCTAAAATTTCTCTTAAATGCGATACCAGCATGAGTTCAGTTCACTATTTCGAACATGCCAACAACTAGGGGGGGGGGGGGGGTGTGGTTTCTTCAGCTCACAGTACTTCAAACGAACAAAATAAATTTGAAAACACAGAGCATAAGAATCAACGAACAAACCAGTCAAAGCATCCATCGGTTCCCTGAAGTCGGTATTCAACCGGGTAGGTCATCTTCGGAGGCAACAAGACATTGACGTCAGCTAAGTGTGGCCCGTGAGTGAGCAAAGACGACGTCGCCGCATCGAACCCAAGACAGAGCACGAGAGCAACGAGCAATGCCGGCCAAACAAGCCGCCTCGTCGGGAGGCCTAAGCGCCGCGGTGACATCATCCTCGCCGGAAACAAGTAAACGGGTGAGTGTTCATCAGCTGATGAGGGAATAATGCTCCAATTTCTTCTTCCCCGAAGACTAGGGTTTTGGGAGGGTTTTTCTTTCTCACTGTCCCCTTTTCACCTGAGTTCTCGAACACGGGGACACGTGTGTCTGTTTCATTGGTGGCCGATGGACCGTGGCGCGGGAGTGTTTCCCGGGGACAAGTGTTCTTGTATTTAGTGAAACTGAGTATTTTATCCTTAATAAATAAATAAAAAACAGTACTATTAAGTTACTAAATACTAGTGTTTATCCCGTGTGTTTCATGGGAAATATACGATACGGGTAAAATATGTTCACTTGAGAGATGAGTTGTTTATACTCGTTAAATACTACTATTTCTGTCTAAAAAAAAAAAGTTACATATTAAATTTTTAAATTTACACTATTTTTATTACAAATCTCAAAACTAAATTTGGATTATTTTTTTGGAACGGAGGGAGTAACAAAGTTTAATAGAGTTTAACTATTATTAACGGGATCAAATTTAAAATTTGAAAAGAAAATCAATGGAGTTTAACTATTATTTTTAAAAAAAGTTGAAAATTTGAAAAGTTTTAATTAATAAAATATTCACTAATAATTATTAAATTATGAAATAGTCAGTAAAATTTGAGATATTATTAAAATAAGAAAGAAGATTAAAAATAAAAAAATAATCACATTATTTTTTGGCTTGTCCGCCGCAAATTTTATAAGTTATTTTCTTAATAGACATACCTAAATTCAAAACTAAAATAGTTTTAAAAAAAGTCGTGATTCATTTTCAAAAAAAAAATATAAATATTAAAATAAATAGGTCCTAACTTTTTTAAAGATTGTGGAAACACAAACAGAAAATTTCACAATACATTCATTTATTCATCTATTCTATATGATTTTACGACTTTTAACAAGTGGTTAAACAACAAAAATCGTTATAAATGACATGCTTTAATTAAGTGTTGATTCTCTTTTTCTTTTTGAATTTTGAAAGAACATTGAATGCATTTCCAAATATTTTTTAATATTTTAGGTATATTGAAAAAATTCGAGCAATATATGTAACGGTAGTCCGGTACATAATTGGGACCCTAATAATATAAAATAAAAGTAATAATTAAGAAAGAATACTGATTGTGTTCACTATATTCATCGGTTTTGTAAAAATCCAAAAATATTAGAGAAAGAATGTTTTTGACAAATTGTACAGAAAATGTGTTTTTAAAATGCAAACTCTTCACAAAATTTTTGCGTCGAGGTTCTTGTTGGCCTATTGAAGTTGACAACGAAATCGACGCGAAATTTATACAATTTTTTTTTTTTTTACTTTTTGTATGTGTATTTAAAGTTTGTATCTTTCTAGCTTTTCACCCTAAGTTTTTTTTTTTTTTGTGAGAAAATAATTTTAAATTTATTACTTTTTGCAGTGTTTAAACATATTGTGTAAAACAAATATAAAATGGTAGAACAAATTCAATACATAGAGTTATCCTACTTATTCATATTGCTAAAATCACTTAACCAAGATAAAGAAATCTGTTCAATTGTAATCTTATATATAGTATCGATCATAATATTTGATAAAGTAACCTTCCAAAAATAAATAAATAACTAATCAACATATTGTTTTCCGATTCGTAATAAAATAATACAAACATCCAAATTAAAAGTGGAATAACTTTTTTTTCTTAATGTAAAGAGTACTATTTTAGTTCCGCAAAATGAGTTTCTTTTATTATGGAATGAAGATAGCATTTTATCGTCTTTGTATGCTTATTTGGGAATTTATCGATTCCTCAAGTCTTTAATATAAAAATCAACAAAAGTACTAAATTTTAAATATTATATATGAGGACTCACATGGATGTTTTCAATCATTACGAAAAGAAAAAAGAATTCTTATCATAAAAATAGAATGCATTATACCTAAAATATACGTAAAAAATTATTCAATGTCTTATAGTCAATGGCAAAAATGCCAAAATATTGTTTGCGCTAATTCCCAAGGTGTATAATTTTTCTTACGAGTATGCTTACTAGTTAAAATATACCTCACATTTATATCATTGAATAAAAATGGAATAAAAAAATAAACTTTTAATTATCAGGAAAACGAAATGACATTGTATTTTTTAAAAATTGATTTTTAATAGATATGACTTCTCGGTCAGTCGACCTTGTTAAAAACGTAGCGTTAATTCTTTGATAAATTCTCAAGTTTGAAAGAAATGAAAAAAGAAAACTAGAAAACCGAAAAGATATCCAAAATCAAAATCCTTCACTTACCAATCAAGTTTATTACTACTAGAGTAAATGTCGAACAAATGACAAAAGATAAATTGAAGTAACATCGCAAACAATCTTAAAAATCAACAAGTCATTAAAATCAAACGACTCGCATTCAAGTTCCATCCACCTAATTCTAAAACTGTTACTAAATGAGCAAGACACCCACCAAATTGACTTGTCTTTGTATATTTTTCTGTCTCAAAATGATTATAATTTTATAATTTTATTATCTAAAACTGTTCCATCCACCTATTCAGTTTATAATTTTATATTTAGTTTAAATTGTATTTAAAATAAAATTTCAAACTAAATAATCGTTTTGAAATAATTTTCTTTTTGTTTACAGAAATCAAGGATAGTACCTAGTGGGCGTTTCTCAATTTTGAAATAGATTAAATTTACTTCAGGACATAAAGAATAGCATATTGAGATATAAAAAGCTGATAAAAATTTTGAAATATGGGATGAAAATCTTAATAGAAACCACCTATTTATTGTCTTTTTTAGTTTTGGGAAGAGATAATTTTATTCATTACAATACTATTTTGTGATGCATGTGGTCATGGAATGATTCAATTATTTTTTATAAGCTATATAATTCGTGTTAATACATATATCATAATCACAAATTTTAAATGTAGATAATTTTCCAATTCTTATTTTTTATTAATATTTTATTTTGAATGAAATTTGACTATTTTTTATTGAAGTTTTTAACCATAAAATTAAGATAAGGCCCTAACTCGAAAAAAATGAACCTTAATCATGAAATATATAAGTTTGAAAGCGAATGTGAATTGTATATTTATTAACTTAAATTATATAATTTATAAGAAATAATTGAATGGTGTTATAAAAATTGTCACAAAAAAGTGTCACATGGAATCTTTTGTCACAGTTCATGTGAGCAATTTCACTTGGCCAAAATGTCAATCAATGATTATTATTCACATATATATATATATATATATATATGTATAAACCTTGATCATAAGTCCTATGATAAGCTTTAAAGGTTTGAATGAATTTTTAGTTTTTAGCTCGAACTCTCTTTCATCTACCTAATTTCAAAACTTTAACCAATGATGTTTGTAGACTTTCTGGTGGAGTCGCATAAAGCATTTCAGAAACAACCCAATCCAAGCAATTAGAACTTTAGAAGCCGTGACCATCACAAAAAGCTTTTCATTCTTTGAAAATAATAATAATAATAATAATAATAATTTAGTTCATGGTCATTTGGGAACCGCACAGCCACAGCCCACAAAAGAAGCTGTCTACAGGAATTTGTGGTTGGCAAGTCCTATTAGCTAGTTGCTGCTACACGTCGAATGTGCAACACAGGTTCAAATACTGGTAATTACGTAAATCAAATCATCCTTAATCCTTCATTGTTTGTAACTTAACGTGACAGATTAATCAAATTGGATGTTGTAAGCTAAAGTGTGTTCTTTGCTTCACTTGGAGATAAAATGCTCAAAATATAAAATACTTATAAATTTTTAATCTCAATGGTAAATTAGTTCTTTTTTTAAAAAAAAAAAAAAATACTCCAACTTTCACAATAAATGTATTTATTTTTGGAAGAAGAATGAAAATTTATCGCCTAAGTAAAGTGTATCACCTAATAACTGCTGTTTTAAAAGCATTATTATGATCTCCTCTTCCGTAATAAAAGTCAACCACTTAATATTCCTAACAAAAACAAAGGTGGAATTTTTTCACTCTTTTTTTTTTTTTTTGGCCGGAATGGATGAATGAATTATTCGATGGACAGCATCCTCTGCGATGAACTTCTCCAAGAAATTTTTCAACGCTTACCACCACCACCGGCCTCCTCCGCCGCCGCCGTCTGTTTAGTCTCCAAGCGGTGGCTCCGCCTACTCCGTTCATCCATTTCATCCCTATCTCTCACCTTCTTCGATCATCATCATCCACCTACTATTACTATTCTTCCATCTCTCTCCTCTTTCCTTTCCCAACACCCTTACCTCTCATCTCTCTCTCTCACCACCGCCGCCACCGCTGCCGTCCCCATCTCCGCCGATCAGCTCCTCCTCGCCGCATCCCATTCTTGTACCAACCTTCGCGCCCTCCGGCTCTTCACTGAGCCGCTCTCCCTTTTCTCTTTGCTATCTCTCTCTTCTTCTTTTCTTCATCTCTCTTCCCTCACCATCACAATCCGTAGGCCCCTTACTTTTCACCAGTGGGTCCCGCTTCTCCGTCACCTCAAGCACCTTTCTATCTACCTTGCCGCCGCCAACGCCGCCGCCGGAAGAAGAACCCAGTTGGTTTCCGAGGAAACTTTTAATTATGATGATGAAGCTGAGGTGAAATTAGAGTCTCTTTCCTTGTCCGGCTTTCAGGCAGGTGATCGTGAGCTTAGTTATTTCTGGAGAAATTGCAAATTGATTAAGAAGCTAGAGTTACAGAGCTGTGAAGGAGTTGGTGATAACTCTTCCTTTTTAGCTTTTTTAAAGTCCTTAAATAATACCACCCTCCAAGAAGTGGAACTGAGGACTTGTCGGACTGCGGTCGAAGGGGTACTCTTAAAATTATCCCAAAATTGTGTTTCTTTGAAGTCCTTATTGATATATGATGGCTGTAGCAAACAGGGTTTGCTTCAATTCGTCAGCGAGGGAAGGTGTTTTGACATTCAAAAACTTGATCTTAGGCTTCCTCTGGATTTGAGTAATGAGCATCTGATAGCTGTTTCGGAGAAATTCAGGTTTTTGTCCAGTTTAAGGTTGCAAAGTTGCTGCCTTTTCAACGGCGAAGGTTTACAGGCTATATCCAAAGGTGTAAGTAGTTGTGAGCTACAAGAATTAGCTCTGGTAAAATGTGACGTGGTGGAAAGGGAATCAGGATTGTTAACCCTGCTAGGACAGAATTTGAAGAAATTGAGGAAGTTGGATCTGTCCTACAATGAGATGTTGGTTGATAAAGAGGTTTGTTCAATGCTGGTGTCCTGTGGGGGGCATTTGAATGAACTGAAATTCAGGGGATGTGGGAAATTGACAAATGCAGTTTTGTTGTCAATGGCTAAAAACTGCCTGTGTTTGGAGACTCTTGATATCATGAATTGCTGCTCAATTGAGTCAGAGTCAGTTGAGTGGTTTCTAAAGCATTGCTGCAGTTATCTGAGGGAGTTGCTGGTTGAAGATTCCAAGGTTTCTGTGTTTGCCAGGATTGTGGCATCGGATAAACGTATTGAGGTTCTGGGATGATTGGAGGGATTGATGATTTGTAATACTGTTTTCTCTTATCTCATTGCTTCTTCATGTTCCAACTGTACATGCCTACTACATGGTTTAGGATTCATTATTTATGCTGTTCAGAATAAGTATATCTTGTAAACATGAGATTTGAATCATGTTACATGTAAATTTCTTTCTTTCTTTTTTTTTCCCCCTTTCCTAATACAAGTTTGTGTAATGGAACTATGTGATGTTGCCATTTCGTTTCTCAAAGATTGTCTTTGGGTGATGAATGATGCGGAACCAAAAAAGGGAATTGTTGCACACTTGCGGAATGCGTTAGTTCGATTTCTTGTTAGCACATTTGCATCCTTCTTTGCGCTAATTTGTATGGATAAAAATGAAATATAGAAAACTGTGTCACCTTTTCCCCATGAGTGATTTGTAGCACAAAATTTTGCCTGGTTTCAACTTTCAACGTGATTTGGACTGATTGGGCTCGATATTGTCCTGGGTTGTTCAAACTCCAATTTAACTTGAGGTACAAAAGATGGTCCAATTAAATACAGTCCAAATCAATTTGCCTTAACGTGAAAACTTTTTGAATGGGCTTCAAAAAAACTTCAAGCCTGTCCGGAGAGCCCAGGTTGAAAAGTTAAACGCGGCAATCTTGTTCCTTTGGCGGGTGATTGAATTGGGGGCAGGGTTTTCCCGCCCAAATAAACGAACTGCATCTCCTCCGGTTGGGGCAGCTCGGGCAGTTTTGCTACAACATCTCAGGCTGTGTGCGTCCCATCGCAATGGTGGCGGCATGGCCCCCCTTTGGCATTATGAAAGTCTGCTAAAACCGCGTTCTATCTAAATGCCAATCAAGCTTTTTGATTACTGAACATTTAAGGGACACAAAACTTGCAACTTTGACAATTCCTTTCTTGAAGTTTTTTTTTTAATAAAAAACGATGACAAAAATGCTCCAAAAACGTAAACAGTGACTAAAACTAAAAATGAATTACTTGTAATGGGTGATGAAAAAGGCTTTGACTAGGTATGGAAAATGTTTTCAATTAGTAACAGTTATCTGCATCTACAAAATGCAAAAAAAAAAAAAAACTATATCATTTATTTAGGCAATAGTGTTTTCAATCTCAGCCTAACTCGCTATGTTTGATGATATGATCCATTATGTCGTGGCGGCCGTCAGGCAATTAAGCTCCATGCAATATGACAAGTCGGCAATACCTATTCTCATTATGTCGACGGGAATTGAATGTACCCAATAAGCCCCATCTCAATCTCCATGAGAAAGAGGGGTTGGGGATGGCGGGAATGGTAGTGTGAAAAACTTTTGAATATAACGTCAATAAATGTCATCAAAGGTACTACTGGAGACTGGAGAGAATCACTTGGGAAATGGTAATCTAATTTCTAGGATTCCTCCAAAATGCCCATGTGTGCATGTCCCAAATATAAGTGATAACTTTCCCCCTCTCAACATTATGTTCATACACATATTGCATAATGCATAGGATTCCTCTTTTGATCTCAATTTTTATTTCCATTTTCTTGGTCAAAATTTGAACTGAATTTTAGGGTACTTCCTCAGTAGTAGTATATATGTGGGCATTTTTCACACCACAAACCGCGGGAACAAATATATGTATACTTTCAGTGCACCTTATTTATGCTCGTTTTGATCAATTATTAGTTTCCCTTGTCGCAATAAATATACGTGTCTTCCAATGAACGTGCATCTTTTATATGCAGTATTATCACAAAAAAATAAAAATAAAATCAAACTAATCAATAATGATTAATGAGATTAAGTAGTTATGGAATGTTTTGCTTTGCTTCCTAATATGACTTTATTTCCATCTAGATTACGTAAAAATGTTAGTACTCCGTATCATACTAATAAAAAATAAAATAAAATAAAACTACCCTTTTCTTATTCAAATTGTTCATTTTACCCAAACAATGAATGATTTTTCATAAATGTTGTAAGTTTCACCAGCATACAATACTAAGTGCAATAGATGTACGTATATTCCTTCGACTCCGCAAAAGTTTATAATGTTAGCTCGTTTATGATTATTATATAAATTATTTTTTTGAAATAGGAGCTGTTATGAATCGAAATAAGCACAAAAGTAACGTGAATTTGATTTTTTTTTTTTTTTTTTGTTAACTGAAATGTTGAGAGGGAAATTGGTTTCAGATATTTTATCAGACACTGAGTTTACTTTAATCATATTCATTTTCTTTAGATTGATTACGGAGACATATTAAGAAAAAAAAATGCGATTGACTGAGACTGATGAAATCCATTAACGACTAAGCTATCAATCATAAAAGTAAACAATCAACGAAAAAAAGAGTCAAAATGCGATTGCTTAATTAATTAAAGTAAAACCAGCAGCAACTCTGCCCAAGGATTATTTTAGAGTGATGTGAGTCAATGCAGAGATGGTCACAGTTAATTAAACCACTGTGACAAATTTCATTGCCCCCTCCAAATACGACACTCTTATGATCTTATCCATTCCATTTGTACTAATAAGTGCATTTTATCATCTTATTGTATGTTTTTTTTTTAAAAAAAAAAGAAATGTTGCTCCAATTTTCTCTAGCATGTGTGTGTGTGTGTTTGTCAAAGGGAAAATTCGTTCAGATATAATTTTCTCACTCCATTTTCACTGCCATTACAAAGCTAAAAAGATGTAATCCTTAAAAGTTGAATAAAAGTCATACATTAGACTAAGAACCTCAAATTAGTTCTGCAAAATATATTACTCTCTCCGTTCCAAAAAAAATAGTTCCATTTAGTTTTAAGTTTTGTATTATTTTTAGTATAAATTTAAAAATTCAATATGGATTATTTTTATAGGACGAAGGTAGTATTATAATGAATCAAAACTGAGCTTAAAAAAAGCCATTGACATAAACAACAGGAAAAAAAAAAGAAGAAGATTTCGAAACTGACCAAAGAGGCTCTCAGACTGTGTTCGTGGTACCACCACAAAATTTGCTTTCTTCCAAATACTAATAAAATAAAAACCTTTACTGATCCCTATGAGCTTTTGTTTAATCTACGCCCGAATGTGCCATTTTGCGGTAGGTGACCTGCCCCTTTTCAATCTTCATCCTTCCCCATTAAACAAATTCTACTTAATTACAACCTTTAATGATTATAATAAGTTGATTATAATAATTTTCCACAACATTAATCATGCAACAATAGAGGGGTATCTGATCACATAGATATAAATCATACTATCATCAGACTAATGGATTGTTAAGGTTCTATAAGTAACAGTAACATTTTATAATTAACTACAATTTCGGTTTTGCTTTTAATACCAGTTTCTAGATTGGAATATTGGGGGTAGCACGATCGAAGATATGCCACTTCTTTGGTTTCATCCAAAGGATAAAATTAGTTAATTTGATATCACTAGCTAAGCTGCCATTAGTATTTCAACTGTTAATTTTTAACCTTTTTTTTTGGTTGGTGTTATTGGGTTCAAGAGTTCAAAGTGTCATTGTCATCAAAGTCCCACACAATATTAATCACAGTAGATAGGAAAACCCCACATAGGATTCTCATCTACTCATCGAATACCAATTACTTGTCGTTTTATATGTAAAAAAAAAAGAAGGTAATTATGAAAATCAGAGTAGGGCTTTGTTACAGTGAAGCATTACGAGGAAGTTTTGGGGTTATCGATTGGGTTTCAGGTGAGGTGGGACATTGTGATGACTGATATATATCATATTGTGAGAGTTGGGGGGGAGCATGGAAAGACTAATATAATAAAGAGAAAGAAAACAAACAGAATCCTTAAGGGTTCCTCAGACCTACTATCTACTACAGTTTCAAACAGTTCATCTGTATATGTACCCTGAAACTACTGCATTTTTCATTATGAAATGTAATGGTGCTTGGATTGGGACCCAAGAAAAACTGGCTACTCGGAAGTTTTTTCCAGAGTTTGTCGCACTCGCACAGCTTAATTTTAAAATTTGTACTAAAAATAATTTAAATCTTAAAATTCAATATAGATTATTTATTGGGGACAGAAACAATATTATGATAAACATTACTATGCTTTGAGGATTTATATCACTGTGTAAACTTATTTTTTACATACTGAAATTAAAGTTCAGCAAATGATGTTGTTGGATCACTGTACTTCTTATCAGAATTCAGTGAAGGCAATGTTTTGAACCTCTAAAGTTGACATAACTAAGCGCCATCTGAGATAAAATGGTCGGTGAATTTCTCTCATTTGGTCAAACAAAACTAAACAATTTCTAATTCATTGCGATCGACCAGTGTCAAGATTCCACGGACGTTTCATATGATTTACCCTTACAACGGTAAAAACTCAAAAGTATGGTCTCAGTTGATAAAATTGCCTAAAATCAACTGAAAAGGACAAGTTGAACTCGGTTATTGATTGTCTACCAAGTGAACGGTAGGTAATATTGAGTTTTTTTTTGGCATCTTTAGTGGCCAGCCAAATCTATATCTGAAATGTGAGTTACTCCCTCATATTTAACATTTTATCTCTTTTTCCTGCTCACAAGTTACTACTACTATAAGAGTAAAAGTTAAAATATGTGATCAGAAAACAACTGTGTTTGTTTTTCTTGCTGCTCTAGATCTGGAAAAATGTTTTTGCTAGCAGAAGATAACCACGCACAGTGCACGTGTCTAATTCGCTTTGATTTTGTGGTTGACGACTAAGACAGATATATGATGTATGTATGATATAAATTGATAATGACCCCCAAACAAACGAAGTAGTACATACTACATAGAGATGTTCAATTTGGATTTTAGGAACACACACACAACTGCAAGCTCTACTCTGAGCTGGTGTGGGTGATACCAATTGGCCAAATTTTGCAGCAAATATAGAAAGGCCATATTCAAGACAAAAATATAAACTGGAAATCCGGAAGAGAAAAAAAAGGGCTCTAATTAATTGAACTAACTGATTTCTTTGACATGTATTTGTACATCAATTGCAGTTTTGCTTCTTCTTTTTTGTTCCCTTTCCTTTTGCTCCCAGCTGCTATGGAAACAAGGACTAATTACTACTACTATTACCACTACAACCTAACAAGTAACAACTAACACTAAACAAAGAGAGAGAGAGAGAGAGAGAGAGAGAGAGAGAAACAATGGGAAAATGGTCTAAAGAAAAAAGAAAACATTCAAAAGGGTGTATATATGTGTTTCTCTGTTTTCTTTCAAGTCTCAACATGACGTACAACAAATACTGATTCCAAGTCTGGAGGATTGAAGAACTCCCTAACACCATTAAAATGGCATGTTTGGGCAGGCCTACGCTTCCTTGGGGGAGGCGGGCAGGGCAGTTTCTCCGGGATTCTCGAATCTCGTGCCGTCGGTGTTGTCGAGCTAGAATTTGAACGCCCTTCATTCTCAGCATCTTCGTTGTAGTACTCGTCTCTTTGCGTTGGTTTTGTACGAATTGACTTCAATGGAGCCCTTATTGTAATTCCAGCAATCACCCATTCTTTCTTCCCTCCAGATTCCCCCGAATGCTTCTTCGAAACACCCATTAATTTGTTAACCAGATTTAAAGCAAGCAGCCCAGAAAAAGAAGGGAACAGAACAAGACAGAGGAGTCGGTTAAAGGGTTGTCAAAAGATTTGCTTCCAACGAATTTTGAGAAAGATTATAAGAAGAAACAACGCTAAGGAAAGGCCTTTTGTTTCTCCTTTCTTCGTCTGTAATAACTGATTAGAACACCAAAAGAAGGAGAAGAAATCAAAAGGGAGGATTTTTTTGGGTTCAAAGTGTAGAAAAGAAGGTAAGAGACTTAAAAATGGAGAAAGAAAGGAAGGGGTGGCGGCAAAGTGTTTATAAATAAGACACAGATGAAGAAAGAAACCTAAAGGAGGGAGAAGGGATGAATAAATATAAATGGTTGAAAAATATCCTACTCCACAATGAATATATAAGAGATGCTTCTTCTATGACTTTTATTGATAAATTTAATTATTATTATATGGGTGTGTTCATCATTGGGTGTGGAATCTGAATGTTAAATGTGTAAAAAAGAAAAGAGAAAAGTAAATGAATTCTGGGGAGCTGCTGCCCGTGAAAATCCCGGGCAGCCGAAACCGGGGGAAGGATCAAAGTTTTGGCGCCAAAGTTTTGGTGTTTTGGCAAACAACGGCTCTCTTTCCCGCCAAAGGTTTGTGATTCCTGTTATACCCTTTGACGTTTTGACTTTGCCAGTAGGAATTAGGAGCGTCATGTCCGACGTCGTTTCACTCTGCAGTGGGCTTCTTATAACTTTTAAGCCACCCTCTCTCTTTTTTGGGCCAAGAGAATTCGTGATCAGTTTTCACTTTTCACAATACAAGAAAACTCTGAAGTAGTATAGTATGATTTCTCCAAAAATAATTGAACTAGTTGGAAATTAGTTTATTTATATATATATATATATGTACAAGATTGGTCAAACTCATAAACAAGAAAAGAAGATGTTTAATTAAAAAACCAGTAAAAATGAAGAATAAAATATTTGCCAAAAGGGCCGGGGAAGAAAAAGAAGTAAAAAGTAGGGGTGGCCGTGAGCGGTGAGCAGATAGGTCAAATGACAAATAGTGACACCGGAAAAGAATTTGGGGAGTTTTCATAAAAGAAATCTGGCTGGATTCTGTTGCAACGTAAACATTACCGGATTGATGGATGGACATATCCAGCCATCCAGGTGCAAGTATTGAAATGGAGGGACAAAGTTAAAAAAAAAAAAATAAGTACTTGGCCATTTGTCATGATCAATTGGATGACGTAACTTTCATTCTTTCAAGAATGAAAAAGGAATGGATGATTCATCCATCTCGCAACGTTTTTATGGTTTTCTTTTTCCAAGTTGCGAAAGTTGTGAAATTACAAGCTTACTGAAGGCATCATTTATCATTTATGTAAAACTTATGAAATAAATATTTTTCCGGTGAAGGATTAACTTTTTTTAAGGTGATGAAAATGTTAACAAGAGGCAGATTAAAAAAGAAACTAATAAAAAGAAGCAAGTTGGCTGAGTGGGAGGCGAACGGTGACAAAAATAGACCAGGCGGTGATGATGTGGTGGTGGGCCGCAGGGGCGGCGGCCAAATTAGCAAATAGCGGCACCCGGAAGCCATTAAAAAAAAAAAAAAACAAGATGAGCTAGAAGAGCGCATCATTCACCATATGATATGTCTCGTGTCACCAAACAATCACAATCTAGAGTTGCTGTGCGCCTGTACCTACATGTGTATCCTTTGTCTCGTACTCCCCCATCGCCCTCAAATAGTTTTTTTTTTTTTTTTTTTGAAAAGGCTAAAATAGTTGTTCATTCGTGAGTTCATTTCATCTTTATTATAATTTTGTGTATCAAAAATAAGAATTTTCATTAGATAATCATTTTAAAATAAAAAAAATACTATGTATTTGCTTGATTTGTTTCTAAAATATTGCAAAATGTAAGAAATTATTCTATTTAAAAATGAGTGTGACCTGATACGAGTCAACTGGTAGTTGTTGACCACCTTAATGTCACAAACATTTGTGCTAGTAAAAAACTATGACGATGGTGTTAGCGTGAAAAATTCTTACAAATAATCTCAAACACGCATTTGGGACTAAGAAGTAAGAACTCAAGGCTGATTGCGAAAATGGGGAAATTTGAGAAGCTCACCCTCAATTTGGGTACCTGCTTTGTAGTAGTATAAGTATTTATATATTGTTCGTGCTCTGCTCCTTCCTTCTTTATTATATGGTGGCCTGGCCTCAAGGGAGATCGTGATCCAGTCACCATTTGTCCTTGTCCAGTCAGCTCATTCTGGGACCCTATTGTTTTGATTATTAGGCCTTGTACAGCTCAACAATGAAGTGGTATGAACTAACTCATCACTTCACCAAATGATCAAAGGAATCCCGGTAATCCAAAAAAAAAAAAAAAACTGAATAATAATATTTCAGTTTAATGTACTAATTGATTTAGCATCTCTTTTTTTTTTCTTTCATATTTATTAAAAAAAGTTACTAAAAAATGTATAGATGTGTAATACGACACATGTGCATGAATTTGGTGGTGCGGGTTGCGGGGCGTGACGGCTGAGTTGGAATCATGGATGTTAATTCTAATAACAGTAAGTGCATTGATTGTACGTTGACAATAAAAGAGAGGAAGAAATTGCAAGACGGAATTAATTTCCGAGGAAAATTTAGGCACGTAAGTGTCTGAACATACACTAAAAACATACTTGAGGGTGATGTGTGTTTTTAGTGTAAGGATTTATGTTTTCAAAATCGGGATTTCACATAGAATTGTTTTAGTGTCTCAGGATCAGATCGGATTCTAGATCGGTGGAATCGTAACTATTTAAAATATTATAATAATTCAAAAATTGCGAGTTTTAATTTGTTAGTTCAATTATTATTTAATTTTATGGAAGAGGAGTAGACTAGTGCCCACATACGTATCATTAACTCAAAATTTCAACTTTTATATATTTTCTAATCATTTCCTTCTCTTTTTATACAAAATCAACAACTCGTACAAGTATCGACAAAATCAATCTGATCATTGGATCGTAGGATCCTACGATCTGGATTGGGATTTTGAAGGATTCCATAAGATCCCATTACAAAGAAGGATTTCATAAGATATGATCGATTTTCTAATTTTGGATCGCAGGATCGTAAGATTCTAAAATCCGGATCAGGATTTTGAAAACTACTAAGGAATGAATGACCACAAGTAGATAAATGTAGAAATTGAATTTCTATTTCTTTCAAACTAAGAGTTTCTTTAAAATAATTTTTTCACTGTTCTTAATTATAAGGCACAACCGATGCTAAATTTTAGTTTAAATTTATACCTTATAATTAAGATATAACCTAATAATTACAGGTATAAATGCAGTACAATTAACGCTTTTCTCTCTAGTCTCTACAAAGAAAGGAAAAAGAAGAAAAGAAATCCACGCATACATGACAGTGTAAGTGAATGGGATGAGACATGCAACTGAATCGGATGAACACAAATGAACCCGGGGAAGTTTGGCATCGAATTACAAAGTCATAAGTACCATGTAAAGGTCACCTAAAAAAAAGCAAAGTCCAAATCAATCGGACCGACCAAAACCATCATAATACTCCATCACCATTGTCGTACTCCGCCGCCCCCCTCTCTTAAGCTTATCTCATCTGCAATTGGAATTGCGTCCCATTCAACAACGTCGTCAGCTTTCTTAATCTCATTTTGCTAAAAGCAGTAGTACCGAATTCGTTCGTCATTCATTCCTTTTTTTTTTTTTTTCCAAATGCAAAATTTCTCATTTCTTTAAGTAGAAAAAGTTACCACGTCGGACCAGCTGAGCTGGAACTCACGTCTATGATCGGCCTCTTCACCACTCACACTGCCTACCCATTCCAGCCCCCTTTCGGTTCTGCTCTATTTCTCTAATCATTTCTCTTTTGCTTCTTTTTTTTGTGCCTCTCCTTTTTTATTTTTATTTTACTTCTGAACTGGGGTCATGAATCTCTATATTTTTGTACCATTTGCTTAACTTTTTTCGCTTACGGTGGCTGGCATATACTATCAATCATTTTTTGGTGTGTTATTTACTTGTTTCTGTTCCAAACGCTTATTGGATTGGATCAATGGGAAATTGGGAATCTCATATGATAGAACCAATGCTACCTTATAATCAGTCAAAAAAAGCCCCATATTAAATTACCCTGACTTCGTAAACTAGCAGTAATAAGTTAGGACAACTATCATATTCCTTCACACGTAACATGCTTACTATATATAGTCCTATAATTCCAACCCAGAAGATGACCAAATTACCATAACAATCAGTATGAGGGACAACATTTTCAAAACTTACCTTAAGAGGTAGTGAATTCAAACTCTATTTAACTTGACCAATAAATAATTCTCTTTCCCCGATCCCGATTCCGATTCGTCATCATTTCGTCTGCTTTGCTCTGGGGAGCTCCAAACTGCCAAAAAGTAACCCCGACTCAGGAATGTTCTAATAAACAAACAATGGTTGAAGCCCGTAAAATTTATTTTTAAGATTAAACTTCTATATCAATGAGTCAGTGAGATGAGTAGTTGTTACTCCTAAGTATATTAAAAAGAAGTACATTTGTTTATAACTGTGTGATCATGTGGAATACTGAATTATTGTGTTAGGACCCCCATTGGAAGAATTATACGACCAACTCAATTATATAAAAACCAAATCAAAATGGGGTGGCTTTGTCATTTTCCGCCTTCCTTTTAGTAACATGCCTTTCAAAACTTCATTACATATAAACCCCCCTATAGCTTCCTGCCTTTGCACATTAAGACTCCGGTAATGCTCTAGATCAGTTCAAGTTTATAGCATTCTTTCTAGTCGCCCCATCGGTTTTGCAGAAACTTTTATCACTGCACCGAGTCGCTAAATGGCAACTGAAGTTGATGTACCAGAATCCGCACTCATAATGGTAAGTGCCATTTGCTTCACCTTGCCGAGTATTTATTTTCTTACTGGTCGATCACCATGCTGTCTACTCTGAACAATCTGTAATGATAGTCATAGTATCGATGCATAGATGTGTTTCTTCCAAAGTATATCACACGACACAATGATCATTCAGTAACAAACAACATGTGAAACTTGATGATGTGATTCTATATACTTTATAGTGCTACAGAACTTCAAGTAGTTTGGTTAATTCATTTTTAAGCATTCTTCAGAAACTAGGAATTGATTCTTGTAAATAAAGGAAGTGATGCAAGTACAACTTTCCTTTTAGTTTGAATCAGAAAATGACATTAAGAGAAGGTTTGATCATGTGATCTGCAGCTGTCAACTGAAATCTTCCTCTGCTTTCATTATGTAGTAGCTTAGATAATGAATTTAGACTGTTGAATCCATACAGAAGATGAAGTTTAATGATCATCCAAGACTTTCAGTAGAAAAGGTCAAAAGCTTCCATTAATGTTTCCTATAAAAGAAAGGAGCAGCAGGGCGCAAATACGCGTTACTGATGTTCATAATCAAGATCCCTGGTCTGTGATATCACACAAACTTATACTATAGGGGAAAAAAGCCATTTCTGATTTTTCTTCTTGAAAATATTGTGTCTAAGATGTTCAAAATCCAAGGTTTTAAGATGATGTCAGCCGAACAATGTACAAGAATAAACAAAACAGCGAAGTTGACTTCATAACGGTCTTAAATTTCAACCGCATACCTGAAGGCTGCTGTCATGGACTTCTTTCAGCTCTATAAATATGCATTTTGTTGCTCCGTCTCCAAAACTTCTATTGTTTGATTTTGCGATATTCATCCATATCTGCAGGAAAAAGAAGAGGTAGATAAAGCATGTAGCAATGGAACATCTCGCATAAAAATAGACGAATGTCCACCTGCAGAAAAGCAGCACGAGAAGTCCCTTCCTGACAAATCTCAGGAAAGCATAGATGGTTTTAAAGGGGGTCATGTATCCATTGATAATGAAAAGAATAATGAAGAAGAACTGAAGGATTCACATGACACGAGTCTGAGCACTGAAGGACAGTATTCGAAGGAGGACTCCTCCCCAGCAGCAGATACAAAGATTGATCCTGAAAAGCATTACTCAAGTGTTACTGTGGGGGATGAGATAACAGAAAGCCAAACAATTTCTGATTCGACTGAAAATGCCTTCACGGAAAGCCATGGTACCCTGGTGGTAGCTGAACCAAAAAGCGACACTATATCAAAGGATTATGACTCTGCAAACATCGGAACACTTAAAGATGATTCAGGAACCACAACTGAGGAGAGTCAAGAACCAAGTTTGGAAATGAAACAACCATCGAATGAATATGATATTTCAGCTATGGACAATGTACGATCTTCCAGCAATGACCGACAAAGCAGTTCCAGTGAGAAGCCAGAATCAATTGGACAAGTTAATGATACAGAAAACAATTCCTTGGAAGAAGTTGTTGAAGCCATTATCAGTGAGACTGCAGCAGATAATGCTGAGGAAGTCCCAGAACTCTGCAATCAATCAACAGCGGAACCAGAAGACAACTACACAGTGAATCTTCCTGTTGAAAAGGCACTTGAAATGTCAAACCACAGAGATTCCTTGCATGCTAGCGTGCCACTCGAAGTAGTAGCTTCAGGAGAAGATTCTCCGACATTAGTTTCAATCCAAGAGGAGAGACCAAAGAGTGTTCACGAGGTCAGTCATTTAATTTTCATTTCAATCTATATATCATGTCATTTTTTAACCTTCTGACTAAGTTCACTATCCAGGAGGTTTTGGAAGCGCAGAGAACAAATGACGATAAGAATACCGTTGAAGAAGTGAAGGATGAAGAGAAAGAGATGCCAACTCAAAATCTTGAAAGAGGCCCAGTTGAGACAGATAGTGCCTATACTGCGGTCCATGATCAACAAAATAGAGAAGCGTGCCTACACGAGGCAAGCGAGGGTGGTAACTCGTCTCCTGAAGAGTTCAACCAGGCTGTAAGCATGTCCAATTTGACGCTTGAGGTCAGTGATTATTCCACTTTTGAACACAGATCATCACAAGATAGCACATAACGTGATATAGCTTGCGCAGGAGGAGCACCATGGAAGTGCTGAAAATGCCGAGAAAGACACAAAACCAGAATCGATTGAATTTGAAGGGGATGGTTCTCTTCAGAAACTTCAAATCAGTGCTCAAGCAAATGAGTCTTCTGAGGAGGTAAAAGTCCGACCTTAAGTCAATTTACCTTGAGCAATCTTCCTTTTGACCCTACATTTTCCGTACGCATTGCAGCAAGCAAACAACTTTGAGCCTCCTCATGCTGAAAACATTCAAGCTGTAAATTCAACCGAAAATCAAGAAGGAGTTGTTCTGCCGGCTGCAAAAGATGAAGTTTGGGAAAAAGAAACAGATGCTCCCATGCCAAAGGAATCAGAAGACGTGAAGGAAGAAAGTGACGGACTTGCATATCCAACCAATTCCGTCTCCGAAGCATCAGAACAACATGTTGATGATGAGTCACTTGGCACAGCAAACAAATGTTTGCTTGAGAAACCTCAAGAAACACTAACAGGAAAAAGTGCTGGCTTCAGCAGTGAGGAAGTAGATCACGAGAAGGATGTTCCTGAACTAGAATTGCATGAGAAGACCGAACCTGAAAAAGAGAGCATCATTATTCTAGCTGACAATGGAGCTGCAGAAAAAGCCGAGACTAGTGCAGAAAATGAGTTACAGGATGACGGTGCAGATATGCTTGTGGTTTATGAGGAAATACAAAGCGTCGAAATCCATAATGCAGATGAAACTGTAGAAGGCAGCGTCGAAATCCATAATGCAGATGGAACTGTAGAAGGCAGCAGCAATGAAATTACTGATGAAGCAGTTATAGAAACTGATGTTGCCGATGCTTCTTTGGCAGCAGCAGCAGCAGCATCAGGGGATTCGCTGGAGAAAAAGCCCTCTATGGAGATTCTTAGCCAGGAGGAAACTGTGCAGTTAACTGAAAGTGAAAATGAAGGCACATATACTGATCAACATATTGTATATGAGACACCAGATGCTTCTCTTGCAACCACTATAGATGAAACAGTATTGCAAAATCAAGAAAGTAAGACTTCAGACTTTGATGGTGGCAGAGGTGGTTCAACCAAAGAAGTAGAGGAGGATTATAATGCTACAGAACGAATGGACTCAGAGTCCAAAGGCAGTCTCTCTATGATTAGTGACCCTCTGGAAGAAATATTTGAGAAAAGTGAGGAACCTGCCTTGGAAGAGACAAAAGAAGATGGGAAAAATGTTAAGCCAGAGATCACAAGAACTGATGGTGAATATGTGGCTGCGCCTCAGTCATTGGAACTAGAGAACCAAACAAATACGACAGATGACAAATATACAGAAGCATCTGACCGACCATCAAGTTCTCCTGACTTCAGCAAAGAGGCAAAAATAACGGACGAGGAGCATGCAACTGACGAAAAAGATGCAAGCACTCCCATCATGGAATCAAGCCAAGAAGCCTCTATTACAAGCGATGACTTTTCTAGCAATGACAATCATAGCCACTCCTGTGAGGATTCAGAATCTATCAGACAAGTTTCTGAGAATAAATCTTCGGAAGAAGTTGAGGTCAGTGTCAGCGAGACTGTGTTAGATAAGGCAGAGAAAATCCCAGAACTCGGATGCAATCAATCAACAGTGGAACCAGCAGTCATTCACTCAGAGAATCTTCTGGATGAAAAAGCACTTGATCCGTTGCATGCTACCGTGCCACATGAGGTAGCAGCTTCAGGAGAAGATTCTCCATCACCAATTTCCATTCAAGAGCAACCAAAGAGTGTTCAAGAGGTCAGTCATACATAATTTTTTTATTTTAATATCCATGTCCCGTCTTAATGTTCTGACTAAGTTCACTAAGCAGGAGATTTTGGACGCTCAACCAACAAGTGACAATGAGAATATCATTGAAGAAGTGGAGGAAGAAAAGATGCGAACACAACATGTTGAAAGCAGCACGGTTGAGACCAATAGTGATTATGGCGTGGACCATATTCAAAACAACATAGATGAGTTGATCAACCAGGCGGCCAAGGATGTCAAGTCATCATCAGAAGAGTTCAACCAGGACATAATCCCATCTAATTTGACACTTGAGGTAGGTCATGCATAATGTAAGTTTACCTTTCAAGTTTCAACACAGAATATGAAAAGAAATAACACGAAATGCTCTAGCAGGAGCACCTTGGAAATCCCGAAAATGCTGAGGAAGACTCAAAACCAGAACCAACTAAAGAAGATGATGAGTTTCTTCAGGAAGTTCAAATCACAGCTCAAGCAAAGGAGTCGTCTGAGGTAAAAGGTTAACCTTATGTCTTTGTAAACTCATGTAATCTTCCCTATGACCCTGAATCTTCATATGCATTGCAGAAGGCAAACAACTTAGAGGCGCTTGATGTCGAGGACATTTGCCATGTGAATTCAAACAAAATTCTGGAAGCAGTTATTCCTCAGACTGAAGAAGAAGTTTGGGAGAAAAAGGAAGTTCCCATGCCAAAGGAAATAGAAGAAACAAAGGAAGCAGGTGAGGAACTAGCACATCGCACCACTTTGGTCTCCGAAGCATCAGAAGAGCGTGTGGATGATGAGTCCCTCGACACATCAGAAATAAATTTGCACAAGAAACCTGAAGAAACTGTAGAAAGAACAAGTACTGGCTTTAGCAGCGAGCAAGCAGATCACGTGAAGTCTATTTCTGAACTAGAATCGCAAAGTCAAACTGAACCAGGCAAAGAGAGCATTACTGGTCCAGCTGAAAACAGAGCTGCAGAAAAAGCAGAGACTTGCGCAGAAATTGATTCACCGGACCACAGCGCAAATGTGCTTGTGGATTCAGGGGAAATACAAAGTGTTGAATACCATGATGCAGATAAAAATGTAGTAGGCAGCAGGAATGAAACTAGCAACGTTGATCCAGAATGTGAAAGCGTTGAACCAGTCGTAGAGACTAATGTTGCTGATGCTTCAACAGCAGCAGCTGGGGGTATGCTGGAGGAGATGCCTCCTGTGGTGATTCCCAACCAAGAACAAACAGTGGAGGTGATTGAAAGAGAAAATGATGGCAAAAATATTGATGAAAGTATTGTGTATGACACATCAGATGCCTCTTATGCCACCATTGTCAATGAGACATTATTGCAAATTGAAGAAACCAAGATTTCAGACTCAGATGACAGTGGTGGCCCAACCAATGTAATGGGGGAGGAAGATAACGGTACAGAAGTAATGGAATCTGAGTCCAACAGATGTCTCTCTGCAACTGATCCTTCAGATGAAAATTTTCATAAAACCAAGGAACCTACAATGGAAGTGAAAAGAGAAGACGGAGAAAATGTTAAACCAGAGGACACAAGTACAAATGGTGAGCAGCTGGCTGTATATCAGTCAGTGGAAATTGAGAACCATGCAATTGTGACAGAAGAACAAACAGAAGCAATTGAGCAATCAAGTCCAGAAAAGCAAATGAAGGGGAGATCTGAAGAGAAAGATGCCATCACTCCAACCATGAAAGCAAATGAAGGGGACATTACTACAAGTGATAATTCAGTTGAAAAGGTTTTCATCTCACCTCTGCTTTTCAATCATTATATCTTTTCTTTCTTGTGATCTTTTAACATTTAATCTTCCTCTATTTGATAACAGTTAGAAGAACATAAGGCAATCGATCAAAATGTTGCTGAGGAGTCCGGCCAAGTTTCAATAGAAGAGGAAGTAGCAGATTACAGCCCTAAGGGAGAAAGCCTCCAAAAAGATTTGAATCCAGAAGCGTATCCAGGAATAAAGGTATACCTCGTATCTCAAACCAGAAATAATGCAACTGAAAGTGTAACGGTCAAATAAACAGAAAATCCGAATAAAATATCATAAGGCTTAAGTTTCGCGAAAATGAAGTGCGGCGCACCTCCATAAAGTAGGTTGTCTAATGAGTGGCAAACTTAATTTTGTCCTGCTAATGTTCCACAAACTTATATGCAAGTTTGAAGAACTTGAGATGGTTGATGCTATTGCGATTTCAAAAACAGATGGCAAGTAATACCGAGGTTATTACGGAGCCTGATGACTCAACACCAAAGGAAATAACAAGTTACTGCACTGCGGAAGAAAATGAGGAAAAGAAACAAGATCAGTCAAAAGAACAAGAAGATCTAGAAGTAAAGAAGCCAGATGAAATCACAAACTGTGCTGATGGCATTACAAAGGTAAATAAACAAGTTAACTTTATTTTTGCCCCTCAACTTACACAAGTTATGCCAATGTACGATTTCAATCCAGACAGAAGAACCTGAAATGATCAATGCCACTGAAAAATTCCTCCATGAAGAAGAAGTTGCTGAAATAGCAGATGATCCAGTAACAATAGCAGAGCAAGTAGTACATAACAGCTTTCCTGAAGAAGAAAAGGAGGAAAAGAATGTCTATGAAACAAACAAGATTGATGAATTGAAACCAGCAGAAGAAATGTCTGAGATCAGGAACGATCCAAGTCACAGTACAGAGGTCAGTACATAAACAAATCTTCATTCTTAATTCTCTAAAATAGAACTTTGCAATGGTGATTGATCATGACGTTAGAAGGCAAGGTATTTAAGTCCTAATGCATAATTTTCAAAAATTATATACAGATAAGATTAGAAGGCAAGGTCACTGAACTACCCCATCAAGTTTCAGCTGCAGAAGAAACGGAAGACCATTTCCAAGAAGCAAATGCAAAGAGCTTCGGTGATGGATCCATAGATGAGCCAAAGCTAGAGGTAGGTCCAGAAGAACATAATAGAATAGAAATCAAAATCAAAATAAAAGATTTCAACTGTTGATGTCCCAAAAATTATCAGTTTGAAGGACCTGAGACCGGTTTTATCAATGAAAATGTGGACAAGGCTGAAGTGGAACCTCCTCACCCTCAAGATTCAATTGTAGAGGTAATTGATGATAATCCTGGAGTAGAGGTCAAGGCAACCCCAATCACCAATCAGCAACTAATACAAATGGATTCAGGAGTAACTGCTACTGAAACATGTGAGAGCATAAGCAATGCAAGCGAAAGTACAATGGTTAGTAAAAGTAACTCAGTATACATTTTTTGTAATTTTGGCATAGGGCATTATTCAAATTGCTGAGGTTTCAAACATTGTTTACAAGGTTGATATCGGTCTCAATTCCAATGAAGAGATAAAAGAGGAAATGATTGTTGAAGGGCCATCCCAAGTTTCAACTGAGGAAATACCATCTGAAGAAGAAGACACCACAACCAGGGATGCTTCAGAGACAGAAATAGATAAAGAAATGATACAAGAAATATCTAAGACCACAAAGGTCAAACAAACAAATAACTTTTCATTTTGTAAGAATGAACTTTCTGAATGCTGATATTTCGTAAATTTATGTCAGTCTGACGAACAGGAAACTGCAGAAGCAGCTGAGATGTTAAACACGGAAATGGAAAATCAAGGCAAGGATATAGAGAAATCTGTCGCAGAGGAATCATTAACATGTAACCCTGCAGAAGAAGGAAACGACGAAAGGAATGCCAATAATATAACAAAATGTGATCTTAAGCCTACAGTAGATCCTGAAGTAAAACTAGATGAAATATCCGAGATTACAAAGAATGCAAGTCCAAGTATAAAGGTAGAACTAAAACTTCCATATTCCCTTCTGTAACACTCAAATGCATAATGCTGATATTCATGAACTTCTTGCCAGCTTGAAGAAACAGATGTAATTGTTGCCACTCCCATAGATCAAGAGCTTGAACAGCCTTGCCCGGTATTAACTGCAGAGAAAACCATGAATTTCGCTCTTGCAGAAGGAAAGGAGGAGGATTATGTCTCCATTTTATCAAAGGAAAATGACATAAAGTCAGAAGTATGTAGAGAAGTAGCAGAAGATGAGATATCCAAAACGATTAATGGTGAAAGTGAAAGTGCAAAGGTGAATAAGACTCTACCTATTTCCTTGACACAATAATACTTCTTCATAATGCTGATGTACTAGAGATTCAGATGACAGATGCCAAACAGATGACAAGTGAAGACAAGTTCATTATCAGCGAAGAGCCACAACACCTTCCAGCTTCAGACGAAACAGCAAAAAGCCTCCAAGAAGATGTGGATACAAAGGTCAATGATGAGATAGTCATAGATGAGTTAAGCCAACAGGTAGAACCAGAAGTTGGGGCAAATGAAATGCCCGAGACTGCCCATTTTGGAAGTGAAAGTACAAAGGTGAAACAGAAAAAGTTAGCTGTCAGCATCATGTTTTTCTTTGTTTATATATACATTTCTGATGCTAACCATACTTCATGCATACCAGGTTGAAGGGGACAACAAAATTTTTGGCGGGCCTCCTCAATTTTCAGATCCCGAGGAAATCTCAAATTCTAATCCTGGAAAAGAATGCGAAGAAAGGGATGTCAATGATACAACCTTGGACAAGTTGGAGCAAGAAAAGGTAAACATTGAAATATCCAAAGTAAGTAACTTAAATAAAAGCACAGAGGCCCGGCTAAGAGACTGTGAGTACCTTTCTGTAACACAACTTTGTACTGCTGGTGCTGCATGAAAATATAACAGGTTGAAGAAACAGACACGATTGAAGCCACTCAAAGTTTGAAAGACCATGTTGATGAAGAACCTGGCTCCCCTTTAACAGTAGAGAAAACTGTAAATTATACCTCTGCAGAAGAACAAAAGGAGGGGGGAGATATCACAAATTCAACACAAGCAGATGAGGTAAAGTCAGAAGTACTTGCAGAAGTGGTGCAGAGTGAGATATCCAAGACGATCAACAATGAATCCCCAGTTACAAAGGTACATGGCACCAACTCCCAAATTCAACTTCCTTCCATGATCATACAACCTTGTAATGCTGATTTTCAAAGAAACTCAAATGATGGACGTCAAACAGATGACAAGTGAAGGCGAGGCTATAACCATTGAAGGGAATCATGAAGCTCCAATGTCAGAAGAAATAGTAAACAATAGTCTTCCAGAAGAAGAAGGGAGAAATGTCAACGGTACAACTTCAACTATAGATGAGTTAGATCAAAAGCAAGATGCCCCTAAAGAAGGAATTGAGGTTGTAGAACGGTCTCCTCAATCTCCGAATAAAGAGGAAGTGGTGAATGATGAACCCAAAGTAGAAAAAAAGGAGGAACAGAATGCCAATGATGGAACCACTTTAGCTGAATTACAGCCAGAAGTGAGGCCCAACGGAACAACTGACATCATAAATAATGCGAATGAAAGACCAAAGGTATGACAATATAACTGTGATTTCCTTTCTGTGTCAGCTCAACACTATAATGCTGATATTTTACGAATATTATTCTCTTATACCAGCCGGAAGAATTTGAAACGAATGATTTAAAGTCATCAGAAGAGACAGGAGTCAACCCTGATGAAAAAGAATCGACAGGAAGGTTAGAAGAACACCATGTGTCAGAAACTGAGCCAGTATATGAAGCCAATGAAGATTGTCAACGCAGCAATGACTTTATCGAAGCAGAAACGAACCATTCTGTAAGCAACTTGGACCGTTCAATTTCCCAAGAATTACCTCATGATGAAAAGGAAGAGCGCGAAGTTGTCACTGAAGGTAGAGACGGGACAAGTCTGGTCGATGAGTCAAACATGGAGACAGCAAAAGAAGATGATCTGCAGGATCTTACAGAGGCCAATGATAACTCTGGGACCATCCATGTGCCAGTTGGGAGCGCCATTGCAGAGTCAGATGTGGAAGTTGCAGCAGTAGAGGATTTAACAGGCACTCACACGAAGATAGCAAGTCAAGATGAAGAAGATACAATTGCTCAGAAAGGCTTAACTGGTGAGAAACTCCAGCCAGGAGTAGAACTTGAAGATGCTTCCAAGGCTGGGACAAAACCTCTTAACAGCATACCACAAGAAAGCAGTTTGAATGATGACAAGGGCAATGATGAAATAGTTGAGGTAACAACAAATTTAGTACCAGTACTGATATACTGGCCATTTTCTTCTATAACTCTCAGACAAACTTAAACTGGTTTGCAGGAACAAGGAAAGCTGTCAACGGATACAAGTGAGAAAAAACTCCTCGAAGATGAAAATGAAGATAAGAAGAATCAGAATCAGGATCAATACCCTTCTCTCATTGTCGAACAGGACTCAGCAATGGAGGTCCATAGTGAACCAAATCTCCTCAGTGATATTACAGAAACAGGAGACCAGAATGATAATCCCAACATGGAGACAGAACAGAAAGATTATCTTACAGATTCTAAGGCCGCAAACATGCCATTTGAGAGCACCATTACAACAGGCACCGATGCCAAGATTGCCAGACAAGATGAAGTAATGTTGATACCAGAGAAATGCCAAAGTGGAACTCCCCAGCCTAAAATACAAGCAATGGAACTTCAAGATGCCTCCGAGTCTGTCGCTGTAGCAGTAAGCAGCTTCTCACAAGAAAGCAGTTTTGAAGATGAGGATGAAAATAAAGTGGAGGTAAGTATCAATTCGTTACCCATAATTAACTTGGAAGATTGTAATAGAACCAGAATAATAACTGAAAACTGTTCACAGGAAAAAGCAAAGCTCTCAGAGCAGACAAGCGAAACAGAACTAAATGAATATGAAGCCGACCATAAGAAACTTCATGATCAGGATGAAAACCATTCTTCCCTCATGGTGGAACAAGACTCACAAAAAGAAGTCCCAGGGGAACCAGACCTCCGCACCAAGAGTTATACCATGGAAATGTTTCCAGGGAGCGAAAGCGAAGAAGTAAGGAATCAGGTTGATAATTCAAGCATGGAGATGGGACAAAAGGATGACCTGGCAAGTATTCCAAAATCAGAGGCCACCGACATGCCATTTGAAAGCACCATGTCAAAGTCAGATTCGGGGATTATGACAAAAGAAGATCCCACAACAGGCTTTGATACGAAGGTTGCAAATCAACATGATGCTGAAAATCTCCAGATAGGATCAAAAGAGTTCGAGGCTGAAGATGCATGCAAGGCTCAAGCAGAAGCAGCAAGCAGCATACCACAAGAAAGCGGCTTCCTAGGTGACAAAAAGGAACAAATGGTTGAGGTAAGTGTGAGTTCATTTCCAATAACAGACTTTAAAGATTCTAATAAAACCAAAAGAGAAACTGAAAGCTCTACGCAGGAACAGATAAAGCTCGCAAAGCAGGCAAGCACGACAAAGCTAAACGAAGACAAAAATAACACACACACGTTTCAGGATCAGAGTGATCATCAATCTTCCCTCACGACTGATTGTGAACCAAGAGAAACAGCAGAAGAAAAAGGGGATCCCGAAACGGAGGAGCCATCTGTGCCTTCACTCCATGATCTTCTCCAAAAGTCCAGGAATGCAAACTCCAAAATTGCTGAAGAAATTAAGACTGAAAGCACACAAACAATGCAAAACGAAGAGATGAAGGTTGGAACAGCAGAAGGAGGAAGTTTAGGATGCGATGAACCAAAACCCGAGGAACACAAAGATGAAGAAGTGGTTGAAGAAGATACAAAAAGAGATGCAGAGGCAGAGACAGATTCCGGAGAAGAGAATGTAGTGATGGTAGAAGCCTCAAGAGATGCTACAGATGTTAAGGTTCCTCACAAGAAATCTCATAATATATTGTCAGGCGTTGGTTCCAAAGTAAAGCACTCAATTGCCAAGGTTAAGAAAGTCATCACCGGAAAATCTTCTTCGCCGAAGCCATCTTCCCCTACTAAATGAAGTGCTCGAGCTTCATTCAATGACGTTCAGGCAAATTATTTGCCAGGGAATGTTTAAAATAGTTATAATCTGCAGTATCTCTGCCGTGTATATATCTAGTCCATGATCGTTAGAATCATTCAGAGTTGTCTTAAGTCTTTTCATCTCCCAACCCTTTGGGCTCATACATCTTGAAGTATATTTTTTTTAAGCTTTTGGATTGATTTCTTTCTGATCATTAGATTTGAGGGGAATGACGCATTACTCTCTCTTCTAAAAGTAAATTTTTTTCCTCTAATAAAATAACTCTGAAATAATTAAATTTGAAAAGAGTTTGTAATAAAGGAGTAAAATGAAAAAACCATCATAATCCATTTCCAGTTTATGAAACAAGTAGGCCCTGAAGCCATATTATACTATGATTGCTGAGCTGCTTTAATTTCTCTGCGCCTTTTCTCCAGATGCTCAGACCTGGAGCGTTTCTTCTTGTTCCCAATCTGCACAGGAGTTATAAAGAAAACCAAAAGGTCGTTAGTTACACAACAAATGTAGGAATCGTGCGATATGGAGTCTGTAAGATGCCGAAAATTGAGGAAGTGCTGCAGGGAAATGCAGAGAAAGAGTAGCATCCATATAGGTTACCTCCATTGCTTCAATCAACCCTCTAGTACGGCGAGACACCCCAATTTTCGACATGTCATCAGCGTCCTTGGCCGTTTGAATCGAATCAGAGGGAGATTCTTCAGTATCTCTTCTCTCAACAGTATCCTGAGTACTTGCATTAATGATTGAAGAATACTGGGTCCCTTTGAGCTCCATCCTCAATTCATTATGGTATTGCGTCTGGCGGATATTCATCTGCAAGTATGCAAATAAGATCTCTCAGATCATAAATTGTTACCAAAGGAGGTAAGCTTCACGAATCAGTGAGCTGAAGAAACCAGACATTGTTTCATCAAAGATTGTGAAAAATTACCTTCCTCTGCGTCTCAGCAGCTTCAAATGCTTCGGCTCGATCAATGATACCTTCAACCAGAAGATTCTGGGAATCAACCAAGTCTTCTGTTCCTACACCGGGCATCGGAAGGACTTCCTTTCTGGCAGCAGCTTGCAGCCGTTTGATGGTCTCTGCATATTCAGGAACATACCCTTCCGCCTCATTGTCAACAAAAGGTGATAAATGTGGAGGAGGAACCCTGCAAAGGCCGAAAGTAAACAAAAATTATAGCCTGTATAATATGATAGAAACTGAGACTGGTGAAGAATACAAATGAAATGTTGTTCATGGCTGCAAAGGCAGGCTAAACAAAAGAGGAATGGTTGCCCGTAACATTTTCTCCTATGATCTCTTCAGACGCATACACAGATATTCTCGCAGAAGTGGAAGTTGGAGATAATGCCCTAGTAATTCCTAATATAGACTGTCATGTAAAAGGAAAGAGAAAAAAAGGCGCCAATTCCAGCTTGAAGAGAATAAGAATACAGTTCATAATGCCAGGAAACCTACAACTTTACCTTCCAACAGCATATTCCTCAGTAGGTAATAGAATTAGTGCATTAACAGAATCATAAACCCATTGCGGTTGCACATATTCTCGAGAAAGAAATTTCCGTTTCTGCGTAGGCCTGTCAACAATCTGCAAAAGCATACAATAAGCATCAGATGAACAGCCACAAAAGACCAGGAAATCAACATCTTGCATATCAGTGGTGCCTACACTCTTCCTTCTAACCATAAGCATCAAAGAGACATCTAGAATGCACACCTGATATGTGATACTCTGATCAGATTCACCGAATGGAGCTCCTTCTCCTTCCCATGAAACAGTACCCCCAAAAGCTGGGATCACGAAAAGCAAAGACTCCCTAGGAACCTGGAAAAATCCCACAAATCCAGGATAAGGGTTCATACAACCACTTAGTCCACAAACTTATACGATATCATTCCTTAACCCAAAAATATGTGTGTGTGTGTTGGGGGAAGTGGAGCCCATATATCACAAAAGAGTATATTCCATACCTCACGACTTAGGAAAAATTTCTTATTCTTGAAAAGATTTCTGCATTTTATAGTATCTACATCATCTTCTTCATTGCCCTCAGCTTCACCAAGAAGGTGCATCAAAGCCCCGGGTTCATTTTTAGGAAGTTGGTGTTGGAGCTGGGCAAGTCTGAGCTCAGACTCCTCAAGTTCTGCTCTCTCATCCCCATTCTCAGTCAGCTGCGCTTCAGACATTTCAACATCTTCCACGTCCATCTTGGAGGCTTTAGAGCTGGCGTCAAAGTATCTTGACAAAGCATACATATCTGTACAAATACAAGAAAATGATAATATAATCCACATTTTTACCTTGAAATGCTTATAGCAGAATATCTAAAACCTAGTGAGGTGAAATTAAGTACCTGCTGCTAGAGCTTCCAACCGAGAGTCAAGAATGGGAGGATATTTTACATTTATCGAATGATAGAGCTTAAAGTTAACAAATGCCAAGAGAGTCTGCAGCAAGAAACGAAGAACAATAAATTGGTGACAAAAAGAGACACAGGAATGTCAAAATTCATCGAAGGAAGTAAAAGCAATCAGCAAATGTGTCAGTAGAAACTACAAAAGAAGGATTAGAATGTAATTGGTTGACTCAGTAAGAAAGTTTAACCAACAATAAATCCCGGGACATCTGCCTCTAGCACCTGGAATTATAATGAGACTGGACCTAAGTTCCTCTGATTCATCAGTTTTTCATAAAGATGATTCCTTGGTACCATTAAACTAGAATAAAACTAATCTACAAAACATTACTTCATCTATTCTCTCGTGTTCTGTAAAACAGGAATGACACATCAGGGATAAATACATATACAACTTTCCATCTCACGATTCTCCTGAAGATAAAAGCACTTGCTCTAAGCATCTGTAATTTAAATAGCTACTCTACTCCAAGAGTGGACTGCAAAGAACACGTGATACTCATACACACTAACCTCATAAAATTCCAAAAATGTCAGCATGACCTTGTAGTCAACATCATCAGGCAACACTTGCTGCAGTTCATGAGGAGTTACCCAAGTGACCTTTTGCCCCTCAACCTCTGCCTGAAACAATTTATTTATATTACATAAATGCCAGCTGATCGAGAAAGAAACAAAAAAAAAAAAACCAGACCCAGCAGTATACCTGGTAATATATTCCTTTGACAGATACAAATGTCTTACGAAGTTTATGAGTCCGAGAAATATAAGCCTGCCATTCATGACTCAACCTGACTCCCAAGTGGAAATATATGATAAGTACACAAGGCATAGAAAATCTTCAAAATTTAGCTTAAAAGATAAAACATAACATTTCAAAAATATAACAAGTAATAACCTTCGACAATTATGAACACGGTCTACTTCAATGTTTTCTCTTTTGGAAGGTGGCAATGAAGCAAAAAGGTGAACCATACTGAGACAATCATCAAGGTCCCGTAATGCATCAACAAATGTTGGATACCTGTAAGTAATGATAGACTAATTTGTCAAATGAACCAACGAGCATACAAGGGAAGCTGCATCCCAAATGTAAGACACTACACACCTTTCACGGACAAGCATATCTAGTTTATATGAAGGCTTGCGGCTTAACAAACGTTCAGCATGGGCCTTATTCCTCTTTGCGTTGGCTTTCTCGACCTTCTTCTCATACGCCCGCATCTCTCTCAACTTCTCCAGAAGCGGCTCGTGCTTCAAGAACATGATATCTTTCGTATGATAATAGGTGTGGTGGCTTCCCTTGACCTTCTTCTTTGGGTCCCGAGGAAATACACCTTTGAGTATGCATAGCTTCCTATTACAAACAACAACTACTCAATGAAAACGTAATCTGTATATGTATATATGCAACAAAAAAAAAAAAAAAAAAAAACAAATACACAACTCCTTCATCTTCCATCATAATGACAGGCAATGAGTAACATGTATAGTCGTTGCGTTATGTCGTGTATTAGGCAAAACATCATGCTTGCAAGTCATGTAACAAAAATGCCCTCTTGACTTTTTTTTCATGATTTACAATCAACCTAGTAGCTCTGATTGAATAGACAAAACAAGTCCTTCTCTTTTTAATTTAACACCGCACATAAACCCCTTCGTAATATAGCATTTCATGTTTTCTTTTAGACGAACCCCGATGGATGATAAAATAGTAATACAAACAGAACAATAACTGTAAAATTAATCAATTCGAATGAACAAAAACGAAAAAGGTGAAAATGACCTGAAAACTGATAAGCTGACTTGAAGGTACTTGACAGCCTGTGATCTCGTAATATACTTTGCGGCGTTCCCTTCCTTTTTCTTACCCTGCGAGACCAATACAAATGAAGAAGTCCGTGATAAAAAACGGAAGCGCAGATGATAACAGATAAGTCTCGCCTAAAAGTAAGTTCACGGATACAGTAAAAGAAGAGCAAGGGAGAGATTGGAGCTTACCGGAGGTCTGTAGTGCTTCGGCATGGCTGTGGAGGAAGAGCCGCCTGAAAGAGCTCAACGGGAAGGAAAGAGGCTAATTGGTGGAAGATTGAATTGAGAGGTTTTTAGTTAGCTTTTGAGACTGGTCCGGGTACAAAAACCCTAATCGGGTCAATCTGTACCGGTGATCTGTAATCGTCGCACACTCTTTCCGTTTATTTTATCGTTTGATAGTTGGGCCTGGATTTTGCTTGTTGCAAAGTGAATTGTGTGGCCCAAACTCAAATTGGACGGTCACTTATCAACTACAGACATCTTATGCTAATTTCAGCCCACTATCTTATCTGTTGGTAATTTTTTTGGAAACTTTTTTTTTTCTATAATAGAAAACGTTCAAAAGAAAAAAAAAAAAACTCTATTGAATTTTAAAGGTTTGAAAGTTGTAACTCTCTTGTCGATTATTTTCCTAGGGCATCCATAATGGTAAGTTTATGGTCGTTTATGACTTTTATTCAGGCTCACATGTCAGGTTTTTTTGTTTTGGGTGGTCTTCGATTTACATTCATAAACTCCATTTGTGGGTCCGGATTCTGGATCACACTTTTTCTCTTTTGTTTTTTTGGTTTATGATGACATGTTTTTTATTGAGTAGGAATGAAATTATGTTTTTTAAAAAATTCTGAACCGAAAAATGAAGCCCTTCTTCATTATCATCATACTGTATTATAATTGTAGAATACTTTTTGAATTTTTGTAGCCCCTCCCACTTATTTATTTTGGTTAATTTTTTTTTCATGAACTTTATCAATTTTGTAATCCCTCATTTAATTTGGTCAAAAGTAATTTTTAATAAATATTTTTTCATATTTATTTCATTATTATCTTACTTACTGCCCATTATCTTCAACTTTATGATAATAAATTATTCCTTTATAATTATAAATTGTCATTTATTATCAAATAATATAATGACCCTTTGATCTCCTTCCACTAACTTTTGTTTTTAAGATTACAAAAAAAATCATTTCTTATTATTCGGTGAACTTGAAAAGTCTAAAAATGATTTTGATATTCTAATCATTAATTTTTATTTTTAAAGTTATAAAAATAATTTCTGGTGAATTTGATATGCTTAAAAGCAGTTTCCTTGATTGTGTTGTGGGATGGGACACAATCTGTAGAAATGGTGGGCTCGACCCAAAACAACCGTACGGATCGTAGGCCCAAATCATAGCCAGTCAATAGAGAGGCGCCGTATTCGACAACAAACCGCCAATTCTGAACATGTTCAAAAGAACTTTCCCGCCTCGGCTAAATCAACGAAAACCGGTGGCGCCAACTCCAAAAATTACACAATCTCACGGCCAGATCCAAAGTCTCTCCAACCCACTTTAATTCAATCCAAACCCTCCAAAAAATCTTAACCCTTTACACACTCCCTCTCTCTCTCTCTCATCTCCCATTCGCCTGTAATGGAGAACTCCAGAGCTCAACAATCATTTTTCCGGGATATCAAATCAAGAGAACTCAACGGCTTCAGAGGTAAGCTCTTCTAATTTATCCAACTCTTTTTTCCATTTTATATATCTGGGTTTGGTTTCTAAGTACTATATTTCTCATGTCTTTTTCTCTTGGGGGTGTAAACAGTGAGGAAACGGCCGTTTGTAGCTGATGATTTGCCTAGGTCAACCCAGATCGGAGCTGTGTCCGTTGACCATGACGGCGATACTTCCCCTCCGATGGCCATTTCATTTTGTAAGGTGGGAATTCTTTCACCTGCATCAAGCATTTTATAGATACTAAGAAATAAGATGTTGGCTGGAATTTTTTCTTTTGGGTGTTTTATTTCTTAATTTTAGTAAAATGAATTTCAGACGCAGAAGAATGGGCACATTCTGGCTGTAACTGATGAGGCTGGGTATATAAGCTTGTACAATACTCGCTTAAATTTCAAGTCTTCCTCCACTTATGAGCAAAATACAGGTAAATTTAGGACTGTTTTTGCAGAATATGAAAGAATTAAAGAAAACGGTGATCTTTGCTGACCAGAATTGTAAAACTGCAGAAAAATCCAGAATACTAGAGTGGGTTGCTCATGATAATGCCATTTTCGATATTTGTTGGATCAAGGTACTTCTATTTTTCTGCTGTTAGATTTTAATCAGCTCAAATCCTTATATTTGCACATAAGTTTTTTTAAAAATAAAAAAATAAAAAAATAATGAAACAACCATAACTTGCCATGGAGGGCTTATACATTTAAATTGTGGGGTATGCCTTATGCTAGAAACTTATGCATCTGAATGTCAGTCCACCATAACAAATTACTCTATTTTTTTGTTGTCAGAATGTAATCAGCTCAAATCCATAGATTTGCACATAAGGTTTTTTTTTTTATTTTTTATTTATTTAATAAATAAAATAAAACAGCCATAACTTGCCCTGGAAATTAGTGTTGGGCTTACATTTGTGGGATATGTCTTTATGCTATATACTTAGAAATGTAAACACGTTCCTTTGGAGTTTATAAAATTCTTTACAAAATGGAGAAGTGCTGACAGTAACTCGAAATAATAGCCTTTTGCATCTGAATGTCAGTCCACCACAAGTTCATTTGTTGAAAGCTTTGTAAAAAGAAAGACTAATCTCTAAACAAGGTAGAAGTAAAATGTTGGTCCAATCTAGAACAAATAGTAAATGGAAAGGAAACTTGCAACTGCATTAGACATTGTACTTTATCAGTTTTGTTTATTGATGACAATGATGGCTTATATTTTATCCCTTTTCAGGAGGACACCAATATATTGACTGCATCAGGCGATCAATGTGTAAGTGAATATACTCCAATAGGAGTTTCTCATCTTGGTTGAGTTCATTAAAAATTGTAAAAGCAAAATTGAAGACATAGATAAGCCGTGTGCCACATTATCTACCATTAAATATGCTACAATGTGATGAGTCAGCTGTAGATTGTGAAAGTTTATTTAGACATCTTGAATTCATTGTTGAACCACTGATTAGTTGTATTAATCATGGTTTTAACAGATAAAACTATGGGATGCACAAGCAAAGAGATGTGTTGCAGCCTTAACAGGCCATACTGGAAGTGTTAAGGCCATCTGCTCCCATCCAACTAATCAGGGTAGATTCATTGAGAATGTGCATGTTGTATTGATATGCTCAAGATTTGGTGAACATGGTTTCTAACGTGAACTGTGTATGATGCTGTTATACAGATGTGCTTGTGTCTGGCTCAAGGGATGGGTCATTTGCTCTGTGGGACTTGAAGTGCTCTAATGATGGCAGACAGTTGACTTGCATCTCGTAAGATCTCCATCCGTTCATTGTTTGAGATAGTTATGGCATTTCCGTTTGGGAACATGCATTCTAGATTACAAGAAAATAGCAGAATATGATCTTTAGCTAGGCTGAATCTTGGACAAGCTACCCATGATTATTAGTATACTGTTTCGGATTTAATTACACCACTTTTGTGACATCCATGGAAGGTTGGAAACAAATCTATTCTATGTAGAAAGTAATAAACTGCTATAAGATTAAGGAACTGCTTTTGAATGCGTATTAAGTTCCACCGCGTTCTGATTTGTAGGCCATATGCTAGTGTCCAAGATGCACACAAGTATTGCGGGAGGCGGATTAGGCGCGGAAAGGTTAATTTTTTACTCTGAACTGTCTCCTTTAAATTGTGGTTTAAACTTATTTATCAGCCATTTTTCCAGTTTCTCTTTTCCTTTCTCTAACAGTTTTTAGTGTATCTTATTCTTGTCATTCTAGGCTGCTTCAAAGAGCATAACATCTGTTCTGTACTTAAGAGATGAGGTGACAATAGCGACTGCTGGAGCAGTTGACAGGTAACTGAAGCATTTCATCGCTTATATATCAAGTGAGAAGTCACTTTTGTAGAATATCTTTAAGCACTTAGTCCACCACAATTTGCAGTGTGTTGAAGTTTTGGGATGTAAGAAACCTTAAGAAGTCAGTAATGCAAGCAAGCCCTAGTGTGGATGCTTCTAGTGAAAAGGTTAGTCTCTGCTCGGTGTTAAACTGTTGAGAGAATTATTTTGAATTTTTAACCCGACAAGGTTAGTCTCGGCTCGGTGTTAAACTGTTGAGAGAATTATTTTGAATTTTTAACCCGACTAAATCTGAGTATTGCTCTTGTTCAGGAGAAGAGATTGCATGGTATTTCTAGTTTGTCTCAAGATATGAATGGAATCTTCATTTCAGCCTCATGCATGGATAGTAGGTATAAGCATGTTCTTTCCTCTAGAAGACTTCTATGTTATTATTTGTCAGTTAGGAAGTTCTGGTTCTGATGCATACATCTCTTCAGAATATACCTCTACAATATACTTCAGCTCGAAAATGGCCCTGTGAAAACCTTTTCAGGATGCCGAATCAGTTCATTCTTTGTCAAGGTACTATGCAACCTTCTGTTGTTCAAATTGTATAAGGCCTGATCTATGAAGTATGAACTGCTATCTAATTTGTGTAATTTTGTGAATTTACTCCTGTAGTCAGCAATAAGTCCTGATGCTGCTCATATGCTTTCTGGCTCCAGCGATGGAAATGCATACATATGGCAGGTTAGAAGCGCATAATGGGGTTATTTATCCGATTCTCTTACAATTTTTACTTAAGTAACTATCTGGGACAGGTAAACAAGCCTCAAGCTGATCCTGTTATACTTAAAAGTCACGATGGAGAAGTCACAGCAGTAGATTGGTATGTTTTGTGATTATGAAGTGGTCTGCTTCAATTTGGTTAGAACACCTTTTGAAGAAATTACTAAATGTGTGCTTCTTTAGGTGCCCTTCTGAGATGGGGAAAGTAGCTACTTCTTCAGATGATTTCACTGTAAGTTTTGGGATTTAGTTGTTTTGTCATGAAGAGCAACAAAGTTTAAGATCCTACTGTTATATTGCACAATGCCTATGATGCAAGATTGATCTGAAACTCTTGTGCTATATATTCTAGGTACGATTTTGGAATGTTGAAGGCAGCTGCTATTCAAATTCAAGATCTCCTTCTTCCATTAGAAGGAGAGTAATGGCCCTCCCAACAATGGAAAGAAGAAAGCTGTTTGCAGAAAATGCAGCAGATTTGACAAGCAGCGCCAATGAAAATAAAAACTTGGAGACAACAAGCTCTTCAGAAGTGCATTCTCCTAAATCAAAGATTGTTTGTGAAATTAGCACCACCCCTGATTCCCAAAGGACTAGATGTCTGTCCTATAACAATGGGGATAAGGTAAACATGGAAATGACTCCAGAATCTGCAATTAGAAGTCCCTCTTCTGTTTTGAATCCACCTTCATCATTGAAGAGAAAGACAATCAAGGACTACTTTTTGGCAGCTTGACGATTGACTTCTATGCACTCATCTGTACCAAGATTAAGTAACTTGTTGTAGATAAGCTCACATATTAGTGGTAAAGTAGTAAAAATATTGACCCTTTTTGCCTGATTTTAGTGTAGTTTGTAGTGGTTTCTCAGCTGAATTCTACCAAACTTTTAGCCATTGTTCATGTACCCATTATGATCAAGTGATTATCGCCAATCCTCCGATCAAGCGTAAAAATCATTGGCATAGAACAAAACTAGGTTTGTTTTGCAATGATTGATTGGAGGAACAATGATTGATCTTAATATATTCGAATTCGATAGTGCTCAGTCTTCTGAAACACTATAAAAGTTCAACAGAACCCATGTCAACAATGCATTCAATCATATTGAAGCTATAAAGAAGTGCCCAAAAATGGTCTTCTTAATCATTTCAATCATTAGTTAGAAGTATATACTTTACTTCACATACAATAGTGTCCACGTTGCTCAAACTTTATATCACAACAACGGCAAAAAATCTAACTCAGAATCGAATCCAAAACCAAAGGAATGCGCATTGCGTTACAGAAAACATTAAAAATAGCTAATGCAATTGAGAGCCCTATCATACCAAAAAGCTAAAAATAGCATCGATAATTGGCTAATGTTACAGGTGTGGAAACTGGAAACCATGCATCGATCCAAAAGTGGGGCTTAGCAGCTCATCTTCTTCTTTGTTTAACCCTAAATTAATTAACAATTGCTTTGCTCTTTTGGGGGTCTGAAAATGAGAAAATGTGAGCACACACAAAGCCACTTTTGGAAATCCCCAGCATACATAAAATATTTAAATTTCCAGGAAACTTTGATCATCTCTATTACTATCGTATAAACAAATGGGATAATAATGGAGTTCATGGGACTTTCATAGCATGCGTTTCCATAATTATAAGCTCCAACAGATTGCCAGAAAATTAAAAGCAGATTCGTCTTCTTTGAGGAAAAAAAAAAATTAGTCAAATGAATTGGGCCACTCATTAGATTGCAATCTTTGCTAAACATACAAAAATCAAAAGGCCGCCACCTGATCTTATCGGCTGATTATTATTGGTGATTAGGTTGGGTTGGGCCCTCTTTACTTCTTCTATTATATTACTAATCTATAGTTATAGTCTAGTAGTATATATTCTTTTTGCCGATTAATAATTTATCTGCACAGGAAGAGTTTCTACACAGACAGTATAGTGAAAACTGATGAGATTAGTAATAGAAGAGTAATATTATGTACTCCATCCTCCCATTATGAAATAATTGTTGAGTTTGACTTTTTATTTTTAATGTAAATTATAATAACAGTAAAATTTTAAAAAATAAATAATGATTTTAGGACAAGGAGAGGCAGAGAGTACATTATTCAGTAGAATTGAAATATATGAATAAAAAATTCTATTACATGATGGGAGCTATACAATGTCGTCTATCACATTTTTGTATTACATTATTATATATATATATATATAAATAACAAAGGTTAAATAATCGACAAGTATAATTATAATATTAACATCGCCACTAAATATTAAGCAAACTCCTTTATTTAAATAATAAATGATTAAATACCTGTATATATATTATTATAAAATGTATCAGAATGTTCGCGGATGGGAGCTAGCGGGAGGATACATGGATAAAAATGGATTGGAGATTAATCTAGTTTCCATAGTCCGGGAAGAAAGAGGGTAAATACATGCCACCTGCCGACATGTCGGTGTATAATTAAACATAATTAAATTAAAACCACTACGATACAAAATATTTTAACTGCTTTAACGCATTTCCTATCGACCATGATGAGTACGTATTGTGGCATATTTCATTTGTTTTCTGAAGGACAATAATAACAACATAAAATACGAGTACATTTCACACTTGAAGATGGGTATGCACAAAGTAGTTAGTTGTTAATTGTTATGTTACTATAGAGGCAAACACGATAAATGTATTCTGTCTTCTTTTTTCTTTCTTTTCCTTTAATTTTCATGTAGTATATTGAAATAATATAGAATCCTGTTTGTACGAAAGTACTATAAATTTAGTTTTGACTATACAAATAATTAATTTAAAAGAAATTGAATGGACATCATTGCGTTGATTCAATCAGGACCATAACTTAACCACTTGATATGAAATATGGATGATGATATATCTATACCACCCAAAAGCAACTAGGACGGTGGTTACAAACCTTAAATTACTAGAAATGAGTAGTATATATATAATCCATTCATGGTACTTACAAGAAAGGGCCTCATGGTAGGAAGGAAAAAAAAAAAAAAGAAGAAATCAGATAAAGACACACACAAATGAAAATAGGAAATAGATAGCTTTGGGTTTATTTGAAAAATGATGAAATGAAGTCAGGTTGACAGTATGATGATGGATATCTGAGTTCCATCTACTAGTATTTTTTTATAATTGATGATTGTGTTGTCTTTGCATTATTGCCGTCGATCTTTCCCGGCCGCTTCCGATTTCAATCTTTTTCGCCCTTCATCATCTTAATATATAAATAATTTTCGGTTACTTCTTCAATTCCGAATCTTAAAAATATATCCTCATTTCAATTCCAATCATCGACTCTGCCCCCTCTTACCATTTTATAATTTTGCTCACTACTTTACTTACTATACTACTACTGCTGCTACTCCCACCTTTCTTTTCTTTTTAATTCTTTTGCACTTTAGGGTTTCTCCTCCCCGAACTTTCCCTTCCGTCCCAGAATTAATTTTCTTCTTCTTCTGATTCTTCTCCTTCGTGAGCAATTCCCAATTACTGCTAACTTGCGCGCTCAACATATCGAACTGAAAACAAGGTAACTTAATATGAATGAATTGTTTAATTAGTTAGTTTTTTTTTTTTTTTCGGGTACATCGGGAATATGGATGTATCGCATTCTATGCATGAAGGTATAGAAAGTCTATAAGATTCTGGAGAATTTATGCATGTTCACTAACGTGAGGAGATATATTTGGAAGAAAATAATATATAGTTTTTTATTAAAAGCTTTTTATATCGTTTATTATATATATATATATATATATATATATATATATCACTAGCTTGGTTTGACAGAGAAATTGGAGGAAACCGGGGATTGAATTAAATTTAATCAGAATTTTTACTTATATGTGTGTAGATCAGCATCGTCGGGTGGAGAAAATCGTATTCAGAAATTTCGGGATTTCGAATCTTCTTCCAAGGTTGATTAATTAGCAGCATTGGATTGTGAACTTGGGACTTTTAACCAGGGTTTTCTTCTACAAGGTAAAGTTAAATTCATCACCGGTCCGTTTTATTTCTAGTTTCTTGGTCTTGTTTTGTTCGAGTTGACCATATCCAACAAAGTTTTGTGTGCGCTATATATATATAGCTAGGGTTTTTTTTTTTTTTTTTTTTGTTTTTTTGGTGTGTTTTATCGTACGTAATTCAGTTCTGGATTATCAATTGAATCAAGTTGAACCATTAGTAGTACTTTTATCGTTAAATTGATGATGAACTTGTTCGATTATTAATATGCAAACATCATAAGAAGCTATAAAAGATGGATGGTTTTCCAAAATCCAATCTTCCTGAGATTGAGAAGCAACACAGACAACAGGGAAATGGTAAGGACAACAAGGTAAATTGCTGATATAATTAGTAGTTACGTAAATTCTTCCACAAACACACAGATATATATATATATATATATATATATATAATTACCTCAAAATTGCAACAAAAATCCCCTGAAAAAAATGATCCCTTTTTCACATCATATATTTTGCACATTATTAGGTTTACTTGCTTGTGAGAGAAAAGAAAGTAGAAACTATATATATATATGTGTGTGTGTGTGTGTGTGTGTGTGTGTGTGTGTGTGTGTGTGTGCGTGCGTGCTGTATGTGCCAGAAGTTTTGAAATGTTGCATATGGAAAATTGATCAGCACTTCATTAGGCAGGAATATACATGGCTTCATCATCCAGCTTTTCCAACTCTCCCTGTGCTGCCTGCAAGTTCTTACGGAGGAAATGCCTGCCAGGATGCATTTTTGCACCCTATTTCCCTCCAGAGGAGCCACAGAAGTTTGCCAATGTGCACAAGATATTTGGCGCAAGCAATGTGAGTAAACTCCTCAATGAAATCCAGCCTCATCAGCGAGAAGATGCCGTGAACTCTCTCGCTTATGAAGCCGAAGCACGGTTGAAAGATCCCGTGTACGGCTGTGTTGGAGCCATTTCCGTTCTCCAGAGGCAAGTGCTTCGTCTTCAGAAAGAGTTGGACGCCACAAATGCTGACATAATGAAGTATGCAACCAATACGTTTCCGGGAAATAACAGTGGCGTAAGGGCAGCAGGTAGTTCTTTTGGTCAAATTTATGAATATGATCAGTATCCTCCTCCTTCTTGGAACAATAGTTTCTCATCATCATCGGCAGGTCATCCTTATGACACGGCTGGGGACAATAACACTTGAATGCACATTTTTAATGCTTAATTTGGTGGCAGGGATTCAGGAGTTTCATTAGCTGCTGCAAGTATATATCCATATATAACTCAGCTTATCTTAGAGATCGAATAAAGGGGATCTTGGAGTTTGAATCTCTCACCAGCCTCAGAAATGGAACAGCCCTTATTCCGGTATAACCAAATATAATTAGTTTTATTGTAAACTTCTATGTATGTGTATGCATATATAGTGTTAGGTCCTATTGATCGATGTAATAAGGTCATATATATATTGAACCATAAAAGCTAGGCAGTTAGATTCATGCCGCTAGCTAGCTACTTCTTAGTGTCCCTTTTTTTGAAAGGGGTATGTACACAAATATAGACATATAGGGATTTTACTCTACTGGGGGAATCCGGGATTGATTAATTTAATTAAGTTTTTGTGGATGGAATGTATGTGACCAAATTAATGGTTAGCTGCTGGTTATATTATAGCCTGATCACCTAATCCATCTATCATGTGCATGCCTTTTTCTAAGATCCACATGATATCATCATCATCTATCTACATTGGTATATACTCTTACCGTCTCATTATAATAATTTACTTTGTTCAACTATTATTAAAATGAGACGGTAAAATTATCTATGTGACACTATAGAATTAGAAGGATGCCATAGGATACACATACCTAAATTGGGAGTCCGTTTTGGGAATGTCGGTACTCTTTCCACATATTAAGACTATAAATTGAAAGAGGGTTAATTTTAATTTTGTGGATGCAGAGGAGCGATATCAAGCTTTGACATTTCTTTCCTTCTAGCCATAACTGCATGTTACACTTATTAGAGTTAACACAATTGAAATATACGTAAGGGGGATTAGTTTGATTTGTTTTGAGAAGTTGTCACATATATGATAAATACTCATTCAGTCATTTGTTTCCTCAAGCTAGCTTCAAGTTGAAGGAATTGAATATATTAGGCTAGTCACCATTTTTCTGCTCTCTGGAACCTTTCTGACAACCTAATCATCACTATTTCTGTTCATTTTCATTGTCTGGAACAGTAAAATTAGACAGGAACCAAAGTTATCGGATCTGGAAAAAAAGATTGTTCTTCCATGTGAAAGAATGTGAGGCTACAGAAGCCACTGTATTTGCTGATGCTTGATGTTGATGTTCTTTTTTTTTTTTTCTCCCTACTCCATAATCCTCCATTCATGACTTTTCTTTTCTTGCTTTCATTCATAAACTAATTGGAACCAATCAAAGTTACTAATTAATCAAAATCGAGTCTTCAATCTTTGGCCAAACGGGTTGATCTTGATTTTTATCCTTTCATCAATCCTCCAGTATATACTAATAATTGAAATTTGAAGGTTAGTTCAGACTTGAAAACTCTTCTCAATTAAAAGAAGGGACAAGCGGATTCGATCATTCAGGTGACTGAAGCTATCATTACTATTATTGTAGCAGTATTGATTTGAAGAGTAGGCTCATAGGATAGCAACATATATCAAACTGATCACTACTCCTTCCGTCCTGTCTCGTTACAATTGTTCAATTTGTTGAACTACCTCTGCAGCCCAGTGGAGGACTATTGAAATAGGAGGAAGGAGACAGAGATTGGGGTAACAGGGAATTAAAGTGAAGGAAACCCGAAACAAATGGGGAAATAATTGAGGGGATCGGGTTGCATATCGACATCAAAATATGCTGCTTGTCTCTCTTTCTCATACAAAAGCAATGCACGCGCAGCAACCACACACCTCAATTTGCTACAAAATCTTGACATCTTTTTATTGTTTTCTTCTTTTTTGGGCGAAGAAAATGAAAACTCAAAAAGGGGCTCTCATCAAAGTCCAGTAGAGTCAGTACTAGTAGTAGTAACAAAGTGGCCCATTATTTAAGTTAGCCGAGTCGAAGAATTGGTCACATCCATCAACCTCAAGACTAGTTGCAGCTGCTGCTAATGTTTATACTAATTCTCCCCCCCAGTACTACTACTATGCTGACTGAATTTGATTGTAGAAAAAGTGCCCAAATATTGTCCCCACCTCAAACCGCCCAATATATCAATGTCAGTGTGACCAAATTCTACTTTTGATTTGTTCTTTTTGGTTCATTGTCTATGTATGGGTTAAAAAGACTTTAAGTAGCTATGGTCGCTCTAGATCCCAAATTTTTCTTGAAGAAGCAGCATATCTCTTCAGAATCACTGGTTTGATTGATTGATCGAGATTGATCTGACTGCCCCCAATAATTCCCTTTGAAAAACTAACGAATTTGGTCCCTTTATACGAACTATGAAGTGGAACATGCCTTCCTACTTGGGAACTTGGGATGCAGCTGCCGATCCCCCTTTGGGACTTTGTAGTTTAAATCTTTTTTTACGAAGATCTGGAGTGAAGGCCCAAACTTACGAACACGTCCAGTCCAACTAGAAATGACCCTTTTGTAGCCGATCATCATATTGTAATGTTTGGCTCAGGACTTTCCTATGTGCAGTGCTGTTGGTTTTAGTACCCGCGGTTGTAACGTAGTAAATGCAAAGTCTTAAACTAATTTTACAGAGCTTTAAGTAGCAAATATAGAAAAAGGGGACTTTCGTCTTGGAATTATTGTCTAGTTTGGTACTAAAAATAAAAATTTAAACAATACAATAATTTTGGGATGGGAAAGTATTATTTTTATAGGAAAGGAGTAAAAATTTAATATTATAATCTATTTTCTATTTCTAGTAACATTGCAATGAATGATGATAGACGTGCACAATTGATATATGCACGTGTGTGTATATATATCCATCCATTTTGCTTAAGAAATGAGCATGCATACATAATACATTATTGATAGGATTGGATTGAAATGGTGATCCTAATCTCAACCTTTTAAAAAACTAGGGGATATGTAAGAGAGTGGCAAAAGTAGGAAGAAGAAAGAAGAAAAACTGTGTATTATGTAATAATGTATTGTGTAGGGAGTGAATGACAGACATGCAGGAGAAGCCCCATTTGGATGTCATGCACAAAACCGTTGTGTCAATTGTCACGCATGCAGCTCAACACGTTGCACTTCCTCACCTCTTCTTCCACCCTTTATATCCCTCCCCCTTTTCCTCCCTCACCGCCAAACATTTTGATTTCCAAAGTTTATCGATCTTAGATAACATTTCTTCTTCTTCTTCTTTGTAACTAGCTAAATTCAGCTGAACAATGGCCGACCGTGATCGCCCGCAGCCACACCAGATCCAGGTGCACCCGCAACGCGGCGGATTCGGGGATGTTGGGTTCAAGGCTCCCCAAAGAGGCCCATCGGCAAGTCAGATCTTGGCTGTTGTCACTCTGCTTCCTGTGGGCGGCTCACTTCTGGCCCTCGCTGGACTGACTCTGGCCGGGTCTTTGATTGGGCTTGCTCTTACCACCCCGCTTTTCATCATCTGCAGCCCTGTGCTTGTCCCCGCTGCTGTCTTGCTGGGCTTGGCCGTCACTGGAATCTTGTCCTCCGGGGCGTTCGGTTTAACTGGGCTGTCTTCCTTGTCTTGGGTTCTGAGTTACTTCAGGCAGAGGGTGCCCGAGAGTATGGACTATGCTAAGCGGAGCCTTCAGGATACTGCCGTGACATTGGGCCAAAAGACTAAGGAGGTTGGAGAGAAGATCCAGACCAAGGCTCAGGAACCTGGAAGGGAACAAACTGGAAGAGAAACTTCAAAATGATAGGTGTATGGCATATGGGTGGAGCATGCATGCAGCTGCATTTGAGAGATTATCATAATTTGCTTTTCTTTTTTCTTTTTTTCCCCTGGGAAGAATAATAATAATGTAGAATTTTTAATGCGTATTAGATATTGTGTATGTAGTAAACCCCCGCATCCTCCTCCGGCTGTCCGGATGTAGTGTGTCTTGTGTTATCTTTCTTCTGGGTTTGTATCTGTTGTCCATTGTTGTCTCTAGCTGCTCCAATTTGGTATATTAATGCAATTGGGTTCTTCAATTTTTAAGTCTCCGCATCTCAGTTTTTACTGTGTTTTTTTATGGCACGAAAAATGTATAGTTCAGGTAGCCACGGAGGAATTTAATTATGGGGAAGTCATTGAAAGTATCAAAAATTACACCAAACTTTCAAATATGGGGAGTGGTAATAAGTTTGGCTTCGGCCAGGACCAATTGAAGAAAAGTTTTGTCTGATGGAAAGAAAACCCTTTTCAAGTAAAACTAAAGCTCACTGCTAGAAAAGTCCGTCCAAAAACATCCTCCTCCTTTAACACGTGCTTGTATAAATATAGGATAAAACAAGTAAGAATATGTAGAGAGCTTCTCTCTCTCTCTCTCTCTCTCTCTCTCTCTCTCTCTTTTTTTCCTCCCTGAAAAGGATGTAGAGAGCTGTGAAATGTGAATATGTGATAATATTGTACCGTGTTAGAATATTGTACCATTTGACGGTCTACCCGAGCGGGAATTTATACAATTTATACAGTGATTACTAAGTAAACGTTAGTTAAAAAAAAAAAAAAAAAAACACTAGTCTCATTGAGTCATTTGCTCCAGTCTGACAGTTTCAGTATCTCCGCCAGCAACAGCGTCGACCTTGGGATTGGGATTGGGTATCCAAAAGGTAAGGGCTGAGGACGCTGCAACAAACATGGCTCTGCGAGGAGCCCATTTCAAGCAAGAGGTAACGCCTATGTAGCTATCCCAGCAAGCAACCTAATAAGCACAAGGGGGATCTTTTCAGTTCATTTATCTCAAATTATCAATCTCACACATCTCTGAGACCAGCAAAATCATTAGAGGTGGATCATCGGCGTACCTTCGTTCGTGTTCTCAAGCTCCATGCGTGCAAAGTTCCATCCCCAGAACCTTTAACATAGTAAATACATCAGTGTTCTCTCATTACCAACGTACAACAGACTGATCGTCAAATCATTTCAAAGATGAAACACATGTTCAGCCATATCACAGTTCAAAGACTCGGAACACTGGAAAAGGCATACAGCACGAAGTTTTCATGCTATTATCTAAATCTAATACTACATCTACAACCTAGCGAAAATTGTGTTAGAATAATTTCAAAAAACAGCATGATGGGACTTGTACTCATTTTCGGCCCCTAGAACCTGGAGCATATTTGAGCTCAAAGCTAACCTGAGAGAACATATTGGCCATCTGGTGTAAATGTAGCCTCTATCGCTGTATCGGGGGATGGATCCAGAACAAATCCACATTGCTGCATCAGACAAGATCAAATGTCTCATTAAAGAATCATGAGTGTCACTGAGAACCTTAGTGCAATGCTTGGGCACACTAACTACACTAAGATGACAGATTGGAAGGAAACTTAAAATAAATTATGATCTAACCTTCTCCCCTCCATATGCATCAAGAACATAAATGTTGTTACTTTTAGTTGTCAACAGCATTGATTTACCATCATTACTGAACTTAATATCACAGACCTCAGCAGTATCACCACCGACAAGAAAAGTATCGAAAGGACCCTGCAGTTCACATAAAAAGTTCAAACTTTAAACATAGCAAAGGTAGTAAATCAAAAGAAGTTGCCCTTATTAATTTGAATCATGTACCAAAAGTTCGCATTTTAGAAGTACTGACCTTATCATATGATCTGGAATCAAATAATTTGATGGCACCTCCTTCCATTGCTACCGCAAAGACAAGACCTTGTTGATCGTAAGCAACAGCAGGTCTACCTCTCAGACGTAAAATGCCCTGAAAGCTACAAGAGTGAGTACTATCACAAGCAAGTTATCATATTCAACCAGGACTCCAAACCATCCCCGTGGACTACATGAATTCCATGCCTCTTTCTTCATTTCCACTCCATCTCATTGATTTGAATTTATTAATTCTACATGATCGTATGCTTTACTGGATATGCTTTAGTCATATGCGGCAAAAAAGTAAAAATAACACAAGGCAACCATGAACAAACAATGAAATTCGGAATTAAGATATCCTAAACGAAATCTGGAAAAAAATGAGGCATATAAAGAAAAACTCATCAAGAGGAAAGAAAGGAATAAACAGAAAAAATAACGCATAAGGAAAAGAAGCCACCACAAAAGCCTTTTTCAAAAGGTTTGACCTAATCAGCCTGCTTGTACCCATTACAACCCCTGCTAATTATTTTTCTCCTTGCCAGAGGCCCCTTAATATTAATGAACATATCTGATGTGCAGTTTGCAAACAATGAAAAAGCCAACCTGGCACGCATTCACGCGGAGATCCCATATACGGACAGTGTGGTCAAGAGAACCAGACATGAAGCTGTCATTCACGGGTGACATGCATAGCGATACAACCCTACGCCATGTAAAAAGAAAAGAAGAAGAAAGAATCAACACAAATTCGAGATGTGTTTTGTTAAAAAATTTGCCTAATTTTGAATAGTCAAATGATCATAATGATGATGAATCAGCATACCTTTCCTTGTGTCCCTTGAAGTAACGGAGACAACGATTATCATACATGGAGAGGTAGCGAAGAGATTCTGGTAACAGGAATTAGTAAATTTCTGTTTCTAAATGTAAATTCAGGTACACTATGAGAAATGAAATCACCTCCTGAGTCTAAGTTGTGTCTTGATGAACATAAAACAGAATTTGGATGGTGGGTGAAGCATATTCTGTCTGCTCCATGTCTCTTATGGTAAGTTGTCTTCACTAACCTGTTAGTAGTATTAAGACTTGATTAGAAGAAAGAAACTTTGATGTATTTGCTCACTTACAAATGAAAATAAAATTGATGTAAATACTATCTGTCGTGAACAGACCCTGCCTAATTTTCAAATCCTGATTTCTCGTTCCGTTTCTACTAAGAACCCTGCCCCACCAATTTGAAATACTTAAGTTAATTGTGGCTTCAATTTTGTCCTGTCTTATGAAATTTTGCAGCTAAAAGTCATTGCATTTCAATATAGGAAAAGTCAAACAAGGCAACTGATGTCCTGCCTATTATTATTGGCTTCAGAACCACTGAGCAGATGTTGCCAGACATGTACGCAAATTCTCTATGGCAGAAGCAAATTTCATGGGTCATACTTACTCCTAGGGCCTTTTGTGCAATCTCCTTAGTGCATTAATCTCAAGGAATCTATAGGATCTAATCGTACTAAGGAATGTCAACACGAACGCTACACCAAGAAAGATACAAAACAGAAAGACTTCATATAGTTTGGACATTGCTAACGTAAACTACGACCTTTAATAGATTATTTCGTGAATCAGGACCAAAACATTACGCAGAGAGATTTATTCATATCAAGCAAGAACTAAAAAAGTCCAAATAGACGGTAAATAAAAATCAATAAAACATAACTCAATTGGTCTCTTATAAGAGGGTCAACTTACTTGCCACCTGCAACATCATATAACCGGACTGAGTCATCCTCACTAGCTGTTACCAATAAATCATCCGTCCGATGAAAATCAAGTGAATTGAGTTTCCCACCCTGAAGAAAATTTGCACACGATTCAGTAAAGATTCAGTTAAACATATCGTGGTCAGTGGTCAGATGATCCAGTAAAGATTCAGATGAAGCAAGTGGGTTATATTATGCTATAGAAGGATAATCAATTCCATTATTCCCCTTTTGACTGTAAATGACTTGCTTGGCTGGCTCTTCTTTGGATTCTCTTCCTCTTTTCACACAATGCATGCTCAAATAGCTAATATTCAGTTTATCCTTTGTCGAAATGTGCAATAAAGATTTATAACAATTTCTATAGGTCCTGAACTTGATTAGACCTTTGAATTAACTCGGAATTACAAATTTCAGCATGCATAATTTTACGCCATTGAACTAATTCAAATTAATAAATTTTAGCATGCATAATTAACATGAATTTTTCTTTACACAACTCAGCTCCCAAGTACTAGTAAAAGCCCTAATCCTAAACCCAGCAAAAGCACGTAAATTTTCAAGCTAGACTGTACTCACAAAATCCGAGAATACGGCAGCAACAGCCATACTACGAACAATGTCGTCGTTGAGTTCTGAAAGCGGCATCATCGTTCTAGTGCTGTAAGGTAGGCGGCCGACCTGTCTGGTGCGAGAGCCGGAGACCGGCGGCGCTTCTTATTGGGATCTTCAACTACGGCGGTGACTCTGCTCGGTAAATACGTAGGATGTATTTCGCGGCTGATTTCAGAAGAGGCTTTCGACATTTATTAGTAGCTGGCAGAATAAGGCCCAGATTCTATTATAATAGACCAGTCATAATGGGCCTTTTAAGAAGCCTGTCTTGGTTCTTAGAGCCCGTTCTGGCAGAATAAAGCCCAGATACTATTGTCCCAATAATTCCAATTGCTGGCTGACGCAATCACCGTCTTGGTTCCGCCGGCACATAGTACTGTAAAACCCAACTTCCACTTACTCCGCCGCGAAAAGCCTGCCCGCGCAAATTTCTTTATTCAAATGTAAACGGAACCGAATGGATTCCTCCTACGCTTCGTTGCTAGAGAAAACTCGTGTCCCTCAACCTTCTTTGCAGAAGTTTGCCGTTATCTCAATCTTTGATAAACTCCGAACAGCTCCTCCGCACCATGGATTGGACTCTGAGCCCGGGAGAGCAGCTGTTAGTTACTGCCTTCACTCCAATTCCGCTTTCGTGGTGGAGGTATCCGTCCGGGAACTATGTTGGCTCGTGAAAGACTCCAAAATGGAGCTCTCTCGCGGACTATTGGAGCTTCAGTCCGCCCTCGAAGAAGCGTCCGATCCTCGTTTCGTCAACGTTTTCGTGAAAGCTATCGGGTTTCTTGTTCAATTAGGGTTTCGCAACCGCTCTTTCTCGCTTCGGTTTCGATCATCTGAAAATCATCCGTTTGTTAAGGCATGAGAGTAATTTAATTAAAATGAATGCAGGATCAAAGTTCAAACTTATCCTTTATGACAATTGTGGCTATTTTTTTGCAGATTCTTTCGTGTCGAAGTGAAGTTCAACGCGAGCTTGTGCAACAGCTGGGTCTATTTATGGTGAAAAATAAGCATTTGGGAATGGATGCCGTTTGTGATTTCTTGAGGCCTTTCTTGAATTACTCAATCATTCAGATGTCTGTTTTGGTTCGTTTTCGTTCCTTTGTGAGAAGTTTGGTGACCTCATTGGCATCGCTTTGTTGTTCATTCTCTTCTGAGGCAGTTCCTGTGATTAAGCTGTTGATGGAATGTCTAAAATTTTTCCCTAGTCGGGATCCAGAAGTAAGTGAACTTATGAATTGTTATCATTTGAAGGAACCACTTTAATGGAACTTTTAATTGAAGAAATAATTGTTTTCATGGGTACTCGTTGCAGGACATTTCAGTCCTTCGCCACTTTGTGGAATGCACAGTCGACGCTTATGTGGTTATTTTGAGGCAGCTGGTGGAGATGGGATTGGTAATTTGTATTTTGCTCTCCAATTTTTCAATTAATGTGAATATTCTCCATTAGTTGATGATGTACTTTGCTGTAGCTTTTGTTTCATTATTCCATTTTAATTGATGTGTTTGTAAAACTATTTCCCTTATAGCTGTCTCAAGAGGTGCAATTATGCGGTCTGGAGCTCACAGAGACCATTTTCTCTCTTCATCATGATCTTCTCCCGCACTTCCAGGAAGTTGAGGATATTTGTGAAATTGCAAGGCATATATTGGTTGTTCAGAAAGAGCTAGGCTTGAATTATGTGCCCGAATTCTCTTCAGTTATGTTATCCTTGTTTCTACCGCTGATTCAGTCCGAGCTTGAACAAGAACAGCTTGCCGTTCTGAAACTCGTTCTCTTTCTTGTAGAGTGGAAGATAGAAAGTGGTATACTTATTTAAAGACTAAAATTACTGGTAGTGTTTGTATTATGATTGTTGCAGGGTTTTTTTTTTTTTTCCCTCTCTCTTTAGAATGGAATATGAACAAGTTTATAAATCAGCTTCACTTTTTTTATGCATGGGCTAATTTTTTTTTTTTTCTCTCTCTTTAGAATGGAATATGAACAAGTTTATAAATCAGCTTCACTTTTCCTATGCATGGGCTAATTTTTTTTTTTTTCCTCTGTCTCTCTCTCTCTCTTTAGAATGGAATATGAACAAGTTTATAAATCAGCTTCACTTTTTTTATGCGTGGGCTAAAATAAACCATGACGTTGGACATTGTTCATGGAGTGTAAGATTTTGTCACCTTTAACATTAAGGTATAGCCTGTTTTGATCAGGAGATTGAAACTAGTTGACGTGATCCCATATATGTGTATTTGATCATACATGCTCTCGTTATGTAAAATTCATTTGACATGCATCTTTGTGCCTTTCCCTTAATTGTGAGAATTTTAATGTTTTTCTTCACACATACTCTCCGTATGTGAGTGCCTTCTCGTAATTGAGAATTTCGATCATTTTCAATCGCTGTGTTGGCATTGATTGGTTCTTTCCTAATACTTGTCTGAGTTTCCATTTGTGTACTGTCTAAATCACTATTCTGGTTATGTGTTCCGTAGATGTTGATCGGTTTCCGAGCGAGTTAAGCGAGGAGCTTTTGTTTATTTTTCCAGTCATTAATATTGCATCATCACCAAGTAAATCTGTCAAGCAAGTGGCAACTGTTCTTCTATCTTCTCTTGAGAAGAGATTGATAGCTTTGTCGGGTCCTCCAAAGGAGGGGCCAGATCCTCAAACAAGCTTCTGCCGCAATAGCTCCCCGGGATGCATCATTTATAGGTTTCTTCAGCATTTGTGGTATCAGGTTTATACTCCGTTAATCCTACTATAAAAATTTACATATTCATTTTCATCCCCCCTAAAGGATTGATATTGTGTCCTCTATCTGATAACACTCCTTGATTTCAGAAAACATGTTCATCTTCTTTTCTTTTTAACCTCGACTTCGCTTCTGCAAAAGACATTAATGATGTGGGACAGAAGGTATATAATTCTTGGACTTATTTGCGTGACTGTTTGTTGCTTATTGTTAATAAGAAGAAGTCCGCTCAAACTCTTTCCAAGTCTCAGGGGATCTTTATTTCAGGTTGACACTTATTTCACATCCTTGAGATTTTTTTTCCTCTACTGTTCTTTGGTTCTGACATATTATCCCTTTTTTATCCGACAGAGATTTCCTTTTCACTTGCTGCTATTGCTAGCGTCTGTCTTATGCATCAGAAATTGAGGAACTCTTCAGTTGAAATCTTAGCTTTCATTGGCAATGTGAACCCAGAACTTGGTCTGCCGTTGATGCTGTTCATTCTACTTTGCAATCGACTTACTGGCAAAGATGGAGACACAGGTTTCTGTGGCATTTCAGTAAGTTTAATTTCATTCTCACGAGCTCAAACTTACCTACAAGCTTTTTGCATGTTTGTTTCCTAATGATATATTTGCGGTGAAATCTGAAAATTCTCTTGATTTTTGTCTTCAGCTGAAAATTCTTGGCCTGCTTCCCTCACTTGCTTCTCATCCTGCAATGATGCCACTAATAGTTCAGACCATATTGCCAATGCTTCATAAGGATGTAAAACCGTAGGTCTTTTATATGTTTTTGTGTTCTCAATGCCATAATTCCTGGCTATAAATTTAAATTGATCAAATTGCTCTACCTTGTTCTATTTGGGAGTTGCCATCTGCTGTTGACATGCTTCTCATGTCCTCTTGGTGGGGAATAATTGAAGAGTGCAGTAGAGTGAATTTCTTGTCCTAGCTATGTGATTCTTTAGAAATTCAAAGTGATTCAGTTGGACTTGTTATGTTTCTTTTAGGCTTACTTTATTTCAAATTTGGCACATGGGTTAATGGTGCTCTTCATGTTGGCCTTTGTTTTGAACTTTATTATCTACCTAGACTAGCAAAAAATTCATCCTTCTTTTCTCAAAGCTACCATTAAAACATTTGATATAAACATATGCGAGAAATACATTTGATATAAACATATGTGAGAGTACATATTTCTTCTGCAGAACAAGATGGTGAAACATAGTCCATTCAACCCACTCCACATAGTGGGACTTGTGTTTTCTAGGAATACCTTTCGGTGATTGCTTGCTGGTGATAGTTCTGCAACTTATATCATCTGTACCATGTACTTCCACTGCTCTTCATATTTGTTTTCGGGTTGTTGGTACGTTAGTAAGTTATTGTCCTGTTCTTAATATTTTTCAGGGTTTTATATGCTACTGCTGTACGATTAATTTGTAAGACTTGGGAGATCAATGACCGTGTCTTTGGAAATTTACAGGTTTGCATTTTCTTTTCAAATCTTACATTATGCTTGTTGTTCTTATCATCTCAGTTTCACCTCAACTTGAGTATGCCTATTGAGTGGTTTGTTCCCTTCTGTTGCACATAGGGAGTGCTAATACCAAGTAAATTTGTGGAGCTTGCAATGGAGAAAGATATCTGCATAAGCATGGCTGCTTCTGTCCTGGATGTTTGCCGAAAAAATCCTGATAGGGGTGTGGATCTTGTTTTATCTGTGGAGGTACAACTATGATTGCCATATTTCCCAAGCTTTTCCAAGCATGCGTATCCATGTTCTTTGATGTTTCTGTTTTGATGGATAGGCTTGTATTGAGAATGAAGATAATCTTGTTCAGTCTCTTGGGCTTCAGAGTCTTGCACATCTCTGTGAAGCTGATGTTATTGGTAATATCCATTATATGCTTGTTTGATCTTGCTTAAGCTCAACTACTTATGATTATATAGAATGTTTGTTTGTTTCAATATGTTTGAGGTTTGCTGGTGGTTTTGTGGTTGGGGTGAAAATTTGTATCTTAACTTATTATTTTCACTGAGTAAGATAATGCCATGATATTGTCTTGTTGCCACGATAGTGTCTTTTTTATCATATTTTGATTATCTGGCGAGGCAATGCCATGATACTATCTTGTTGCCTTATCATATGCAAAAGATTTTATTTTAACCATACTTAAATTTTTTTATTTATTTATTTTTTTGTGGCCGAAAATTTTCATTTGAAACTTACAGTGTTATTCATATTCAACTTGGGCAATTCTAAGGGCTAAATCTGTTTGATTTTCTTCTGTTGAGCCCTTTTTGACACTACCTGTTCTGTTTCATGGAATTAATTTGTTGTGTTTCCTTGGACATTGCTAATTTAGTTCCTTCTTGTGATACATTGTTTGAAATGATCTCGGGCATTTATTAATGATTTTACTGAAATACCGTGGGAGGTGGATTGTGTATTGTACCATACGAGTTGAGATGAACAGGATGTTTGCAGCTTTAAAATCAAAACTTTTTCACATTCTGAATTTTGATCGGCGAAACTCTATGCACCCCAAACTTAATTGTTTTTCTGCTAATTCTTGGCGCAGATTTTTATACAGCCTGGGATGTGATCAAGAAGCATGTATCAAAGTACAAAACAAATGCAGTGGTTACTTATGGGTGAGTTGGAAAAATTCCTGAAGTCTATGTAACTATATAGCTCATGCAGAAAGATTAGTGTTGAAACTAAGTGTATCATAATCTTAGCTATCGTTGAAAGATCCGAAGAAATGTCTCAATTTGAAACTTTAATTCACTTCCATTGGTATCACTAGTGTATGTTTGGACTTTGGAGGTCACCATGTGCTTGTTTATGGGTACCTAAGCAAAGTTCTCGTGTAAATTTTATCTTGTAAAATGTCATTCTAACTTTCTGTGTCGCCAGCCTATGTATTCTTCTACGGTGGGGAGCAATGGATGCTGAAGCATACCCTGAGGTTTCTTCGCACATTTTGAATATTTTATGGGAAGTGGGTACCTCCAGGACTGCTGGTCATGGCCCCTCGTGGGCTAAAACCCGGGCTATGGCATTCCAGGCACTAACCGCTTATGAGGTAAATTTTGAGCGACGTCGATAGCTATTTTGATTTTTCTTTGGTGAATGAAACTCAGACTACTTGACATCCGTCCTTGTAAAGAGAAAGCAGAAGTGCATAACGTGTTTGCAGTATTCACTTTTGCATAATTCAGTCTTGGAACTTTAGTTTGTTAACGAGTTTCATTTCTTTCAGGTTGTGCATATCCTGAGAAGCTTTCCAAATTTTAAAGAAGTGAACCTGGATTTTCTTATTTCAGAGACTGATCCTGAAGTGCTAAGAGTTTTAGAAGGATTTGAATCTAAATTAATTGACTACGAGTTCATGTAAAGGAACTTTTTCATCTTCATTTTCATTTGCTGTCAAAAATCTTTGCTTCCGGCATTTCAGTTTTTTTTTTTTTTTTCCCCTCTTGACTAAATGATTAAAATAGTGAGCCTTTTTATTCAGTAACCGCCGAAGTTTTGCGAGGCAAAAAAGGGAATCTAAAAACAAGATTGAGAAGTTGCTAGATGTTCTTCCTCAGGTTATCTTTCCTAGAGGTACACACTTTTTGTCAAGTTCCATATTCGTGGCCAACAAAATTGATGAATCCTGTTTTCTCTTGTTCATTTCAGTGGCGTCTTCTATGTGTCTTCCTGTATCTTCTTTTGGTTGCTTATTGACTCATTAAATTTCTGGTCCATATGCATAAGCACCCAAACTATTGGGCCTATTTAAATTGCCCAGGAATAATCATGAATATTCTTCTGTTGTGTAATTTAATGGTACTCCTTTGGAAGATTTAATGTTCCTTTTAGGAAGCATTTTCTTCTAGCGCACACATTTATTTCCGACATTTTCACCTTGGCCTCATGCATTCATTTGCAGGAGATGAAAGTAAAGTCAAAGAAATACCTGGTGCAGCATTGTTATTGCTCAATTTTGCGCCAGATTTGCGGAACCGAGGACCACAAAAGGTAAGATAAAAATGGCTGCTCTTTAATGCTCGAACTGATTTGTTATGATTGTTCTTGAATTTACATGTGTTCATTTGCAGGAACTGGAAGAAATGAATGCTAAATTTGAGAATGTGATGGTGGAAATAGCGTCCTCTCTTAAGCTTTCGAGGAATGTACTGGTTGCCCTTGTTTCACTGCAATCATGGAAGCCGTTCATGCGACGATGGGTTAAAGTTCAGTTGAAGTTACTCGGTGCAAAGCCACATTCCTCTGTGTTGGATAACACTTCTAAAGCTGCAAACAATATTTTAAAGGTTATGATAAAGAGTTAATTGTATTTTGAGTATTGTCTAGAAGTACTTCTCTCCTCAATTTTCATATCAACGCATTAAATAGTTGCCGATTAATCTCATGCCAGATTTTGAGAAGAAAGGCTGATGAGTGTATACCTAGCTCTGCAGAAAATTTTGGTCTAGCTATTGGGGCGCTTTGCTCTGTAAGAAATCTCTCGTTTTCTTCCCCTAATATTGTTCTTGGGGTTAATGAGTCTGGGTTCTTTTTACTTAGCAATGGTCTTGCTCTCACAGTTATCAGATTCAGAACAATATGACATTAACAGTCTGCTTCTTGGGTTACTGATAGGCCATTGTTGCATCGTTTATCTTCTAAAGTATTCCATCCACTTTGAAATTTTGAGAGGATGGTTATAAACTCATTAAGTTGCCCCAAGTCCTACATCTAAACGGTTGAATTGAAGGTACACATCAAATGTATAAGGATTAGGGAAGAGAAAACATGCATCTATAATCATTATTAACTGTTTGTCAAGCATAATATCTTCTTGTTATTAGGTCTAAGGCCTAATTTCCCCTTTCTTATGTGATCTTTGTTTTACCACTTCCTTTTTCAGTTGGCTATCTACCATCTTCACCTTCTTTTTCCCTAAGATGAAAAAATTTGATGCTCGTAACTCCTTTTTGCTGGGAAATTATTTTCTTTATTGGTTAAAATGAGTTAAGCCGAGGGGCAATTTATTACTTAAAAATGAGTACATAATCTCCCAGTTAATGTTGTGATTTATCTCATCAGGTACTTCCCCAGCCAGTACATGTTGTGAAATCTTCTGCCTCAAAATTTCTGTGCTCTTGGTTGTTGCAACATGAACATGAGTATCGCCAATGGACAGCTGCAATCTCTCTCGGACTGGTATCAAGTTGTCTTCATGTGACTGACAGAAAACAGAAATTTGAAAATATTGATGTCCTTCTCAAGGTATCATGTCCCACTGGTTTAATCCAAAGCTCGTGTCATGCATGGAATGAAGTCTGCCTTACTTTTATGTTTTCCAGGATATGATGAGTGTTTCTCCCTCTAGTTTTAGTTCTCTAGATTTTGGCTATGTGCACTCATTTATATTGACCTTCGAGATTGGTTAAATATCTAAAGTTAAGTATATCAAACGCTTTGATGACTGAACTGCACGGCTTGATGGTTTATCTCTAAGTTTCTTTTCTAATAACCTTTTGATATGAGTTCAAACCAAAGCATATATTCTAATGCATAAAAGAAATGCATAGTTGGTCATGTAGAATTGGTAGAATAGTATTCATGTCGAAGAAATGGTTTAATAAATATAAGTTCTGTTTGTTCTTTGCAGGTTGCATCCTCTAGCAAAAGCACTCTAGTGAAAGGAGCTTGTGGAGTTGGATTGGGGTTTTCATGTGAAAGTCTTCTTACAAGCGTTGGTTCTGAAGGTAATTCTTCGTCAGAGAGAGAAAGTTATAAGACAGAAGAATTAGAAGTGCTCAGAAATATCATTACGGTATTGTCCAACAGTCTCTGTCAGTTCACAGAATCCTCCGCTGATATATTACGAAAGCTACCTTCATATATTCCTCTGGCAAAGTATGGCTCTAACCAATATGTTTCAGTTGAGTCAGTGAACGACGTCTGTGGTGATTTAGAGGAAGATATATGGGGTGTTACCGGACTTATATTGGGCTTGGGAAGCTCAATTAGTGCAGTATACAGATCTGGAGCTCGTGAAGCAGTCATAAATATTAAGGACTGGATCTTGTCTTGTATACTTTACTTCAACTCTTCAATAGAAAGAAATACTAGCATAGAAAAGCGTGATATGGTGTTGTCTGCTGGATCCTGTTTGGCCCTACCTGTTGTAGTGGCTTTCTGTCAACGAGTAGAACTGATCGATAGTACCGAGGTAGACCGTCTAGTAAGTTCTCTTAAAGAGCTGATTTCTGAGCTTGTATCAGTTGAACAATTGAGTACCTTTGCCCAGAGCTTGTTGATAGCATCTTCTGTAGGAGCTGGAAACTTTTTGTCCAGCATCTTAAATGGAGGTATTTACTCCTTAAAAGTTGAAGATGTTAAGGACCTATTATCATTGTGCAGAAAAATATACTCCAGTCCTCGCCCTCCTTTGGTTCATTTTGGAGGGATGCTCGGAGTCATAAGTTTGTTAGGAGCCAGTGTTGGACTACCAGATCAATATATCACTTCTACCCAGGCAGACATTCCCTTTGATCAAAAGGTGATTAAATTTGTGTCCATATACTTCATCTCAAAGAAAATTCTGTTCCTTTTTCTGAAATATGTGATGTATTATTGTCCAGATGGAATCTTCTCGTATAATGGGTCCTCTACTTTCAATACCACTCGTGGAGCCTGAATTGACATTGTCAGTGCGGGAGATTTTTCTAGCTGCACAAGAATCTGATGACCATCAATTTCGGCAATTTGCAGCCTGGGCGATTTCGCTCCTTCGAGATTTCCTCTGGTTCAAGCAACCTCAGAATGAGGAAATTACTTTTCAAGAGGATGCAATCAGTTCAGTTCGTCAAGGTCTCCCAAAGGACAGTTTGGTTGTCAAAATCTCTACGTGGTTAATGCATTTGGACCTTCAGGTATATCTTTCTTGTGGATCTGCTTCTTTAGGATTTCATGTACTTAATGAATCTGCTTTTTTTCCGGTGGGAAGTTCTGTAAACTATTAGGATGTGGATCTCTGTCTTTGCTGTGAAGGTTGTTGTAACGCACATGTGATATTGTTTCGTAACTGCTACACGTCATGTTATTGGACTTAAATGCCGTCTTTGCTTGAAAACTAAAACACGTCAAGTGGCTTATACTGTCACTATATTGAGGGCATTACGCTTGTCTTACCTTTTATTTTCATGCAGACAGCTACAATTTCACATGCTACCACGGTTTTTAGTGCTTTGCGTTGCCTTTCATACGCTCCAAGATTGCCAATGTTGGATTGGGGTGCAATAATTAGACGGTGCATGAGATTGGAAGATCTACTTGCGAAGTCATTGGCTCTGGATTCTTCTATGAAGAAAGGATATCTCAGAGAGGAATGTTTATTATTCTCATTATGCCATGCAAATCAAATTGAACCACTCCTTGTTTTCATTAATGAGCTATCTGAGCTTTCTAGGTTTAAGACACTTGACAAAAATCTGCAGTCGTGTTTTCTTTTGCATCTGGCAGATCTGATTAAAATATTCTCAGGTTCCAGGCTGGAGAAGTTATTTGAGGATATAATTAACTTCATGTTGTGGGTAATCTCTTCTCAGAAGTACAGCCAGGAAGAGAAGAGCTTCTTAAGGACTTCCTGTTGGAAAGGTCTTTCCTTTTGTTTGGGTGGAGATTCTCTTCATGTGCAAGAATGTGTGGCTTATATGGAAAAGTGCATGAAGGTTCTCTTTGACTTGTTGCCTGCAATAGACATTATGGAACCATGTTCTGAGATTTCCGAGGAGTTCTCTGAAGCTGTTAGTTGTCTGGGAAAGTCTAATCAGAGATGGTTGTTAGATCTTCTGCAGGTGATGGCCCTTCATGCGAAAAATTGCATACTCATCTTTCTTAGTTTGCCAATCCATAATCTGTTAACTGTGTACATGTGTTACAAATGATCTCTTAGAAACAAGCTCCTAATCCTTCTGGTCAAATGGTTTTATGTGTTTAATAGTTTGTACGTGTTACAAATGATCTCTTAGAAACAAGCTCCTAATCCGTCTGGTCAAATGGTTTTATGTGTTTGATATTTTGCATGCGCATCATAATCTTATTTTTCATTTCTCTTGTCGCTTTTTGTAGACACCAGAAGCAAGCTTCATGGAGGAGAATAGACATTTCTCTGAAAGTGTGAAAAAGATTCGAGCAAAAGCTAGACTGGTTCGAATCGGTTCTCTGACATTGACCGAGCTTGGAAAACTAAGACCTTATTTTCTGAATCTGAGATCTGAAGGTGAGTTTTTCAATGTCAGGAAAATAGGTCCCAGTAGCAATTAGCAATGCTTGTTTTATTATGCTTATAAGTATGTTAAAGTGCCATTTTCAAGTTACTGGGATATTTATTGGTGAAAGTAGCGTGTAGAGATTTTTCTTACAAACTGCACAAATCTGCCAGAAAGAAAGCTCTATTGAATTTGGACATTAAATGATGGAGAAAAAGGAAGCTGAAATTGTTTAAATTGTCTTTTGCAGTAATGTGGAATGTTCTGACTGAAGTTGCTGCAGCTCTGCAACATGCCGAGGAAAATGTTAAAGTGGAGTGGCTTCTTGAAACACTTCAAATCAGTTGTGTGACAAGTTATCCATCCACGGTAACATCACACTATAGTATTGAGTTTGTAGCGACTAGCCGGGGTTTGAATTTTGGATAATCTAACAATTGTTTGATCCTTCTGCAGGCTCTGCAGTTGTTGGGGCTGTTATGTGGTAACTGGTGCAAGTACATGCCGATACTGGTGATGGATAAATATAACGTGCTCAGGGATCTACCCATCACCCTTACGAGCTTTCTTCGAGATTCCAGCTTGGGCAATTTATCAGAATCTGTATTTTCAAGTTTGTGGACGTTGACAGAGCGAATTTATGGATGGGTTACCGGCGATAGTATACCTAATCAACAATCTATAGATAGAAGCGAGAATGATGCATCAGTATTTCTGTTGTTCGTTCTGCATCGTGCATGTGTGCTTTTAAAAGACTGTCTGCCTTTGGATAAGCAAATTGAGCTTGCTAATATGGTGATTCCATGAAACTTCTTATTGTTTTGGAATTTGTTGTACATTTTTCTTTAACTATGCCGATGAAGGATCTCACCTGCAGTCAATTATTAGTGTAATTTGTACAAAAGAAATTCATTGGGTCAGCTAATGTATCTTTAGTGTCCGAATTCTCAGTGGCGGTCACAACTAATGGTACCCTCGATGGAGCTGGAAAGGTTGTCGTCCTTGTGGTTGATATCGATTGTGTTTATTTTATTGATCACTTTTGGTTAAAATATTACAATTTCACTCCGGTGATGTTGCAGATCGTACCATAGATAGTCAGAAGTTCCTCAAAGTAGTTTTTCAGTGAACAAAGAAATCTAGGAAACAATTCCCCCCGGAATGAAAAGAACATATAAATGCTTCCACTTCAACAAAATAACAGAAAAGAAAAGAAAAAATGTAGCCCGCTAGGGGTGAAACAATTTCCACTTAAATGTCTCGTGTCACGTGAGAAATACAACTGTTTACAAGTTACAAGCACTAAAGGTACCACACAGCTTAGCTATAGTTTAAATTAAGAAACAAAATTTCCCTCTTTACAATTCCAAATATGGAATAATTTTAACAAAATTGATACCAGATTACAGCAATGGATCAAACACTTGAGTATTTTCATGTGCATGAAGTTTACCTCTCTGTACAACTCTGACAATTTGGCCAGTATAAAAAAAAAAATTTAAAAAAAAAAAAAAACTGTCTAAATTAAGGTGAAAGGTTTCAACAAGATTGTAAATCCCCAACCTGATCCACAGATTTTGCATCATCTACACTTCTTTCCTCCGAGGCATTGTTTCCTGAGGAAGCTGTTTCATGGTTTGCAACTTCTCCACTTGATTGTATATTAACATCTGAGGAACCTGTTACATGGTTTGCAACTTCTCCACTTGATTGTATATTAACATCTGAGGAACCTGTTACATGGTTTGAAACTTCTCCACTTGATTGTATATTAGCATCTGAGGGTGACGACTTCAAAGAAGTAGGTGGATTTTCCTTCCCACTAATTTCCTTTCCAGCTTTACTAGACATCAACCACTTAAACTGCAAATTCTCCCCTTGCCAGGATTTGCCATTCAAAAATGCCCTTTCAGCAGAACGTCGATTCGTAAAAGATATACGAGCTGAGATCTTCGATGTCTCTGGCTCGCAAACACTATTATCTTGAGGCTCAATATCTTCCACTTCTACAAGAGAAAGGTCACCGTAAGTAGAGAAGTGGTCCTTCAGAGCAGAAACCTGGTGGAATTAAGCCTCAGTTAGACAAGAAACCCATTGATTGTTAAAAATTGTCTAAATCTAAAATTTAAAGGTGTGATAACTTTAGGAGTGCAAAGGCATAGAAGCATGTTCATTTAAAAAAGAACTAAGCCATTCTACAAGATAAATGAGACTGGAGAAAGATAAAGGGAATCACATTTGCAAGACCAGAAGGTAGAGGTGGTAGAATTCTGAATGCAGTAGGACGGTTGTCCAGCTTGAATCTGTTGATAACAAAAGGCGCCCCTACTGGAGCCAGGGGACGTATTAAAGGTCTTAATGTTGAGGCATCTGGCGCCATGATAGTTGAACTGGGTTTCAAACCATGAGCTACAGAATTCTCGGCTGGTTTACCACTATCTACCGCCACCTCCACTTTTTGGGGGGAAGCAACAACAGTACCAGATTCACTGGACCTCGACATTTCAATTTTCTCTACATCAACCAACAAGCCTCCTTTATGTCTCTTAGTAGGCGGATCCGATGCTAAGTCATCTTTACCGCCAGCCTGCAAAAAAAAAAAAGCATTTAGAAGACAGACATCCAGATGATGAACCGCATCATAAAGCTGAGTGACATCAAATGATTTGACATGCAGCTATAATTCAGAAAGTACAAGACAATGGCTATTCCAAATAATGTGAATGCAAACAAAATGCATAAATACACTCGTGCTCCCAACATGCATTGTGAAATAAAGAGTGACAAAAACAGCAGATCTGATTTCAAGAACTTAAAGAACATGACGGCTTCATAGTTGAACTCCACAATTAACATTAAATGACAGCTTAATGAAGCCACAGAGGAAAAAAGTACAGTACTTGTTTCTCAAGTTTGTTCAGATGACGCTTGAATTCACTCCTTTTCTGATCAAGCATTTCCTGTTTCTTCCGTAGTTCTTCCTTCAAAAGCTCAAGGCTCTCTAGCTTCTTTTGCAGGGGAGGAGTAGCTTGGGCTCCATTTGTAACTAAAGGCTTCTGGTTATCTTCTAATCTGGGCAAAGTAGTTGTGGATGATGGCACAACACTATTTTTAGACGCAGAAATTTGAACATTGTCTTTTCCTTTGCTTGTGACCAATGGGTAGGTGGGACTGGCAGTGACTGCCACCCCTCGGACATTAGGTAAATTAACACCACTTGATCCATCATCAGGAATACTGTCCCTATTAGCCCAAAATAACTTGATGAAACGATTGCCCATTACAGCATCAGGTGCCTTCAAGGCAGCTTCTGCTTCTTCCCTCTTGGAAAATTGAACAAAAGCACGGTCACTGTTTGATGGTATATAAATGTCAATGACCTCTCCAAATTTTCTAAAATGAGAAAATAGAGCCTCCCTTTTGTTATCTTTCAGAGGAATGTGGCCCACATATAATGTACGAAGTGCCTTTTGTGATGGCTTTCTCGAAGTACGCCCAGAATCACTCTGAGCCTTAGAAGGCAATCCTATAACTTGTGACCCAGTCTCGTTGCCATTTGCCAATTTCCCTTTATGGACAATGACTTCTGCCCCGCTACTGGACTCCATATCCTTTCTCTCATTATCAAGAAGACCAGGAGAAGAATTAAAATCAATCTTCTCCCTCACCTCTGACCTATTTTTAGAACTATTAATCCTTCCCCACACAGATGAACTTTGAGATGCTGCGGCAGACCCTAAATTGCCAAGCAAACGGTCATGGTCAGAACTATCGATCTGCCCGATCAAAAGATGCTCACAATTATCATGATCAGACAAAGGATCAATTCTATCTGCATTAGATGAATTTAAGTTTGGAAGAGCAGGAGAAGCATCATGAGAATTATAAGCCCATAATGGTTGATCAGGATCATAAAAATCAGATCCTCCAGCTCCATTCACAGCCAATCCATCATCACCCACTCCAGATTTTTTACTTTTGGTTTGTACACTTTTGGTATTCATCAACGTGCCAGAGGGAGCATTTGCAGGCAAAGGTCCTTGTTCACCAGGCGGTACCAACATATGTGCGCCAGGGAGTGAAACCGGAAGATTGAACTGCGAAAGGCTCTGCAATTGAAAAAAAGAAATGAAATAAATGTCAGAGAAGCCTCGGCAATTCCCCACAAAATATGTACTAAATAATAATAAAATAGTATAATCAGATTTACAATTTGATTTTGATACTAAATCGAGGGGAACCATACATTATCTGGTCACCGAAGTTCCAGAAGTATTCTAACTTCCCTTATGAAGTATACACTTTTAAGTTAGACCCGAAGAAGAAAAGGAAGCAGAACTCCCTTCATAACATAGATGCCCACAGTACAAAAGAACACTTCTGGCCCAAGTGGTGACAAAGGCCATTGGACTTAAGAAACAGCAACCATTGTCTCATTTCTTCTACATCCCTTTCTACAAATTTATGAGCCCATCAATTCATATCCTAATAATGTCTTAATCGCTTTTCATTTTGAAATTTTAGAATAGTCAAATATGAGTCGCATTTGATTTTATAAAGAGACGGGTGAAGAACAAACAGTAACCAAAAAACAAAAAGAAAAAATGAAAGGAAATCCCCAAGAGCAAGAGAATAAGAATGCTTTGCCAGAAAAATGATCTTTCAAACGCAATGCTAACTGAGTGCGGAGGTGCAGGAAAATTCAATGAAATCTTTGTAAATTAAATATTGAATTATGCAAATAGAGGCAATTTACACGGAAAAGCAACCATTCTAAATTTATCCAGCACCCCAGACTAGCCATTCTTGCATTAAAACAATCAGCTAACTTACTAAAATGATTCTAGAATACGTTCATTGGCCAGTGGACAAATTTCATGATCATTAACAATCTAGCGATAGCTCCATTCATTATCATTGAGAACTAACATGCATAAAAACAGGTCCAAATAATATGCATGCCATCAAGTAATCAATGCCAAATTTGGTCTCCCTCAGTCAAATAATGAGATTCTTCTAATAAATATTCTTCCATTAATTCATTTACCTGAACATCCTCAACAACTATTCGGTGGACACCGTGCTCCATTGGGCACATGTCACCCCTTAAGCAAAAACCACGCTCCTCAAAATCTCTACAGCGAGCCCGAGGAATGCCTAAACTTAAAGGAGGATTAATAGATGTGTTAAGTGCTCCTGGCATACCAATTGTATGAAGATTTTCAAGACCACCATTAGGTATTGCTGGAATCAACCCGAAGGCATTCCATGATGCATTCTGCATATTTGCAACATTTGGCAATCCTCTTCCTGCAAACAAGTTTGGTGGAATAGATCCAGGTTGCACAAGTTGAGAAGCAAGGTCAACGGAATTGAACCTGGAATCACGTTGGTTCCAGGAACTAGATTCTCTACCTCTACCCCTTCTTTGGCTCAAGTCAAATGGAGTTCTAGCAAATGATGCTGCATGTTGGCGTCTTTTATCAAATCTTCCAGAGGAATCTCTTTCCTCATTGATAGTGTTGTGGTTCTTCCAGGTTTCATTATACTGAGAGGCACTGTCCCTGAATGGATGCCCGTTTTCAAAAGGTCTGTTCCGCTTTCTGTATGATCGCGTGAAAACTTGCTCAGACACATCCCCTTCCAGAGATTGCGAACGTGTTTCTCGTCGACGATGCTTATGATTACGGTCATCATCATCATCTTCACTGATTTCTTTCTCCTCAGGATCACTACTAGGAGACAGGCTGGGCTTTGGAGATGAAGCGTTATGGTCCATAGGGAGAACTTAGAAACCAGGACCAAGTAATTTCTATGGCATCCAATTTGACACTGCAGGAAGGATGAATCAGAGTATCCACTAAACTGACCAGGATAGATAAGAACAGTGGTACCTGACAAAGACAGCAAGACAACGTTAAATATATAATAATAAAAGCTACCAACAACACGGTATTATTTAAGAGCATAGGATATTCGAATGGCACGTGCAGTCTGTTTTAGTTCCATTTTAAAAGGATAAAGTTGTCCCCAACTTCAGAAAGTCTGGAAAAACAAAGACGAAACATATACTTTGTAGCACCATCATAATAAAAACATAAATCATATATTCACAAGTAATGCAGTCACATTTAAGTCTGTCGATACTTCTTATGTCCTGAGAGCTGGCATTTTCTCTTATACAGTAGATTCCTGGAAACATATGCAGCAAACCAATTCACCAGCAGCCAAAATACACATACATGCATACGTGCATCAAATTAACAAAAATGGAGGACAAAAATGATGACTGCAGCCGCTAAAAGTATGTTCCACCATGTGAAATCAGCCATAAGAATAACATCATGCCATCAGGTTCTGCCAAAACAAACTTCTGATATAGGTATAAACAAGTCATGTCTATTTCAGAAGTTGATCTCCAATCCTAAGTCTTCCCTTCCCCTTCTAAATTATTGAATTTGAGTTAACAAATTATGATTCTCTATAAAATTTTGGACGAACGTAAAGGTTCCTTACACATTCAAACTTGTTTCTCTAGTTTTCTAAAATATTGGGACTATTCCCACTGTCATATCTAATCCACTACTAATCCTATCAAATGTAGTTTATGAACACATCGAACTCAATATTATCATGCTGCAAACCAAATTTCTACAACATTACATTCCAACACAGTGAACTGTAAAGCGGATTAAGCCTTATGACTACCATATATTTTTCTCATTTTCCTTCTCTTACACGAAAGATAAAGAGAATGTATAATAGCTTCATGCTTTACATATAGCTAATGAATGGAAATCCCCAACTGAATGCACTTAGCTGTCATCAGTCCACAACACCAAGAACTAAGGAGAAACCTTCAACCTAAGAATTCCACAGCTGACAAGAGTTTAACCTACCGCCCAAAACACTGTGAATTCAACAGGCCAAAGCTCAAATTCAACAAAAATGAATACGCAGATCATTGCTCCTGTTTCATACTAAAACATCAAAACCTAATGTACAATCTCTGAAATACCGTACAGACAGTAACAAGAGCTTGCTACCCATTCATACGCAGCCATTTCTATGGCTGGAACTAATATCTAAGCAATAAATCTTCAAGCAAATAAACCCGACTTCTTAATGTACCTAGAGAGCGGGAAAATAAACAAGAAGAATAAAGGAAACAGAATAACCAGATATCCCGTGACCAAAACCCTAAATAAATTTGGAACAAGAGAGTTTCCAATGTCAATAAAAACACACCTGATTTCAATCGAAATCAAAATCCCGAATTAGGGCACCGATTGTGTGGTCTCCTCCTCCTACTGAATGCAATCGATTTTGCGCATACCGAAGAAAGATAAATTCCTTCGTCTACACCGTTAACCAACAAATTATCTGTCTGTCTCTGTATGAAAATAATCTATTCGTGGAATTATCAATTACGAGAAACGAAGCGTATCGAGAATTCTTCCTGAATGTCCTTTTTTTTTTTTACCTCCTTAAATTTCTTTCTTTTTCCTTTTTTTTTTTTTTAAGAAAAAGAATGGAAGAGGGTTTTACTGAAGCATGACTGGGTTGGGTGGAGGTGGTGAATTTTATGACGACGAGTTCAATAAATTAACTTCGGCCTAAAATCGGTGGGAAAAATGAAAAATACAGTAGATAAAATAAGTTCTTGTGCATCACTTTGGGGCTTCTTTTCTTTTTTCAGAAATTTTATGTTAAGAAATAATTCGGTCTCTTTGGTTTTCGTGGTTTGGGCGATTTACTTTTTCCTTCATCCAAAATGGTTACTTTACAAATAGACATTGTTATCTTATTTCTTCCGTCCAAACAACTAATTAACAGTCTCATTGTTGAAATCGTGGATATATAAAATAATCAAATAATAACATCTTGGATGAAGATTTGTTTCATATTTATAGAAATGTTTTAACTTCTTTTGTCCGTCACCTTAGAAATACAGAAAGTAAAAGAAAAACTAAATTCTTTTAATTCCAAAGAACAAAAAATTATATTTACTTATAACTAAATGTAAAAATCTAAATTGAATAATTATTTCGACACAAAACATATTACATTTAATAAATATATAACTATTTTTGTACATAGTACACGATTAAAACTAAAAAGAATTTGAAAAATGGGAACGGGGATACTTAAAATTATGGGATCATAATATTAGAAATTGAAACTAACAACTAAAAACTGGCAAAACCAACAACACCTGCTTTTATTAAACAAATAACAATAATCGAGTAGGAATTTTGATCCTATCTGGTTTATACTCAGCTGAAGAGTATAGAGTTCAGATTTACATGACGAAGTCAGAAAGCTATCTGCCCGAAGTTATAAACAGCTCAATAATGAAAAGCTCAGGCTATGTAGTATGTACTTTACAGGGTGCACAGAGAAGCTGCCCAACATGAAATAAAGCTTCATGCGTTCCAGAATGGCAAATTTGAAAAGGGGAGGGGGGAAAAGAAAAAGTTAAGCAGCAAATGCAAACAACAGATAACAAATGCAGAACCAAAAATTATGAAACAGTAAGAGAAAAAATCACCAACATCCAAACAGCTTAAGTTTTCAGCAAAAGCTGACCATGGATACAAATCAATTACTCTTCTGTACATAATGAGCACCCGGCATCAGAAGAAGATAAAGCTACCGCCCAAACCAGCCTCGCGGAGGCTGCACATCCCCATCATTCATCAGCTTATCTAAAACCACGTTCAGATCCACCGCTTGCCCATTCTCTGTCAATTTCCGGACTGTTGCTCGGACCTGGTCTCTTGAAAACCCCATGTTTGTGACTTTGTCAACCACATCATCGATAGGAACCCTGTTTCCAGAAACCGGAGAACCAGGTCCACTACCAACAGCGGAGGCAGTAGGCACTGCTTGAGGCAGAATGCGAGCAGTAGGGAGCTGTGGATAAGCACTACCACCACTGCCATGGCTCATAGCAGGAGAAGACATCTGCTGAGGTTTCACCAGCGAGTTACCACCATATTGGGAGGTTGAACCACCATAGGGATATTGCTCAGTTGAGCCACCGGACGGGCCAAATGAACCTGGAAATCCGGGGCCAGGCCTATTAGCTGGTGGTTCATACATGTTGCTAGGGCCACCGTAGAACTGTTGGTGGGGAGGCGCTGCATTGGGTGGAGGAGGCGGCGGTGGAGTTTGACGGACATTTGGAGGATAATTCTGAGATTGAGCATAAGGTGACTCTTCGGGATGATGATGTGTTATCGAAGGCTGAGGTTGCGACAGATTAACTGGAGGGAGAGAGGCATGTGGTGGAGGGGGAGTAGGCGGCTGAGGATATGGAAGCTGAGGAAGTGATTGATACTGATGTTGCGGCTGTGGTTGTGGTTGAGAAGAAGCCTGGAGTTGCTGTCCTGGAGGCATTTGATATTGCTGACCCGGGTTTTCGGGTGTTTGACCAGGTGGTGGTGGTGGTGGGGGTGCAAAGTAAGACTCCCGCTGAGGTTCGGGTGGAACTTGATTGGGAGGGAAATGGCCTGGAAGTGGAACATGGGGTGGCATATTCTGCTGGGAAGCAGGCGGGGGAGGAGCATTAGGTGGAGGCACTGATGGAGGGTGTGTAAGAGGAACCGGAGGAAGCTGTTGTTGAGAGTGTTGACCTGAAGTTACACCAACCTGTAAAGAGACCACATGTTCAGGGGTCGGGATATCTGCCTGTTGCTCAACCTTCGAAACTTGCAGCTTAGAAAGTGTTAATCTAGCATCCATTATCTCTTGTTTGTCCTTTATAGTTTGTACACCATCTTGCACCTGCAGCAATACAGTGAGACTCAACACAAAAAATAATACTAATGGGTGGAAGGTTTGTCCAAAAGAACTTGATAGCAATTACCGACGATAAGAAACATAAAGTTGATAAATGAAAAGCTATGTTCATCTTCTTCTGAAATCATAGTTGGAGTCTGACAGATGAGTAAAAAGAGTGAAAGGAAAACATGTCAACAAGTACATAAGTTGTCCGCTTCCAGATGGAGGTGTTGGGTGCACGGAAATGAAACTTAGCACATGCCTAGCTGCAGACCAGTGGTGTGTGTTGATGCTCACCAAATCCCAACCCATTCTTCATTTCTCATCTCACTTCTTATTGTAAAAAATTTTGCATGCATTCGCAATACAACATTTTCACAGTTCTAACACAATCTCTTTTATTAAAGAAAAAAAAAACAAAACAAACCAACCAGAAAAAAAGCTATCCATGCAGACCAATCACTAAAAAACAGATGAAGATAGAAATCAAGATACCTCTCTAAGAATATTTTCCAATTGTCTCATTCTCCCATCAGAACTTCCATGGTTAGTCCCAACGGAGACCTTCAGCTCATCCAAAGAGTTTTCAAGATGGCGGGTTCTTGACTCCAACTGGGATAATCGTGCACTAACACTGTCCAACCCATGCATCAAGTTATCAGCATACTTCTTCATGGTACGATCAATCTCAGACACCAAAGTTGGGTCAATTCCACTTTGATCCTTCTCTAAGGTGAATCTTGAAGGTTCGTATGACTCGAAGGAACTGTAATTCTGTTTGACAGGAGATAAGAACTCTATTACTTTTAATAATATGCTCGTGCCTACAACAAACTCAACTTTGATCAACAAGAAAAGGATTTACTCAAAACACCAAATCACAAACCCTATATATTTGCAACATGCATATTTAAGTGTGGTAAACTTTGTAGCAAACATTTTTGCCACTTTTTTCTAAACCCAAAAAATGCACTTGAAATACAAATAGATTAGTCATTGCTGTTTCCTGAGCAAGTGAGCAAATATTGCAGTCAGCGTCTCCGTTCAAACAATTAACAATCACAACTTTCGTCACAATTATTGAAAGAAACTTCCATATCTTTCTATGCTTCAAATAGAATGAAAATTAATGGAATGCCAATAGCAAAAGTTACATAGGCGTTTATGGCCTCAATTTGAAAAAGCGCCAGCTGATTACAATGATGCTAAACTATTTTCAGCAACAATAAAACTTGAATTCGAGATTGCAAGCAAAGTCCGACGTAAGTTTTCCGAATCACTTCGATTACTACTAAATTAGAAAACATCATAATTACTGGATAGGCAATGAAGAAAGACATGGGCACGAAGAGTAATCCATGTCCATAACAATTGTGAATCATAATAAACCTTAAAAAAACAAACTATCAAAAATAACAAAAGAATGAATGTTAATACAATTACCCTGATTCCACCAGCGTTACTTTTGTTATTGTCCGCTGAATTCCAAGCCCTAGGAGAAGCACCAGTACGACTTGAATCCAACTTAGATGAAGGCGGGGAGGAGGATCCAACAACGAGACGAATCGGCTGGAAATCATAGCTGGGAAGGATCTCTTCTTTCTTATCGGAATCACCTTCGCCGCCGCCGATGTGGTGGTGGCGATCGGCGGCGGGAGGGTTTATCAGATCGAGGAAATCGGAATTATTAGTGTTGGGAGTGTTGATGTTGGAGTGAGAATTGGATAGATCCATGATCTGTTTGTCCATGAACTGAGACGTATTCATCGAAATTTCCTCAAAGAATGATCTCACAGTATTTATTCACAAACAAAATCGAGAAAGCTTCCGGCACTTCTGAATTTTGAACTTTATTATATTAGTGTTGAAATATATGTATTGGTAAATTACTCAATAGTCCTTTTTGTAGGATTTGATATTCGATAGAGCCCCTTGTTTTTATTGCGGTACACTATTTAATACATCTTTCTTCCAAAATCATTTGTCCAATTTAGAGATAACTAGGAAAGTATTTGTCTTTCGTGATATGGGGGAATCCAGAGGTTTTACTCAAAAGAGTTAAGACACTAAATAGGATTCAATCACTAGACCTATGCCTACAAAGGAGTGAGCGAGTGGTTTGGGTTTTGGCATCAATTTAGAGAGCCGAAGGTCAAACTCTTGTAATACTATCCCTTTTTCCATATATCTATCCAAATATGATTACTATTCAACTTAATCAAACCTATGAAATACATTTAGAATCCTTTTAGTTTTCAGGTTTAATATTGATTTTATTTTATTTTTATAGGTTTATTACTTTCAAATTTGCTCTACCATTTTGAAGGTTAGTGTTTTTTTTTTTTCTTTGAAACAAAATATGTTATCAATATAAAACATAAAGTTAATACAAGGATGTAAAAGAAAAAGTAAGTCTCAACGACTGAACTTACTATTTAATGAAAGAAATCCTACAATTAACGTTTGTGCCTCCGCCGGAAGGTTCAATTCAGCCATACTATAATTTTTCGAGGCACTACAGTCCGTATACATTTTCACTGAGTTAATTCCCCTTCCCCTTCCCCTTCGCTTTGGTTTAATTATTCGAGATATTTGATTCTCTACCTCTGGGAAGGCTTTTTTTTTTTTTTTTTTACTTTTTTTTCTTTTTTATGTGGTTTATGAATATGCCTGGTGAAAGGAAATGAAATCCATAAACCGCATGAGAAGATGAAAGTAAACAAGGGGCAATTTATCCAGTATACTCGGGGTCACCATACTCCCCCTCCTATTTTTTACACTACTAGTCCTTATTACATTTTTTACTACTTTTTTAAATAACATCTTATAATTTACAGGTTTAGTCCATTTGATTTTTTTTCTCTTTCCTTTAAAAAACATCTCTAATCTTTAAACGACCATATCTCATGATCCGTAAAAAATTAGAGAACGTGTTGTACATGAAAATTATAATACTAGTCGAGATCTATCCAACAAGATCAATGTCGAATATTTTTTTCGAGTTTAAAAATGATTAAATTTCGATGGGCAAAATAAGATGGATATCTAGTTTAGAAAGATGAATAACCAGTTTAGTTTAAAGAATTAGAATACGAATTATACATGAAATTTATAGTGCTCGACGAAATCTATCCGATAAGATCTATATTGAATATTTTTTTTGAACTTTAAATGCATTTAAATTTTACGGGCAGAAATGAAGAAATATATTTTTCGTTTTTCTTTGAAAAATGGTTATCCGTTGTGTTCCTATTGATTATCCAACCGGTTTGGACTGATTATCCATTCTATTTGTACTTGTTATCCAATCATATTTTTGACATTCACTCTTCAAAAAAAAAATAATTGATAAGCATTGCGAACAATTTGGATAATCAATAGAAAATAATTGGATAATCAGTGCAACACGTTAGATAATCAGTACAAAAAAGTTTGACAATCATTTTCATAAAAGAGCAAGGAAAAAAAATATTGGATAACCACCACAAAGAAGTTTGATAATCAATATGAACACATTGGATATCCAGTTTAAGAAGATGGATAACCAACTTATTTTGAATTAAGAAGTTGGATAATCAATATGAAGTGAATGGATATCCACTACAAGCGAGTTGGATATCCAGCACAAACAAGTTGGATATGCATGCAAACCCGTTGGATGACAACTACAAAACAAGTTGGATAAGCATATAAACCAAATGGATGGATATCCAGTACAAGCGAGTTGGATATCCATTTCAAACAAGTGGGATATCCATTACAAACAAGTTGGATAGACATACAAACCAAATGAATAAGCAGTACAAACAAAATGGATAACCAGTTCAAACTGATTGGATAATCAGCATGAACACAATGGATAACCAATTTAGAACAAGTTGGTTATCTATCTTGTAAAACTGGATATCCATATTTATTCTAACCATTATAATTAAGTCATTTTTAAGCCCAGAAAAATATTCACTATGGATCTTTTTGGATAGATCTCGACGAGTACTATAAATTTCATATATAATTCATTCACAAATTCTTCACGGATTGAGAAATATGTTCGTTGAATGATTAGAGATGTTTTTTTGGAAGAGAGAAAAAAATGACAGGGACTAAACTTGCAATATATAGAAAGATTGGTAAAAAAGTACAATCACGACTAGAAATGCAAAAAATAGGAGGGGGTACACGGTGCCCCAGGGTATACTTGATACAGACTCTGAACAAGGCATTAAAATATAGTTAAATAAAGAAATTCTACAACTCTATATTTAGTAAACATTTAGATATGGTATTCTGTTTTATCCAAGGTATATTAGTTTTGTGAAAATTCTGAGTCTGTATTGGGTGCACCCGGGAGCACGGGACACTCCCAGTCGGAATCGACTGATCCGGCAAAAGAAAAACAAATCCGGCACCGAAATCGACTCCCGCAGCCACCTCTTCTATCTCGTTCAGCATCGCCGCCACCAGAATCGACTCTCGCGGCCGCCAAAATCACAGGTCACCAACCCGCCACGGCTTCGCCGCCCCGCCGAACACGCCGGTTTTCATAAGGTGAGTCCTTTTTTCGTGTGTGTGAAGAGAGTGTGTGTGTGAGAGGCGGCTGGGATTTTGACCGGAATTTGCAAGGGCACCGGAATTTGCAGGGGGTACACGGTACCCCCGGGTGCACCAGATAATTTGCCAAAATTCTATCTTGATATGATTCCCTCCGTATACTCCTTGTTGATGTTGTATTTATTTGTCCAACGACCATTGAAGTCTCATTTTGTGAAAATTTATATTAAAGTACAACTCAAAATTTAATTTGGACTTTTTTTTATATATAAACAGTGCAACATAGCAAAATCATTTTAACCTTCTCGTACCTAGATCTTTACACAGTGCTAAATTCTTTATGTGACGAGGTGCATGTGTAATGTTAGCAATCTTTTGCTCAATCGTTGGCATTATTTGAACTTTAATTTTTAAATTTTTTTTATTCGAAGAATGCTATTAGGCTTTCTAAGTACAAAACATCTCCATAGGAGCGGATGGTTCTAACATATCGATATCTAAATTATTTGAAAATGGACGGAGGCCCCCAAAACACTAACCTCCAGCACGCTGGAGCATCCTAGATTTGCAGCAAAAGCAATGCTCTAATCTTCGTTTCAATTTTTGAGTAAACAATCTGCTACTGCCTTTCTGCTGCTTGCCACTGCTCTATCGGAGTTAATTTTGATGATATTTCTCAGAGGAGACTCTAAGTTTTGTTGCATTGGCCTAGGTCTTGTTCCGTTGTTCCTTGGGTCAAAAATTGAGGTTGGTTTGAACTTCAATTTTGAAAACCTTTTACTCCCTCTGTCTCAAAATTATTATTCAATTCAAATTTTTAGTTTTAATTCAATTTGTACTAAAAATGAAAATTCAAACTGAATAATAATTTCGACAAGGAATATAAAAAACGGGCCCTGATGCTATCATCCTATTTGTTAGAATTGGTCAAGCGCAGTTAAAAGATAAGTTAACGGGTTGAGTCTTGGATGCACTTAAAGGCCCATGTTAAGCAAATAGGTTGAGCCTATGGAAAATGGATATTTGGTTTGATGAAGCTATCTACTAGGTAAAAGTAAACAAGTTAGGGATACGAATCAATATAAAAGAAGTTTAAAAGTACAAACTCCTTCTCTCTCTAAAAAGAGCTCCTCCTTCTATCTAGAACTTATAAGTAATTTGCTCCTGTCTCACTTTCATCTCCGGTCCTAATGGATACGGAGATGGACGATCTATCCCAACGGCACCAGGATGATACAAGAAAAGTGAAAAACAAAGACCCAATCAACAGCAACATGGATAACCACCAGCCTCCCGACCCGGTGTTTCACTCAGGAGCAACTGATGGAACGCCATCTTTCAGAGACAGATTACTCCATGGTCAACAGCACCATGGTCCCAACAATTTCCACATGAATATGGTAATTGTAGAAAAAGACGATGTGACCTATGATGTGGAAGATGGTCTTCCCTCAACCCGCTTCTCCCCCAGAGTAAGAACCTAAATGGTTAAGGCTATGACATACACCATTACAGTTAAACCCCTTGGAATTGAATTTCAGCATAGTAGATTACACAGAAGGCTAAAGGAATCATGAAAAGCTAAAGGTGAAATCGCGCCAGTTGAGTTCATTGATGGATACCACTTGATGAGGGTCTCCAATGAAGAAGACTAGTACTCCATCCTTCTAAACGCACCTTGGTCTCTAGATAATCACTACATCGTTGTCCTCCCTTGGAACAAGAACTTTAATCCTAAGGAAGATAACATTATTGCAGTTCCAATTTGGATTAGAATCCCTGGCCTCCCTGTGGAATACTTCCACGAAGATCTCCTCAGAAGCCTTGCAAAACCCATTGGTACATCAAGGCAGATAAGAACACAATTGAGGTGCTGAGAGGATAATTTGCAAGGTTAGCAGTCGAACTTGACCTCACTAAACCTTTGACGGGGAAGACCAAAATTGATGGGAGAGAATACCGTATCGAATACGAGGATTTGCAAAAAATTTGTTTTACCTGTGGTAAGTATGGCCACCTAAAAGAGAATTGCCAGAGGCTGAAACACAATTCTCTGGCGACCGAAAACTCCTCAGAAGAAACCCAACCGGAAAATCTATCAACATCAGGGGCCCCATCCACCGCTTCAACAGTTACCTCTGCACCTACTCAACACCATAAGCCCACTGTTGGGGAGTGGAGCCACACACTTAAAAGAGGGAGGCGTCACACGCCTTCTTATAGGAACACAGGTAACGTCTCCAAACCACCCCCTACTAATGCTAATAAAAGTCCTCTCTACAACCCCTCCGTAGTGCTAGCTGGTCTTGATAAGGAGCAAACCGAATACGGTTCCACCTCTGGTATCAAGCAACCCATGGTCTTCAATTGGAACACGGAGCCACCAGCCAACGCAAATTATTCTCCAATCATTCATTATCGAAAGGGGCGGATTGTGTACTATTGGTGGCGGCAAATTTTTATTTTTGTGTGGTGATGGTTTGAAATCCTCACAGATTTAAGAAGTGTGATGGTAATTTTTAGGAGAGAAGAGGAAATGGGCGGTAGTGGTGCGGCAGCGGAAAACAAGTAAAAGAGGAAGAAAAGGAAGATGTTTAGGGTGGGAGCAATGAATTAGATTATGAGATAAATTATGTGGTAGGGACGTTATAATAATTAAATGGTAAGATAAGTGTTACTGAATAACAAAACATTAGGGATAAAATGTTAAAATTTTGAGTCAACAAAGTTTTTTACTAATAAAAAATTGTACAAAGTAACAGAATGTCCGTGGAAATATTAAATCTAACAGAATTCTCATAAATTTGGACTAAATTAGCAAAAAATTAAAATTTAGATGATGAATTTGGTTTCTCAAAAATATTTTGGGTCAAATTGGCCAAAAACTTGATGTTTTTGGCAAAAGTGATCATTTTCTCTCAATTAGTTCTCGATATTATAAAATGTTATTCACCACATGGTTACATCTTATACCATCAATTTTGATTGGTTGAAGACAAAACGGGACGGTTCCATAAAAATACGAGACTCTAAATTTCCCTATATATATATATTTTTTTTTTTTTTCAGAAAAAAAAAAGTCGCTGGAACTTGTAAAAAAGTTCAGGAATTGAGATATTTAACGAGTAGAAATTGTGCTGTGTGAGAAGTTGGGTCTTTTACTAAAATTTTATTTTGGACTGTGGCTGCAAAACCATTTTTGGCCCATGCACTCTGGGCCTCGTTGCAGATTGGTGGCCGCCGCTTACTAGCCGACACCAGAGAAGGGTCATGCCAATTCCGAATAGGAAAAAGTTTGTTTGTTAGATCTCTATAAATGATTGATACCCCATCCGAAACGTTAAACTTGTCGTCAAGGTCAAGGTCGCTTGTGCCTACTGTTTTTCTTCACAACTCGTCAATGTAAGCCCTCTTTGTTCATCAATATCTTTGCTCCTTTATCATATTGAGCATCTTCTTCTTTTTTTAATCATCATAGTTCTTTAGCAAAGTGTTCTTTATTATTGTTTCTTCTCAACATAATTCACCGTTTTATTGTTTGTCAAAAATAAATAAATATATATATATATATATATATATATATTTCACCGGTTTTGTTTGTTTGTGATCAATTAATTTCTGTTGTCGACGCAACAGATGGGTCTGGATAGACGTGTCAAGGCTTTCTTGGGAATTAGAGAATGGGATGATCTTTTCTTTGATCCCTATTTCATTGGTGGCTTTCTCTTCGCCACCGCGGTACTTGTGCGTTACATGGGAAGTGATGGAGTGGACAATGTTGGAGAGGGTCTCTGCCCGAAAGTAATTTGTGATGCACTTGTTACCTCTCAAGTTTCAAGTTGAATTTTGTACGTATTAGATTAGATTGACAAGGGTATGTGCCCTTTTTTTTACTACATATTCTTTGTAATTTAAGAATATTAAATAACGTCTTTCTCTATTCATCGATCAGCACTTCATGAATTCCACTAGATACCTGTATTTTGGCAGCTCTACAAAACCACCACAATGCCCCAGGTTTGAATCTACTACTTGATACGCAAACCAATAGTTTTAAACTAAGGCTGATGGGGTAAAATTTTTAAAATTTATAATTCAACATACTTGCCCCTTAATAGTCCCGTTTTAAACTAGATTTTCAAGGGGTAATAAGCAACAAAAAAATTTTCAGCTGGGCAATTGAGTAGTATGTAGCTCCAACCCTGGTTTTAAACTATAGCACTCCTCCATCTCATGAAAATAATAGTAATACATAAAGTGTCCTCTATCCTTTTTTGAGACTAAAGGAAATATTTGATATACACATACGTAACTGTAGGCTATGTTTGTCTCTCCGTCGTTATATTAAAGGAAGAAAAAATTAGAACCAATATCAAAAGATATAACGGAAGTTAACAAAACAAAATACATCGCATATTAAAATAAAATCTTCATCAAATTTAGACGTGCCAAAATCATATCAGAGGACTAAATGAAAAATCTCATGATTAATTTCCCTTGTTAAAACTTGAAGGAAAACCACGGAAGAGAAGAAAGCCTAAAAGGATTTGTTACGCACTGTGGAAAACACTCAATGCAAACACCACCAGTATAAAGAAAGGCGGTGATTACGCTCCTCTAAATAGAAAAAACCAGCTCTTAAAACCAAACCCTAAATTGTGAAAAGAGGAGCTCTTAATACCAAACACTAAACAGGCCGATGAGATTCCAGTCCATTCAATTCTTCGCACGACAATTTAAACAGAGTGCCAATAGACTCTTACAACAATTAAAAAGTACTAATATCATAAAAATATGACCACTTATTTTCACAAAACCATCCTTTGTAGAATTTTATTTATTTATTTATTTTTTCATATTTGCAGGGTGTCTACCATCAGCAACAGTGACTAATCCCCTCACTGAATCGTAATCACCTCGATGGATTGGAGGATAAATTATTTCAATAGTAGTGGTAACACCAAACTGGTGATTTCCCGATGGTATCATCCTCAAGGTTAAGGTCAAAACAGAAGAACAGATGGGATTGATTCAGATCGGTATTTCCAGTAGTAGAGTTTTGGTTCAAATTCTGTAAAGATCTAAGAATGACCAGGGTTGGATATCCCTGTAAACAAAATCAGAAGCAAGAGAGCTAAAACTGTAGCCGGAAGATAACAACGAGAACATGCAAAACTACTACAAGTACCAAATACCAGTTATAACAAAAGAGGGCAAAATAACGCTGCTGCTACAGTTGCAGTTTCAGAAGGAGAATAAATGGAAGAACTCTATAATCTACCAAATATTAAATTAGGAATGTCCAATTAATCTACCAAGTCCATTTCAGAAGGAAACATTGTCAATGGAGAGAGAGAGAACTGGAGATGCCAAAATCCAATCTGAACTGCCACCACAAGAGAGCCCTGCAACAAAAACGAATAGGATCAGTTCCAACTACATGTGCACTATTCATCTATAACAAGGTTCAATTAAAAAAAATGGAAGCCAATGCACTAGATATCATGAAGATCTTTCAGAGGAACAACTTGAAAATTAAGTTGAAATTAGCTTAGTAACAATATACACTACAAACCATTAACTTTATCTCAACAAAAGGGAATTAACAAATACACTAAAGCTAAAAGATAGAGGAGACTGGATTGAGAGCCAGAGTCAGCATAGTAACTATATCAGGCCTAATTCATTAACCAAGCAGAAAAGATGATGCCACAGGAACAAAAGACAGACAAGAAAACTGAATCGCAACGCAAAGACATACATCCGTGTGAAAAGCAAATGAACCAGGAATTCGGATTGAAAGATAACGCTATTTCAAACCATGAACAAATCAGTTTTAAAAAATTCAAGTGAACACCAAAGAGAGGTCATAACATTAAACACTAAAACCAACAACAGTCGCAGTAGGGAATCATATCATCTGATAAAACGAATATGAGAATTTGAGCTCGACGACTAACATATAAACGAACAAAAGGAGTCAACAAGAACACAACTCAACCTAAAGTATCCTAACACAGGTTAGATTAATGAAACAATTCCAAGGAGTCAATACAGAGCCATCAAACAAAAACACGGACCACCGAGTCAACAAAAACAGATCTAAATCAACACAATAAAAAACGTGGACCAAAAGGTACAAATTAAAGAATATAGATAGATAGTAAACTGCTAATCAATCAAGACCCAAGCTTCGCAGCTTCGATCTCACCTCCGGACCTAATACTCGCCGCCTTAGTGTCATTTTCGGCCTTGAGGAGGAGATATTTGGAGGTTTCCGCCTCGAGCTTAGCGGCATCCCTCTCTTGCTCAGCGGCATCCTGGTGTTTCTCAGCCAACACCTTGTTGTCGACGGCCTTGGAGAACTCAGACCCGAAAGCCATGTGAGTCACGCTGACATCATCGATCACAATGAAAAAATCATTGGACTTGCTGATGAAGGCCTTCTTGAAATTTGAACACTGGGTAAGTAACTCCTCGGCGTTGTATTCTGCTACCACCTCCTCTAGAACTTCATATCCTGTGGAGGGAAAAACCCTCTCAACGTAGTCAGGCCCTGAGAGCTTCAAGATGGAAGGGAGCTGGGTTTTCTCCGGACGGACGAGGAGACGCAGAGTAATGTCGACCATCTGGAGATCTTTGGTGCCGGGCTTGGAGGAAAAGGTGAAAGGCCGGCTCCTCATGTCAAAGAAATAAGGAGTATGGCGCCCGGGGAGAAGGAAGTGGGTTCCTTCTTCGATCAGGCGTGTAGCTCCGGTGAGCCTGTCGACGATGAAGGCGCAATGGCCGACGCCGACGTAACGGGGATGATTTCCAGGTGATGAGGCCTAAACCCAGCCCGAATACAATCGGGCATAAGAATCTCATCATCATCGAAGCTGCCCCAGTGCTAGTGTTACTCACTATGTCTTGGTTAGGAGGGTAAGAGAGATAGAGAGGTTGGAGTTGGAGAGAGAGGGAGTTGTTTGTTCCGGCGACCATGATTTTGCTTTTGTTTCGGAGGAGAGAAACTAAAGAGATGTGGTGGTCGGATTCAATGAAATTTATATCTTTATTATAATAATAAATATTTTTCTTCACAAAAATAAAGCATCAAATCAAAATGCCCAAAAAGATACCCCCTGGCCCTGCCCAAAACAATTTTTGGGCCATACAGTGTGGGCCTGCAGATTGGTTACAAACCGATACCAGGAAGGGTGATGCCAATTCCGAATGGAAAAAGGTTTGTTTATTAGACGCTCTCTATAAAATATATAAATTAGTTATCAGAATAATCCCCTCCAAAACAGTGTGAAATTTGTCGATCAAGGTCAAGGTCGCTGCCCGTGCCTGCTGCTTCTCTTCACAACTCGACGATCTCGTCCATGTAAGCCCTCTTTTTGTTCATCCATAGTTTTCCTCCTTTATTATTATTCATCACCAACAATTTATAATAATTTTGGAACGAATAGAAAATCAAATGTAATCTTTTTTCTTCTTTCTCCTTTAATTATCATATTCCTCTAACATAATCAGGAAATCGATGGCGTTTATGCTTTATTGTTTTTTCTCTCAACATAATTCACCGGTTTAGTTTGTTTGATTAATTATTGATTTCTGCTGTTGATTTTATTTTATTTTTTTGTTTTGTGTCCACATAACAGATGGATAGACGTATGAGGGAATTCTTTGGGATTGGAGATTATGATGATATTTTCTTTGATCCTTATTTCATTGCTGGCTTTGTCTCGGCAACAGCCTTTTTTTTGGCGTTACCTTCCAAGTGGTGGAGCCCGTAGGTGTTGGAGCACTCCTATCTTTTCTAGCTTAGATTTATTTAGATACATGACAACATGCCCGTTCTTTATTATTATTCTATCCTGAAAATTTAAACTAAACAATAATTTTGGAATGAAAAGAATGTTATATATATTTTTTATAGTTTAAGAAATATTATTAATAAATAAAGAATTTCTCTATTCATCGATCAAGCACTTCATGTTTTTTCTAATTTACATATCACTATTTTGGCAACTCTACGAAACAACCACAATGCCCATACTAGTTCATACGCAAACCCATACAATTCTCACCCCTGACGTGGTGATTGTTCAAACTTTCGGCGCTCCTCCTATCTCAGAAAAATGATAATATGTGCACTATTTTTTTTTTTTAATGACAAAAGGGAGTATACCATATCAAGAATCGAAGACTGGGGGCTTCTTATGGAGTCTGGTGGAGTATAGCCTGGTCACGATGGTTGACACTTTGACACTTGACAACAAAGAAAAGAGTACTACTCTGCCAATTTAAAAGTAGAGAAACAAAACCCAACCCCCAAATGCTTCAGTCCCCAGGTCCACACCTAAGCTCTGTGCCCTAATCGATTCTCAAAACTCTAGCCTAAGAGCAAGAGTTCAAATTTTATAAAACAAAATGTTTAGTTCAAAGATTAGTTCGTAATTGTGGAGAATATGAAAATTGCACAAACATATATTTTTACGATATGCATATATATAATAATAATAATTGGATTCCATGCTACAATATAGTGTCCATCCACGATCTGCACTGGTGACGATTTATGGCGACTTATTCACACTCATCATATAAAAATCATAATTACAGAGAGATACGTCTAATGAAACATTCTAATTAGTGCGTAGCTTGAGGCTTAAAGAGCTACTCTACCATACACAAGTATGTGTGTTTTAAATTTAAAGAAATGTCATGGCTAATTGTCATTGACATTTCATAACTAAGCCTTCAACCCTATTTCCCATGCAAAAGCCAAAAAGAGAGTGTCATCATTACATTGTTCAGAAGAGAACCAGCCTCTCATTTTCACACACACTAGTTGTAGTCTACTACTACTTTAACTGTCGGCAAAGTGCTCAAGCTCAACTCTTCAGCCAAAATTGCATGTGGTTGTGGACAGTAGAAGAAGGACGAAATCGTTTTGGGAAATAAATGAGTAGTTTTCCATATTAAAAGTTTTTTAATATATACGAATTAATTAATGATGTTATAACCAAATTGAAAAAGTTTCTATATTCCAAAACACAAATTTTCTTTGATATTTTTAAAAAGAAAAAGAATAGAGAAAAAAAGTCTTTGTAACAGAGAACATAATTCTAGTGATCATATCACACGAGTAACGTAAATTAATAAATTATTGAAGAAGTTGAACTTGTAGCCCCAATCCAAACTTTTATAAGACCACTCGTACTAATAATTGATAAAGTTGGTACACCAATTTTATTAGCGTAGAAATTTACATTGTTAAACTTTTATAAGATAGTATTATTATCACCATTCTATATCTTAATAATTTACATTGTTTTAATTCAGTAAAATTACTTTTTACTGTTTTTTCCCATCATTCCAAAGCCCCCAAAAAAAAAAAAAACTGATTAGTTCCATAGTAAAGTAAACCGTATTATATTTAATAAAAAAGAGAGAGAGAGAGAGAAAGAAAGTAAACCATATGCTTCTGCTAGTTATATGATTTTATAATAGTTCATAATAATAGTAGGCCTCCCCGCTCTCACTGAAGACAAAATCGGAACTCAGAAACCGATTATTTGCAGTTACAATTGCAGTTCTCTTTTGAGTCTTTGCTGAAAAATAAATATGGTAAAAATCTTTGGCTTGAAAATCGAGAAAATATTTTTTCAATCAAAAAACAAAAAAAAGGATAAAATAAATAAATATATCTTCCAAAAAAATCGTATGCGTGAGTATATAAGAAAAAAATCAAACACTGTATCTTAATTGGGACCCACGACTGCACTTCCTCTAGCAGACAGAAGGGGAACAACAAATGAATGCCTGACAGACGGAGATGTTAACAGAGTTTCGATGGCCAATTGAATTTTAACCAACGAACAAATACTGCTGCTTTTGGGGGTGGTAAGAGGCGAGGTAACGGGGAAACAATATGGGTAAAAGCTATAATAGAAGACAGAGCTTTCAAAATTAGCTGCATAGTTTTTCAGAATCTTTCAAAATTAGGGTACAGAGCTTACGTGTGGACCAAGCGACTGACACAGTTTTGGGGGGGAGGTTTGTTTTCTGACTTTCTCTGCTTAAGTTTGAGTAGAAGAAGTAGTTTAATTGCTGTCAAGTGTCAGCCAACCAGAGCCCCCAAACGGTAAAATTAATACAAGCTGAGTGAAAAAAGTAAACTATAGTTGCATTAATATTTTTCCTTTGCTCTCTTTTTTCAAGAGAAAAAAAAAAGTTTTTAATACAGTATCATCATTTCACTCGGCAACCAATTTTTCCTCGTTGTTATTTGTCAAACCAATAACAATTTTTGACCTTATTATTCTTATTCATAGAGAAGTTACTACTCCCTCTTTCTGTCTTAAAATTATTGTCATTTTAGTATAATTTAAACTAGAAATAAAAATTCAAACTGGACAATAATTATAAAACAGATTGAGTATATGATAAAATTAACGGTGACAATTACTTTCTTTCACCCTTGACATCATGGGATTTAATTTGATTTCTTCTCATGAAATCATCCATTTAATGATTACTACTAATACAATAGCTCAAATACTGTAACATTTATTTTCATTTTCAGTATTTATTTTCATTTACTTACTACTCTTCCCAACAGAGTTCACCACTCACGTTACTTACCTCTCTTTATTACCTACAAAATTAAGGCAAAAACAACTGTAAAAAAGAGATTAAACCCTAAACCCTAAAAGAGTATATTTATTTAGTTTTTTTAGTGTGTATTTTTAGGTGTTTTTTGTATTGAAAATGTAAAAAAATTGTATTGAAAATTTAAAAAATTATGTTAAGATGGAATAATTATTATTATTTAATTCTGAAAATACAATAAAAAAAAAACAAACAAACAAACAAGCCTTTGTGTCTGAGTGGTTGGGTCCTTTATGAATATCTTCTTCTTTTGAATCAAATCTTTCTCTCATAAGAGTTTGTTTTTTCGAGAATCCGACAAAACTAACACACACCTCTCTCTTGTCAGTATCTCTCCATCTCCGTTTCTTTCTCTCCAAAACAAAACAAACCTATCTCCGGCCCAAAACCAATGGTCGGCTCCGGCGCCGGGAAAAATCCACCCCTCCCTCTCCAACCGCTCTATCTTTCATACCCACCAAACCAAGACACCATGATAAGTGGTGGTACTCCTTCAGGAGGAGAGTCCTCGTCCTTCTTGAGATTGCTAGGCCCAGTTACATTAGGCCTAGGCTTGGGCCTCATTTCGTGGAAGTCATCATTCCTTGCTGTAAAACACGGCTATCACGCGGTCGTAGTCGACTGCTTCACGGGAGTCGCTCACACCCTCGGAGAGGGAACTCATTTTCTCCTCCCGGGTCGTTATACTCAGTACATGGTTGATGTCAGACCACGTCCTTACAACATATCCGCCAGGCCCGCCACCAGAGATCTGCAGAAGGTGGATATCAATCTCTGTCTCGTCTTAAGTCCGGACAGAGCAAAGCTGCCATCCTTTTTGAAGTCCCTTGGGCTGAACTTCACGGAACAGATTTTACCCGCCTTCGGAAATGAAGTTCTACATGCTGTGGTAAATGGATACGGCGCCGAGGAGCTGTTTTCCAGTAGGGCAGATTTCGTTGTTCGGCTCAAGGAGGAATTTATCAAGAAGGCCAAGGTTTATTCCATGGCCGTGGTTGATGTTTTTGTGTCAGAGTTGGATTTCACCCCGGAGTTCACCAGCGCCGTGGAGAAGAAGTTACTTGCACAGATGGAAAAGGATACCGCTACGCCGGAGGCGGAAACCTCCGGCGTTCTCCTCCCTCGTTCGGAAAATGTTGCTCAGGCGGCGATAACTCCGGCCGGTGATGAGATCCAACCTGCTTCACTTGGTCACTGATTAGCAGGTGATTTTTCGGTGCGTGTCTGTATCTTATTAATGCGTACGTTTTTTGGTCCACTTTTTTTTTTTTTTAAACTGTTTTCATTTAGATCTGTTGTTGTCGATTCGTTGGTTCGTCTGCGATGGCGGCTCTCTATTGACCTCCCAGGAATTGATTCATCTTGTCGATTTGTTGGTCCGTCTTTGATGACGGCTCTGTATTGGTCCGTCTTTAATGTTATGTCCTCTTTCGGGTTCACTTGAATTTTTCTTGGTTTTAGAGGCTCATTTGTTCTTGGTATAGAAACGGTATAATCTTTCAATCCAAATTGCAGGTTTAGTTGTATTTCACACGGATATATGTCTTTGCTATTAGTCCTACGCAGTTTGCCTTTCTGTCTTTCGTTCCTCTGGCATCATATGTTCTGCTTAGTTAATGATTTTAGTCTGATATAGTTATTATGCAGACTTCTGGCTCTCAATCAAGTCTCCTAAATATTTGTTGACATTAAAGTTAACGGTGTTAGTTCTGCATACTGTTGCTTTTTTTTTTTTTTCCATTTTGGGCCCCCCGGGGGGGGGGGGGAGAGGGGGTTCGTAGATACTGTTCTATCCTAATTTCAACATCAAATTCAAGTTGTTCTTCTGAAAGATCTTCATGATATCTAGTTTGCTCCCTCCCTTTCTCTGCACCTTTTTTTTTGCAGTTTTTTTGCTTTCTTTTTTAAACTTGAACATGTTGTCACTGGCCCTATTCGTTTATGTTGCAGGGGTCTCTTGTCATAGCAGTTCAGAGTGGATTTTGGCATCTCCGCTTATCTCTCTCCAATCTCCATCTCTATTGACAATGTTTGTTCAGATTTCTGAAATGTACTTAATTAGTAGATTAAGTGGATATTCCTAATCTAATATTCCTCGAATTTAACATTCTGGCTCCTGAAACTGAAAGTGTAGCAGCATTGATATTTTGCTCTATTTTGTTATTATTGGTACTTGTAATAGCGTTGCATGTGCTTCATTGTTATCTCCGGGATACAGTTTTAGCTCTCTTGTTGCTTCTGATTGTTTTCGGGGATATCCAACCCTGGTCATTCTTAGATCTCTACAGAATTTGAACCAAATTTTTTTCTGGAAAACCCTATCTGAATCAATCCTATCTATTCCTTCTGTTTTGACCTTAACCTGGAGGATGATACCCTCTAGAAATCACACCATTGGTGTTTCCACTACTGTTAAATTTTTTTATTTTTTTATTTAAGCTAATATTTTATTTTTATGTAGAATATTAGTTTCATTTAAATGTTTTTAATCTTTATGTTAGGAAGAATAAAATAAATCATAAAAATAGTGTCTTTATTGCTAAAATATATTAATAAAAAGATTAACATACTTATATAAATACAATCATGTATTACAATTATACAAAGATTAACTTTTATGGTAGAGTTTGAAAATAAATAAATATTTTTTTAAAACTCATATAATATACTTTTATGGTCATTAAAAGTAGTTAAGAGAAATGGAACAAAATAGAGAAAAATGAAATAAAAAAGTGAAAAGGGATTATTTTGTTATTTTTATATATTTTAGGGATTTATTTTTTAAAATTTTTACAAATTACTGGGGTATTTTTGTACTCCCTCCATCCCATAATTATTGTCCAGTTTTACTAAAATGAAAGATTTTATTTTTAGTCAAATTTAACTATATTTTACCTTGAAAAACCGGATATACCCCTACATAAATAATTGTTTAACCACAAAGATTTTATGGATAATGGTTTTTTACTATGGACAAATGTGTAACTTGATTCATAAAAAAGTCAAATTGGACAATAATTTTGGAATAAAATTTTTTGGGCAAAGTGGACAATAATTATGGGACCGATGGAGTATTTAAATTTATTATTTTATTAATAAACTAACGGAGATCTGTTAATTTGGACGGAAAATGGGCCGATTGGACGAAATTGGCGAAAATTTCAAACATTAAGGTAAAATTGGCTAACTGAAAATCTATTGGGTATGATTGACAACGAGGGCAAAGCTTAGAGTAGGAACGACATTTTTTCTTTCCAAGTATAGAGGCCCCTATGTGTTTTAAGCTGCCATAGATTACAGTCCTCTATTGTCAACTTGAACTCTCCTAGATCTGTGATATTTACAGGCAAACCTCCCACTTTCTCGTCTGTACTCTAGACTTTGTTGAAATCTCCTGCTATAATCCAAGCTTCCTTTACCTCTTGTCCTATATGTTGGATCTGATTCCACATCTAAGATATGTCATTCTTCCAATTTGCACCATATGCTACTGTCAATATCACAATTCTTCTCTAACAATAAAATTAGATATTTTGAGTAGGGAGGAAACGTACGTAACACCTCCAGAAATCAATTGTGCTTTTGTAAAATAAAAGGAAAAAAAGAAAAGGAAAAAAAAAGAAAAAGAAAAAGGAAAAGAATCAGTTGTGCTTTAATGTTCATTCTATCAACATGTAATTTTGATAGTTGATTGATGAAGTTTACCTAGGATCTCACAATCTATCGTTTTCTTGTCATAGTTTGTACGTTTCGTTTGGTTGACCACGCAACAGATGGGGGCACTAATGAGGATTCCATTCATTTCCCGGTTGTTAGAGTATTGTATCTTTAACCGTGTGGTTGAGGGTTCGATTCCTATCGCGGACGCAGGAAGCAAACAACTGAAGGAGGAAGTATGTAGCTGACCAGCAGCCTGCAGCTTGAACAAGCATGAGGCACACGCAAGTAAAGTCTCTCCTTAATAATACTACCACCTTCCCCAGTAGGCTCTAACGTTGTAACAGCTTAGATGCCTCAAAAGCACCAATAGGTGCACAGCCTGCAGCTTGAACAAGCATGAGGCACACGCAAGTAAAGTCTCTCCTTAATAATACTACCACCTTCCCCAGTAGGCTCTAACGTTGTAACAGCTTAGATGCCTCAAAAGCACCAATAGGTGCAGCCTCAAAAATTAAAAAAAAAAAGAGGCACTAACGGGTTCCACCACTAAGCTGCCACTATTGCTATCCCAACTATTATAAACGTTGGATTATGATGGGGGGTCGTTTACTAGAGATTTGTCTGGCAGTGGAATTAGGCATTTTGGTGACCCTTATGGTGGTCGGTGGTGGTGTACTCCCTCCGGTGCTTAATATAAGTTTTTTTTTATTTTGTCTTAGTTTTCACTTAGCATGAATTTTTAATCAACGAAAAAAATTTAAAAATATATTTTCACATTCATTGTGTTCTCTTAATTGTTATAAATTATTTTTAAGATTTTTTTGTCAATTAAAAATACCTACTATTTAAAACATAAGACAAATCAAAATGTCTTATATTAAGGACCGGAGCGAGTACATTTCTTTTTTGGGTGTATATCTCTTTCCCTTTTTTGGAAAGCTTTTCTAATGGAAAATTCTATATGTTATGGTTTATCCTTGGTGAAGAAATACTTTGATGTTAATGTAATCAAGAGAATGTAAATTGAATATGTTTATAATAAAAATAAGAAACTTTTCTTATTTTGGCTCGATTTTAGAAACTGATGACAGTATGTCATGTACTATATCAAGATTCATGACTCCTAGTTTTCTATATATACTAGAACTTTTCTCGTCGCGCGACTAATCCAGTATTTAAGTATTTTAAAAATTATTTGCACCTCTAATATGTACTAAATGTTGAATTTTAAGATAATGGAATAAACAGAAACACACTAAAAGAAGAATATATATATAATGAACCAAATTCTGCTTCAATGTAGTTATATATGAGACTTTGGCACGTGATTTAGAATAATTAATCCCCACAAAAGGAAAAAAAAAACAGAGATAAAAATTTTCCTTACTTTGGTTAAGATAGACTCCCAATCTTTAATAACTCAAACTTAAGATAACTTAACCTATTTTCCAGAGGCACACGAAGAATAAAAGAATCAGAAGATTTTGCGGGGAAAGATTTGTGGGGAAAGAAGGGATGGAGAGCGGCTGAAAAAAATTGGCAGTAAAAAGGAACACAAAAAATGGCATTTTAATTGTTGACATCGGGTAGTAAATGCCGTCGTTTAGCCCGCTACATTAATTAGGTTATTTCTCTCGGCTAAACATATTTGGTTGGCAAAAAAAGAAAAACAACTTTATTAATTGACCATTATAGCCTTATTTTAAATTGCTAATGTCATGTTAATATATTAATCAATCAAAAGGCTCAATTTAAAATTGATGATGTCATGTGAACTAATGGGCCAATCAGAATGCTCAATTTAATTTCTGACCACTGGCGTTCAAGATTCTAAACTCAGTAAGAGGTTTTTACTTATGTACAGATTAAAAGAAAGTTTTCAATAACATATATTAAGTAAAGTTAGATAGTCAAGTCTACATGTCAAAATTGTATCAATTTTTTTATGTGTAGATCAATAAAATTTACAAATAACTAATTTTATATGGTTTAATTTTTTTGATATTAAAGAAAATGTTAAGATAGCTTCTTACTAACATAAATTAAAATCAAAATTCTTGCCTAGTTAATCCGTTCCAGTGGCTTCAATTTTTTTGACTGTTCATAATTCTAATATTGAGATTTTTGGGTTTTACTTTTATCCGTTCTTTTGGCGAAAGTAATTTGTACTAATAAGCACATAAGTCAGTGTCTTGGAGTATGTTATTTTTTCCACTAAAATGTTTTTCCATTTCAGAATTTTTGTGTGATTTTCCATGCATCCAACTTGTGTTTTGCAATATGTTTGTATTATCAAAGGATGGAATCTAATCTTTTTATAATCCATTCAAAGTTCCATTAAATAAGACGGAAAAAAAACATTGATGGTTTTATTCCAATTTTCAGTTTTAGTTCTTAAAAGTAATTAGCATGCTAGGATTAGTTATTGTTTGTGTTCCTTTTTTGTCCCTTTCATATTTGAGTATTATTACAAAAAAAAAAAAAGGGAAAGAAAGATAATAGGGTGAACTACATTTTACTCCCCGAATTTTACCTCGATTTACCATAAATCCCCCAAGTTTTAATAATACTACCATATACCCTCTGAACAGGAGTTAGACATTGATATGACAAAAATAACCATGGTTTATATACACTTCACTTTCTTCTCTTTTTTTTTCGGTTTGTTTTACTTCTTTTTTTACCATCAAAAATGAAAATTACTTAATTTATAATTTTTACATTTAATTGTAACACAAGTTTATAAATCAAAATCAATTTATGATTAATAATATAAGTTTATTATACTTCGTAAAAATAAAAGTTTATTAAGATAATTGTTTTCAAAGGATATGAGCTAGTTAAAATCAAAAATTTATTATTTAAGTACATTAATATAAAAAATTAATATGGAGCATTTTTTAGCTTAATTTATTATATATTTTTAAAAATATTTAAATTCTATAATTTAAAAAATTAGATTGAAGTGTAATTTTAACCATTTACACAAATTTGATAATGATGTTAGTATGGTTAGGGGGTATTTTATAGGTTGACTATGAGTTAGTGGGGGAAAAGGTAGTCTTACCAAAATTCGGGGGGTTTATGGTAGTTTAGGCCAAAACTCGGGGTAAAATGTAGTTCGCCCAAGATAATATAATATGCGTGAATTATTCCCAAATATACAGCTCCAATCATTCATTATCAAAATTATTTTTTATTCTATATGTGATTATTTTACATTAAATTCGTACGGGAAGTTTTTTTCTTGCACTATGGTTAGGAATTTCATTTTTTAGATTCTCGGGATCAATTTATTTATGAAAAGAAGCGCTGATCTGTAAAGTTATTTGTGCTTCTTTAACTTTTATTTTTCTTACACTCACGTTATTTAAACTTTTTTTTGTCTTAATTAACTTTAGAGGTTTCTTATCGAAAGTGTTAATTTTCTACCACTTTCAATATAATAAATCGTTGAGGTCACAATAAAATTTGTGATTAAGGTATGAGTTTGAAACACATAATGTTAGGATGGCGGATGCTTTTGGTGCAACGAATTATACATTATGGCTTAAATAAATAAAAAATGTAAATAAAAATTAAAAAAATCTATAAATAATTAATGAATTAATTGAATAATTTTAATATTAAGTGGTGGCGTCAAACAGAATCTAATGCACTGAATTATAACTCAACACGAATAAATATCAGATTCTCGGGAAATATGTTTTGCTTGAAATTAAATAGAGGCCTTGTTTGGGAAGTTATTGAGCGCCCTAATTTTTTCCTTTGAATGCCCTAAAAATTTATAATTTGACCATTACACCTTTATTATTATTTTTTGTTTAAAAAAAAAGACTGGCAAAAAATATTTGCGCCACCCGCCACCCTTTAAAGGGTGGTGGCGCCAATTTTCTATGGGAGGCGAGAAAAATTTTTGTGTCCAAAATGGGGGTGGCGCACAAATCTGGCGCCACATAATTTCGATTTGGCGAGCGTTTTGCTCGCCAAACCGAAATTATTTTTTTTAGATTTTTTTAATTTTTTTCTATTTTTTAATTTATTTATGTAATTAATTATTTAATTTATTTAATTCATTTATTTATTTAAGTTTATTTTTTATTTATCTATTTGGCACTTGAACAAATAATTTTAACTTAAATATTTGACTTTGTAATAGGGAGTAAATGGAGAACCACTATTAAAAAATTAAATAAATAAATAAAAGTATTTTATATTTTTTCCATGCTTTTTAATTTTTTTGTTTCAACGTATTTTATATTTTATATTTTTTCTAAAAATATATTTCCAGGACGGCTAGATGCACCGATGATAAATAATTAATTTGTTTGGTAGTAAATTCATAAGTTTTAGTTTTATTCAATGATAATTTTTTGTTTACGTTTAAAAAATTTTACATAACTAAAGGATAAATTTGTATAAAAATTTACTACGTAATTAAGCAACATTCTCCAAATATTTAAGTTAAAATTATTTGTTTAACCACCAAACAAATAAATAAAAAAATAAACTTTAATAAATAAATAAAATAAATACATGAATTAAATAAATTAAATAAATACATAAATTAAATAAATTTATTAAACTAATAATTAAAATAAATAAAATAAATTAATTAAATACATTAAAAAATAAGTAAATTAAAAAATTAAAAAAAAAAGTAATTAAGGTGGGTGGCGCACAAAATGGCGCCACCCACCCTTTGGTCATCACAAATGTGGCGCCCAGAAGGGCGCCACACCTAAAGGGAGGCGAGATTATTTCACGGCTTTTTCCTCCCTTGCCATATTTTTTTTTTCTTACAAAAAAAATCAATGTAACTCTATTTTACAGGGGCGTGTACGTTTTTTTAAGGCGTTCAAATGAAAAAATTAGAACGCTCAACAGCACGACCCCTTCAAATGTCAAGCAGACCGCTTTAGAGTTAGGAAACTGTAGGATCCTAAAAAATGCCTGTAGATAATGTAAACAGGATAGCTAGAACTTCTCTCAACTTGTATAACTCTTTATAATCATCGGTTATCTCCAAAATATCTCGTTATTTGCAAACACACGGGATTAATAATGTACGACTTTTTTCATTAGGCATTATTGTGAGATTTTAGTGTTGGGCTGTCTCTGGGTGCTTGTGATCATTTTCTTAACCGGTCTTTTTAATTGGGTCTCATTTTGGGCTTTTGACTTTGGTGTCGCTTTTTTTCCCCTCTCTCTTTTCTTCTTTATATAAACTCAGGTCTCGCCTTTGAATTATAGCCATCGTTTTGTTCAAATCTAAATCGCACCACTTTCCCTTTTTCTCCGCGAATTTTCAAACGCCATGTACTCCGTCGGTAAGAAGATCGCTGAGGGTGCACTTGCTGCCACCGATTCCTATCTGACAAAAGAAGAAGATTGAACTGACACCTTCTCTTACCACCACACTCTTGACTGGGATTTGTTCCGGTGCTCTGGCCTGGAAGCTGCTCTGGGAGAGAGCTCCACCGCCACAGCCTATCTCTAACTTCAATCTATTTTCTCCGGTTAGTTCAATCATTCGTGTCATTGCTTCGTAATTTCTACTTGCTTCTTCTTATTGAATCATTACTTACATGAGCGCGCTGAAACTTCACTACTTAATTAATTTTAATGCCGATGGTGCAGGTCTTGTCATCTCTCCCGGAGCATGAAAATAATACTGATACTAAGTCGATTTCTGGTACTTTAATTGAATCATTGTTTTATTTTTGCAATTTGTGTTTGAGGTTTTTGTTTTTTCTTTTAATGATTAGATCCGCACGGTATTCTTTGATTTCCACGCAATTCTGACTTTGTTTGCCTTTGAAGATCTCATCACCCTAATTGAGGGTGCAGGTGAGAGGAACTCTATGAACGTGTGGCTGTTAGCTAATCTTCATACCTCGCTGGCTTTAATTGTGGATGATGATGAGGAGAGAAGTTCTCTCCTTAAAAAAGCCGACTCTTACTTCAAAGAGGCTGCTATGATGGTATGAGTTTGATCCGAGGATTGTAAAATTTGGTGCTGGAGTTAGAATTTTTCATTCTTATTGGTTGCTAATAACTGCAGGATTCGGTTCAGAGCCCAATGTTCACTTCTGCATCAACTGCCAACATGTTTTCATTCCTGAAGGTATATTCTCATTTGTATTGACTTGTTCTTTCAGCCATAGATGTATATTCTCATTTGTACCGCCTGTAGTTATTCTCTGCTCTTCTAAATGGAATATATGTTACTCTGGTGCTGATATGGATCTTCCTTTCTCAGCCACATGGAAGTATCTTGTTGGGCGGAGCCCTCATCATCTTTGGGTTTGGGTTTATGGCTTGGTGCCCCAAATCACACTGAAGTAAGCCAATCCTCCTCTGACTTTAGGATAGAAACAGATCATTTTGTTTATTGGACCGTGCAAGAAATTCTGCAGTTTAAGAAACATCCACATGAATGCTCCTTACTATCCAGAATAATATTCATATAGTATCATTTGGTGGAAGCATGCTCTTTACCATCCAGAATAATCCACATGAATGCTCTTTACTTTCTTCCTGCTCAATTTAGAAAAAGCAATTCATCATGTTGAATTAAGCAAATGCATTGAAGGTCCTCCTTTGATCTGACATAGTGCGATGAATTCATGGTGGTGTGTCTGCTGGTATCATTTCTCTGATGTTTGGATAATATATGCTTCTAAATGAAGGAAAGGCCATCGACTAAGGTTCATACTGCTCCTGGCGGTGGCTATTCCCTCTATTACCTTTTTGGTGAAGGGAAGAACTCGGTTCTTCTGAAGTTGCCTTCACTGTTGTTTACAGAACTCCTTAAAAGTCTATTTCTGAAATGCGTTAGCTAAAGGAATTTGTGTAATGTCATTTTTCCTGCCCAATTTTACTGACTTATGATCCGATCCCCTACCATGCCATATATGACATGTTAATAACTAGTGCATTTCTGAAGTGCGTTAGCTAATGTCATTTTTCCTTTCCAATTTTACTGACCTCTGATCTGATCCCCTACCGTTCCATGTATGACATGTTAATAACAACTATACTGTTGCATTCTTTTTTGAATCGCAGAGTGACAAAAATTACCGACTACATTGCAATGGAGGCGAGAGGAGGCTAGAGGGTTGATGCGTGAATATGAACAAATTGTAATTCTATTTTCTTGTGAAAAGATAAATTTTTAGTTTTGTTCTTTGGATATATTCAGACAAATTATGGTTCATCAGTAGGTCTATCTAATCATTTTAATTGATTCTTGTTCAGTTTAGTTTGTGCTGCTTTGTAGATCTCACCATTGCCATGCAAAACAACCATTAAAAGAACACCCTATCGATCTGAATTGTATTTGAATGCCAGAATAACTTGTCCACATTTTACACACAATCATTACCAACCAAGTTCCAAAAAAGCAAGTCTTGTCACTATCCAATAATCCAGTTAACGATGTTCTTGAGCAGCAACTATTACAGTCAAATAAAAAAGGAAGAGGCTACATCACCAGGCTGCCATGTAGTTGGGAGACTTCAACTCCCAACTCAAGCAATGGGGGACACAATACATGGTTCTGTGATGGATCACAACAGCAGGGGGCATGAACCGCCACATTGCAATTCCAGGATAGCTGATAACTATTACCAGCAAGTTGCAAGGTGCTTCGGCTGAGCAGCAAAAATGGCGCAGGTATGCCAGGAAGCGGCATGAAGCTAGGTTGTCTGAAGATTACAATTATTTGCAATTATAGCAGAACTAATTCATACTACTACTATTATAAAACACGGTCAAAACGCAGGATCGCCTTTTTGCTTGAAGATTAACAACTTACTCTTTATACCTTAACTATATAAGTTGGGCAAATCCCGATGGTTAGCTAGCTATTGACATATCAACTCCTACCAAGTTGTCAAAACTGGTAGTCGATTACAGAAACTCCGGAAGGATGATGCCATGGAACTTGAACTATAACCATTTGCCCTTCGTATCGGAGTGGCACCTCATTACCATTGATACGGCAAACCTCCGGTTCCCGGTCACAAAACACCCTCATTTCGCCGGTACCCTTCACCTCGATTTGAACAGATCCATCACCATCATTCAAAACCATAGTCTGAATTGCACCCCCGGAATTGAGCATGTTCACCAATCCAATCGGTGCAAACTGCACGTTTTTGGTACCCAACACCTTAACCGGAGAAACCGTGATGAGCTCGAAATTGAATGGCTCCAGAGATATGGCGACGGTGTCGGCCGGCTTCGACAAAACTAGCTTCTTTTCCCGGAATGAATACAGAGCAAACAGCCCAACTCCGTCCACAGAAATGGCGGGAGACGTTCCGTGTTTCCACTCGACGTCTTTGGGACCGGCGGTGGAGGTCACGGCGTGAGAGTATTGGGAGGCACATTTGTTGCGCCTTGCTTCTCTGCACCATCCTCCTCCTTGGCAGTTGAATGCCCCAACAACTCCAGTGTACTGATCAAAGCATGAATCAGCCAAATTGCTCAGCTTAAGGAGAAAAAAAAAGAAAAAAAGAAAAAAAAACAGCTTCCCTTGCTAGCGTATTTCAATATAATAATTGAAGGAAGGAGTTGAATTGGGAGATTTGGTCTCACCTTATTGAGGTTCCAAATCTTAAGCATGGTTTTCCCATCGTGAAGCGGGTCTTCAAATAGGCAATCACGAGTCGGGAGCGCATAGTATTGACACCGGAGGATGGAACCGTCCGGCAAGACTAAGGTCTTGAGAAGGTCAAAGTTGTGCTTCCCGACGGAGTCACTCACGTAAATAGGTCCACCGGAGATGGCTCTGGAGGCGGCATGAAATTCTGCACAAGGATGAGTTGACTGGAACATGTCCCAATCCGGGTGGATAAAATTACCCATCCACAAGCTGTTGTATGCACAGTGAACCATGTGGCATCCTTGTAGCCAGAATGTACCATTCGGGTCACCAGATGGATCTGTGCACCAAAAGTCATCCCCTGTTTACAACAAAGCTTAAAACGTTATTATATCAGAGAAAAATTCAGCAAAAAAGATGGAGAAAAGAAGATAATAACAAAATCAAGAGAACATGTAACTTACCAACACGTCCAAGAGAAATGGCTTCGGTACCCAGGAACATGAAATCGTTGCAGTGCTCCATGCTGGCAATCACTCCATTCCCTTTGAAGTGGTTCCTCACCGATGATGTGAGTGCTTTGTAGTAAGCTTTTGCAAGCTCCACTCTTCCTCCATAATCCTCGCACAGCATTTCCAACAACTGCAAGCCCATCCCATAATTTCAGTATTCAGAGAATAGATAAATACATATCCAGACCCAATGTATTAATTGATGAAGATTATAAGGGATTTCATTGTCTTCTTCCTCTGTTTCTTTTCACTATCAGTCGAAAATTCCAAAAATTAGGATAACTCTTGTGCTGACAATTTTTTTTCTTTTCCTTTTTTGGGTTGAAATTAGTTGATTCATCATGAGAAGTGGCTAGTTTAGTGACACCTTGCTAGATCCAGTTACAAAATCAACCCCAAAACTTCTATTAAAAAATATATCAAGAGACACGTGGCAATTTCAGGAAGTTAGTAGAACTTACATGAATAACGTCCACCTTGACTCCATCAATCCCAACTGATTCCAGGTGTGAATGAAGTCCTTCATACAGTTGGTCAACCATCTCCGGTGGGACCAGGCCGACACCATTGTTCACGATCTTGTCCACCGCCAAATCTTCCATGGTTAGCTTCAACCCGGGTGTCAACTTGGGCGCAATGACTTTGGATTCCGGCAGACCCGGAATATTGGGTCGGATCCCGCCCCAATACCCACACAGAGCATGCCACACGTACACGTAGTCAACGCTCTTGAAGTTCTCCTTCAAGTCCCGGATGAATGCACCCATCCCGGATTTCGGTTTTCCCGGGTCCCCGGAAGTTGGGTTCTGGTAGTCTCTGAATTTGTAGTTCTCTTGGAATTGAATTAACCGGCAGGGCATCTGTTCGCCGGCGGCCGTCCTATTCATCCCTTCCGTTGTGATCGGGTCGTCGTCGTGGCAAATGGACTGCCACCCGTCGTCAATCAAGACTAATCCGGGCGGGCACCCGCCTTCAACGAGGCCCTTCACGCCTTCCCAGACGCCCCGCGGTTGTACGGTAAGGTAAAATGCGTCCCAAGTGCACCACCCGAATTTGTCAACAATACCCGGCGGAGTTTTTTCCTCCAGCAACTTGAACGTCCCGAGATGGTGCCTGATGACTTTCATGGCGTCTTTGACTAAGCTGAATGGGTCGTCGCCGGCATGCATGTAAAGAACACTCCGGAATAACCCGCCGGTGACTTTGGTGGACCCACTCTCGACGCAAAGGTCTACGAAGTCGTCTTTGCCTGGCTGGAGGGAAGCCCGGAAAGGACCTTCCAGTAGCGGAAGAAGCAGGACGTAAGGACGACCGCCGTCGCCGGGGTCGGACTTGTCGAGAATGACAATCTGAGTCTCGTTCTCGAGGTCGCCGCCCCGGGTTCCGATCCAATGGGTAGTCCACCAAACCTTGAACCTGAAAATGCTCATGAAACGAATGTCTTTTAGCTTGCCAATGGGAACCACGTGATGGCTTCTGGGTTCTTTGGAGTCAAACCCGACAAAACAACCCGATGAGGTGGTCGCCGGTTTCTTGTCCCCGCCGCCGATGATGTATGGCGACGGCGTGGCAACAATATTAGGCGGGACTTCAGACAGAATGACATGATCATTCACCATGAAGTTTGAGTCTTCAAGACTGATGGATGACAAATTGCATCCATCAGCCAGAACACTGATGTTAGAAGCGCCTTTGCTCAGACTTGGAGCCATTATTGGGTTCGATCAACCAAAATTTAAACAAATTTCAAAGTGGCAAAATTTACAAGGGGATCAAAAACCAAAAAGCAAGAGTTAGCTGGGAAGATAGTGTATATCTTATGAAACTGATGATCAGAACAAAGTGTAAAATTAATATAAGAATGAATAGCTATTTGATTGTTTTCCAGTTATGTTGAAAGTTGAAACAAAGCTTTTTTTAGCTGTGGATAGTGTAATGGCTGTATGTTCATTCTCGCCGGGGGGGGGAACCCGAATTTATAGGCAGAAAAAAAAAAAAAAAGGAAAATTGGGAATCAAAATTAAGGAAGGTGGGAAGGAAGCGGGTTTGGGCGGTTAGTTGCAACATTCTATTTCTCAGGTGGGGCACACACAGTATACAGTGAGGGAAAAGTGTGAGAGTGTGAAGTTTATTTGGTCTAAAATTTAAATATATATTTGTATTATTATAATACTATTATCCAAAAGAAGTCATTTTCGTCCAGAAGATTTCTTTTTACAAAAATCTCACGTAGTTGGAGGCTAATTAATCCAATTTTAGTGAACCAGCTACCACGGAAACTGAATAATTTAAATAAGATGATTTGAGAACCAATTTTCTAATTCGGCATTTAATGTCTGCTAAATCATCTGAACAGCTTCAATGGATGACGTGACAACTATCGCCATTGGATACATAGTTACATACTGATGATAGTCTGATTCTGATATATACTGCTCTTATTTAGAGGCCCGGATCGTTTATCTTCCACACGCTAATTTATTTATTATATTAATTTAAATTCTGAACCATTCGTATTCTTCCGATATTAATTATTTGGCACAGTGTTTGAGTGTAACTGATCATTCTTCTTTTTTTTAAAAAAAAAGTGACGAAAATTCGTATGTCAGAATCTGTTGGAATGAGTTGATGGTTTACTTTTACTGAAATGGATTATTACATAGGATTATACATGTGAAATGTTATAGAATATTGCGTCAATACATATGATAGATTCATAGAATATGATCCAAATTGTCATCAAATCATCGAGTCTAACAATAAAAAAAAGGGGGGGGAAAACTACAATAGAAATGTACCTGTTCGTGATTGTTTTAGTTGAAATTGAATATATTGTCTTCGATATTTTTGCCGCAGCTTCTTCTAGTTGTTTCATGCATGATCAGAAACATTACTATTTGCGATTTTGCGTTGTCGCCACACCAACGAAATTTCATTATAAACATGTACTTTCTCAAAAAAAAAAAAACGAAATTTCATTCATTGGATCCCATATCTCCCCCCCTAATTTTATCGTAAAGGCATCTATTTATTGATCTTATAATTATCCCCATTTGACTGCACCTTTTTGTCAAATTCAATAATTCTGACAAAATATTGAAAAAATACGTGGATTATGTAATTTCTGTAAATTATGCATTTCTTGACCACAGGCTATAAAAAGGCAAGTTTATCCACAAATTTGTACGTCTTATTCACTGTTCAATGGTCCATATCAGAATAAGATGCATCTTAGCTGCCCTTTGATTCACAAATCACACTAATCAGATAGATAGATACTCCCAGAATCCGTACATTTTCATAGCTTCTTAAAAAAAAAAAATTAATATTGCAAGGTACCAATTATATTTAAAACAGTAAAATAATTTATGCGTGTTGAATTATAATTTTGAGATGTATAAAGTGTGATTTTTTTATTTTAAAGGATTAGAGTGATTTATGAAACTTTATTTGCCGACTACCAACGACAACATTTAGCGGAAAGATAAGGCGGTAAAACAGCAATTCAAAAATAAAATGAAAACGTTATTAGTTTGCTCAGCCAAATTGGGATGTCTACCGATTCATTTCGTGTTGCAATTATGTCTAACAAAAAGTAAAGTAAAAAAGAAAAGAGGTGTGGGCCACTTCTTACTGTGAGAGTGTATGGTCCCCTTTTTGTTGAGGTCGTTGAGCTCATACTCCTGTAAATTTTGGAGAAGAGTCGGTGGCTATGGCCATTTGTCCACAAGATATGGTGGGCCCAGAAGCACCGACCAACCGGGAGTCCCGGCAGGGAGCAATGAAGGGGCAAGTGGCATTCTCTTCAGAGACAAGCGATCAAATCAAACTAATTTTAGACAGTACCGCTTGAAAATTCTAGATTATCAATATCACATTTTTCAATTTCTCACCATGATAATTGGTTAATAGCTCATCATGTTTATATACTATTTTTTTTTTGTTTATATAGTACTTTCAATTTCTTTATTATCTTATTAATGCTCATCTATAAAGGTTGATATTAATAATCATTTTGAGGAAGTATGAATCATATCTTAATAGATAACTCATATTCATGTTTATGTGTTATTGGGAGGAGAAGAGAAAAAAAAAAACAGCTTGTGAGAATGTGCATCTTTTTGTAGCTGATTTTAACTGCCTAATCAAATTGATGGTAGTAGATTGGTACAAAATGGAAGTAGGAAACTGATAAGAAGGTAGATAAGTGGTCTTCAGCAAAATGGGAAATATCAGGGGGTTTGTTTGCAATTAACTCGGAAATAAAAGTCACCATTAGGTGGTCGTACTCGTTTACCAACTGCTCTTAACTGCCAGCAAACTGTGACCGTTAGCTTTCAACCAGACGTTGCCACATGGACCAATTACCGTTAAGCAGCGTACTCCTACCATTTGTGTCAAGATCAAAACCAACGGAAATCCCGCAGCTTCAGAGTTCAAACGTTGAATGAATGGATGGATAACAAGTGTAAGGAGAGGCCCCTCATACGTGGTCTTTTTTAATTTTATCCTCCTTTTTTTCTTTGGTTCAAGAGGATTTAAACAAAGACAAAAAGTAAGTGATATGTGATGTAATTGACGAATTTGGGGTGAAATTTTCGTGGGTTTTGGTCGGTTTGATAATTGGACTGTTGTTACACTACTTACGAACGACGCGTAATTTCAGTTAGTTGAGATTTCTCAACAAATAAAAACGATTTTCATAGTCAAAAAATAAAAAAAGAAAAGAAAAGAAATACTAATAATGAAAATTAGCATCGTGTGTGGTTAGAGGAGCTCTTAAGATGGTAAAACCATAATTAGAACATGATATCATTGGTATTTTAATAATTGTCTTTTATTTTACTTCCGGAAAAAAAGAGATTTAATTATCGTTTTGACGTTGCTCTTTTAATCTCTCTCTCTCTTTATTATTATCGCCGTCAAAAAAAAAAAAATAGCCCACATTGAATTTTTAAATTTGTACTAAAAAGAGTGCAAAATTTAAAATTCAATGTAGACTATTTTTGTGGGACGAAAGGAGTATTATTATTTTATTTTTTTTTGTCTCTTTTTTACTTTTCTAAAACCCGTCATGGGTGGGAGAGGCAGATCTAGATACGGAGTCGAACTCTTATCCTAAGTATTGTTTGACTGTGAAGTGTGAAATCAAACAATAGATGCTGTTGTTATTGATTGCGTATCTCGCGGTTCTGATTCTTAAAAAATCAAGTGTGCAGATTAAGCCTCGTAAGGAGAGTAATGTGCTTAACCAATCTTTTTCCTCAACGTTGATGTCTTCCGTCATTTAAACACTCAATTGGGGGAATACATTATTTCGTGCGGTAGTTACGGCAAAGTGAGTTATGACAAATGGAAGCATTTAACAAATGACACAATTATCTATTAGTAAACAGTCTTTCCGTCTCAACAAATCTGATGATCATTTTTGCGATACAGAGGATATGTTTTTTCGTATAGTAAAACTTAAAATAAATGGACAAAATCAAAAGGTCGAGTGAGTGTGGTTTTTGGTAGAAGTGGTAGGAGCTAGGAAGTAGGAAGTGAAGGGAAACCAAAACCAGGATGACTCTTGGAAAAGGTCGGTCGGCAGGAATCCGTGCTTTATGATACAAAAGGTAAAAGTTCTCCATAGTCGCTGCCATTCCCCACTAACCACCTGGCCCTATATTTTAAGTATGGGAGAATATTCTGGGCACTGTTTTTAGAGGATTTATTTATTTATGTTAAAGGAAAGGAAAATATAAATAGCTCCCTACATTAGCTATGTTATTCTGGCTAGTGGCTACAAAGATGAGTTGACCACTGTATTGGAATAAAAGTGTGGTGATCGTGTAATGTATATCCATTACGAACTTACCTACCCAAAGAGCATACGATCCATATTTTAAAATGAAAATAAACATTGCAGGATTTCTAAGGAATATCATTTCTGATGCAAAATGGAGAGGTCGGATGGAGGGGATGGTAAAGAAGAAGATTCATGCTTCTGATTATAGTACAAACCATATGCTTTGCGAACAATACTCTGCATCCCTATACACTTTGCATTGCGCTTCTAATAACTGAAGAATAATTTCCTTGCTTTCTTTACATATATCTCGCACTTCTGATTTATCTTATTCTGTAGCAACAATCATCCCTATCATTCTAAGCCTACCATTTAGTGTACCTTGGAAATGAAACAACAGAACAAGATTCATGTGTTTTAGTCAACCTCAGGAGTATCACCACTTGAGTCCTTTTCGGCTGCCCGCGGAACAACTCCAAGTGCAGACTGAAAGGTACAAACAAACACAAAACAAGACCCTTATGAACATCATTGTTATTGTCACATCTTATCAAGCAGAAGATTAACATGGTACAGTAGATGGGATTCCCAAAGTAATGCATTCTGAATGTTGAAAGTTGATGGTTTGAAACAAATGGAAAACAAGTGAACAAGAAGATGACTAGCTCACCAAGTTAAGTAGCCGTAAAGCTGCAGGCCGAGTGAACTTCCTCGCGAACAAGAAGCAGGGAGCAGGTCTATTTTTACTAGTGCACCACTCTCTCCTGTATTCAGTCTCATAGTAGATATTGTCTACACCCTGCAAATGTAATACATTAAAACTTTCAGTACTTGTCAAAATCCACTATAAAGGGGACCGGGAAAAGTCACCATATACAGAAAATTTAGCATTTTCGCCACAAAGATCATAATATTTCTCTTTCTCGAACTTAATACCATACAGATCAAGGGAAAGTACAATGAATGTTTTCCCTAGGTACAAAAGATTTATCTATTCAGTAACCCAAGCGAGTGTTCAGGAGTCAGGACTGAGAATAATGAAAATTTGAGGAAGGAAAGTATCTTAGACCAAAAAAACAGAAGCAATATGTCAGATTTAAAATGTTATATACCTTGATCGATTGAATGAGAGAGGGTGTCGCATCAGCTAGTTTGTAAGTCACGGGATGCCATCCTCGGCGTTCACGGTCTTTCGAGGAAAGATCCCATGATGTATGAGTTACTGACCTCCTTGTAATTTCTCCTTCGAGACCCTTATGCTGAATCAGGATCAGAGAGTTACAGAACATGAGGCTATAACATATCTTTAAAGCATTGAATTAAGCCACTGAAAGTTAATTCTAAAAATTTGACTTGGGGTCAGATTATCTGCATCAACAAATCCTAATCTAAAGATAGAACAATCTAGCCTGATTAGCAGTAAAAACACACTTACAGCAAGTAGAGTCTGAACATAGTGTTCATCTGGTATACAATTATGCTCCTTCCATCCTTCTGCAGGCTGCAAAGTGACGATTTCCGAAGATCATTTCACAATGGATTTTCACTTTAATTTCGATAACAGTTCATGAGATATATATCAAGTGAGTGTGTGTGAAATATATTCCATGTATCACATACTTCAGAACACCTCCTACATAGCTATAACATATACCAGAGGTCCCAGTTTCAGGAAAGTCGACGATTACTAACACATTTTCAAAGCGAAAGTACAAAGCCATTTCAAAAAGTAAGAAGTAACAATCATGCATGTTCACTCATCATGATACAAACACATGTGCAACAACAGCAGAAATGAGTTCTAACAATACAAATGAATGAAAGAGAGAGAGAACTCACGAGTGGACGGTCCCGCCAAAACTCAGGCAATGACTTCCTCTGTACAGTTGTGAAAATGTAGCTTGTGTAAACATACGCAGACAAAGACAGGTTTCATACCAAAAAATGCTTTTTCTTCACCAAAACAAATACAAAAGCAGGAAAAAGCTTACCCTGCAATGCAGCTGAAACACTGGAAAAACAATGTCATCCTTCACAACAATATCTGCGTGCTTTCTGGTCAGAACAACCCACTGCAAGGAAAAAGGATGACCAACTCAGCTGCAATTAAGGTCGAGTATTCATGTTCAAGGAAAATTGTTTCTTTACTAGTTCCCCCTCATTGTTGGTTACCATGTATTGCATCTAATTCCTGTGAATTCTTTTGGAATTCACTTTAAACTAATACCTGAGATCCTTTTCTCCAGTTTTCAACACGAACGACGGGATGCATTTTCGGATTGTAACGGCCTTCTTTTGTATCAGCAAAACTAACCCAAAAACGGAAAGTAAGATGAGGTCAGGGGTCAGTTGGGAAGACTCAGTGATGATATCAGCTGACCAACAACTACTGAAATAATTACGGATAATAAAACACTAGCCCACTAACCTATCCACAAAGCTTCCTGGGGAGGACATTATATAATCGTATGTGTAGCTGAAGTTGTACAAAGGTATGCAGCTGACATAAAAGTATGGATCTTAGAATCGGACTTGCAAAGGAGTTCCTTGACAATCCGTTGAAACTGTAATCATATTGCTTGCTTGAAATTACTATTAATAAAGATAACATGGCGGGTGCAGAAAGGAATTATGAGTGAAATGCCCACCTGTCTGAAAGAAAAACAAAGCGTTCATTATGTAGATCCTCAAGAGCATTTTTGAGCAAAACGCGTTCGGCCTGAAGCATGCTTGCTTCTCCCCAATCTACCTGAAAAAATGGGGCAAGTTTATTGTACCTTATCTGGCAAGTAAAAGAGAGAGCTGAAAGCTATTGAAGCCTGGTCCCTGATTTAGACTCAAGTAGGGACAAAACAGAATAAAATGCAAGGTTTAACAAAGAGCCCAAGTTACTTAAGTTTTCAGAACAGGTAGTTGCTACATTTCTCCAAGTAATGCAAACTGAAGTCATGCCGAGTTCATGTGAGAAGGACAGACAACCTGTACACTATTGTTGACTTGACGATCCAGAAAGTATGCTGATCTGGTAGTTGCCTTATTCAACAGGAAGCCAGGTCTCGAGTGAACATAGATTGAAAATTTCTTCTCATCATCGGCCTTAAAAACCAAGGAAAAGTATAAAAATTCCAGAAGATTAAGCAAAGGGTGGACAGCAAACAAAATGAACAGAAGATACCAAATTATCTTTTTATTAACAGTGGGAGAAAGATATCAACGCATGTGCAAAGACATTTAAATTTAATGAAGCTGCTTGAGCTCAGTGAGAAGTGAAGTTGATATGCGGGATTAAAGTATACGATTTTTCCCTGCTCAATATAGCAAGTTTAGTATATCTTTAAATTTGACACATGTATGTAGACTAGAGTAAGCACCTCCATAATTATGACTGCATTAATCATATATTCAAGATAAAATACTAAGAATTATATCATTCTAATACATGATCTCAGAAAGAAGAAAGCATTTTAGAGTTGAACAAATCATCTTGGATGATTGTGAATTCTTCATAAAACATACTTCCCTCAGAATTAACAGAAAGGAAAATAACTAAGTGCCATATGTAGAGGTCAACCTAGTTTAGTAATTTACACTGATTGTCATCATAATGAGGAATACAGAACGTTTAAGCTAAACAGTAAAAAATTGGTCCCAGAGCCAAGAAAGGCAGTACAAGATTTCCTAAGTTGATGGTATTCTATTCAAATAACGTCCCATTATTTAACTTCGCGTCTACTCCCATCAACCAATCACAACCAAAACATACAACTGTTGGCAGCAGTAGAGCTCCTGCCCGGCAAATATCATTCCAAGAACAAATTTTCAAACTCTAAAGATGATCCACCCAAGAAATAAGGAAGTAATTGACAGAATTTTTTTTTTAAAAAAATAAATAGACAGAAGTGAATCGCGAACAAAAAAGGTTGTTAATTAAAGAGTTCCAAACGATTACTAGTTACCTGAAAGAAGGCATCCCAAACCATGTCCAACGGAAGCCGATTTCTTGCAATAAACAGAAATGCAATCTTGGGCTTCTGCGCTAAAAATGGCGGCTGGATTAACTTTAAAGACCACGAAGAAGAATAAGAAGAAGAAGAAGCCAAGAAACCCAAAGTGGTAATCCGAGAATACTGTCTCTCCATGAATGCCAACGTCACAAAGCACAGACCAACCAAAAGCAGAACAATCAGCTTCCTCTTCCATCTATGATGCTCACGAAATTTCAGCGAATTAGTTCTTCGCTGCTTCATCTTCCTCTTCTTCCACCTTTACTCCCAAGTAAGAAAGCTAAGATATAACTAACTGAACATCACAGAATTCATTATAAACTTTGCCCTGTCTTCCCAGTTTCAGATCGGGCATGGAAGTGCGTGCACATCTTTTTTGTACATATCATAGAGATTCTCAAGAAGTAAAAAAATTGTCCCAGGGGATTGAGATTTGGGATTCGGAGGACGATAATTGAAGCTCGTGAGTGTAGATAAAAATACTAGTAGGAGTAGAATTTATTCCAATGGGGAAGTGAGTTTATCACTTTGGTATTTGCCTATTCGGTGGTGGATTCAGAGAATCAAGAAAAGCGGGAGAGAGAGATAAAGATAACGTGGTAGTTTGCGTGTAATGGAGGGGACTAGATGATGCCGACTTTTTTTGGTTTCCTGGTCACCGGCCGGGGACATAGTCGGAGAAGCTATCAGTTCCGACGATTTTCCCGACTTTGCCTTGACTCTCCGAGACAGACTTTCGCTTTTTCAGTTGGATCCTTTTTTTTTTTACTACTTCAAATAATTACAATCAGACAACTTAATGAATGCAACTGATCATGTACTCCCTCACTTCTAAAATTATTGTTCAATTTGAAATTTCATTTTCAGTATAAAACTAAAAAAAAAAACTCAAACTGCACAATAATTTTAAGACTTAATAAAATATTTCTTTTTTTAAACAACTGATTATAGAATATCTGAAAAGTGCCTAGTCTATTTTTTCGGCTAGATTTTGAGGTACTACTAAAGTATCACTCATCAGATATTGTAATGTTTATTCAAAACACAAGGAATAATTACTCCTATACAAAAGTGGATACCCCATAAGTTTGAAGGTTGGACTGCATATATTATTTTTTTTGTTTCGATTTTGGGTTCTATCTTAATTTAAAAATGTAATTTTTTTTTTTGGTCTTACAAAATGAGCAGAAACTACAAAAAAATAAATTGACTTTCTTTCAAAAAAAAAAATCATGTTTCTTTAAAAAAATAAAAATAGCACAATAAAAATATTACTTGATCGTAAAACTAAGTTCCCAAACGTTCTGTGTCGAATGGAATTCAAAACTGAAAGGAAGTTACCATCGTCTTTTACTGAATTTTAGAGAAGCTAGCTTTTCCACCAAACAAAAAAAAAAAAAAAAAAAAAAGCTAGCTTCACCAGCAAGTGTTCTTCCAACAAGAAAAGGACCTGCATCATCATGAATGGAGAGTACTGCTGATTTCCGAATTTGAGGACACGGTAAACATTATCGGTTATTTGATTGATGGTGTTATAGATGACTACAACACACTTAACCGGACATGTGAAATATTAAAATGTCCAAGCACAACTAACAGTTGGTGGAGTTTAAAAAAGTAATACTTCCTCCACCACTAAAATTATTGTATAGTTTGGATTTTTATGTTTAATACAAAATGAACTATAAGTGAAAATTAAAACTGGACAATAATTTTGAAACAAAGAGAATAATATTATATGATATAATATTTTTTTCTTGTCTCTGTTAATGATTTATTTCTTTGAACAAAATAATGTTATAAGATAAAATGTCTTTTTAAAATAAAAAAAATAAAAAATAAGATGGGTGGAGGGATCAATAAGGGAAATGGTGAAGAGTTGCATCAACAAAATAAACAATGCATGTGATTTGGTAGGCTGGGTAGGGTTCCTGTTAAGTGTTAAAAGGAGGTTCAATTGGTGAAAGTTATATATTAATAGGCATCTAACGCCCCCCACCCAACTTGTTTGATCAATTTTTGCATTGACTTGCAAGGAATGTACATGTGCATCTGCTTCCACATCATTCATACAACTCCATCACCACTTGTTCCATTTTTCTTCCACTTTCTTTGGATCCTTGTATACTGTGTAGAAGTAGTAGAACCAGGGAAAAAAAAAGGAAGAAGAAGAAGAAGAAGTATGCACCATTGAATCCATGGCATAGCAGATCAATCGCATTAAAAGTAAAATAACACCCGTTACGAATTTTGAATTCACTTCCCTTAAAAAAAAAGTTACATTTTGCCCTAAATCTTACATTCCACAATCTAACATTGTGTGACAACCTCAAAACTTCGAGTCAAGTTTGACTAAATATAATGCATAGACGAAAACCACGTGTTGAAATTTCGAGATAGTTTCAGTGTTTAGCCTTAGAAGACCTTTGATAAATTTTGAAGTTTAGGGGAGAACTCATATGTGCTAGTCAAACTAACTTCAACGTAATTATCTTTTTTAACCCAAATCTTCGGGCCAAACCCCATACTATAAGTCTATAATCTTAACAACACAGTAAAAGTAGGCCCAGATGTTATCTTTTCCTTAGCCCAATCAGATTCAACAAAAAGAAAAGGTTAAGATCAGCAAGATCATCTTCATCTTCTACATTTCCCACCCACACGTATCACTTCGATTATCTCTCACCATTTCTTAACCTGAAAACCTCACAATTTAATTTTAATTTTTTTTCCTTTTAAAGAACTTACACTCTGTGTTGTCGTACTAATAACAAACAGTCAACGCCTCCATTGGCCCTCAAAGAAAAAGTCTGATGATCTATTATTATATTGAGGGTATTTTGGGCTGAGTTAGAACCCAAAGAGATAGATTACGCGTTCAGTTTCTAAATTGAGCGTTGGAAGCCCAAATACCGAAGTCCAACCCAGACGATGTAAAGATTCCTCCGCTTTCTTTCCAGAGGAGAAAAGTTATCATCTTCGATGGAGTCATCATCCGGTTTACAAAATCAGCATATTTTCAGAACAAGGTAAACCCTTTTTAATTCGTTCTCTTATCATTCACGACTGTATGGAATTGAATTTCTGTGCATGTAGTAATCGGGGTTTGATTGTATTTGTTGGAAATGATTCAATGAAGCCCACTGGTAAAGCTTAATGGAAGAAACCCAACGGGGCGTGGGAGGGCAACGCCTGATTTAGTTAAATTGGTTGAAGGGGTCAGCAGGAAAAAGTATTTACCTATGCATTTGTGTTCGGCCACCTCCTACGGTGGTGGTTTCAGGCAGCAGCAGGGTGGACGCTTAGTAGGCAATGGTGATGGAGTAATCATTGTCGATCATGGCTCCCGCCGGAAGGAGTCCAATCTTATGCTGGGTAAGTAATTCTCTCTGTGTATTATGTTCTCTTCTGTAGCTGTATATGCTGAATTCTGGTGGTAAAGTGTTTCGTTGTGAGCAATTACTCAATTTGGATTTCACTGTTTCTGATGATGACCCAGATGAATTCGTGAAGATGTTCAAAGAAAAGATGAAGTACCCTATTGTGGAGCCTGCCCACATGGTACTTACTCATTGTTTTCTTTAGCCTTAGAATTGTTGTACAATGTTCTAATGCTATTTGATGTAGAGAATTTTAGCATGATCGTTGAGGAATGTGTTGTAAAATGCGTTCTAAAGATAAAGTCTTGGACTTCAAGTTGAAATGTGCTTTAGTTGTACAATTTGCAGTCCACTAAGTCAAAAGACAAAATCGACATGGTATTTCAAGACGTGTGTTGAATTCTGAAAATTCGATCAGCTTTTCTCATCTAGTTTAAAAACCAATGAAATTGAAAGTGCAGCTTAAATCTATGAACTTGTTTTTCTGCAACAGTTTAAGCTGTCAAGCTTCCTTGTCTCTGCTATGTCACAGACGAATTGCTATACACTTGCAACAAAAAAAAGAAAGAAAAAAGAATCTATATTCTTGCTAATCAGCATTTCTGGTTACTGCACAACATAATTCTGGTTGATGGACTGCTTTATAAATTTGTGTTGAGAGTGATGTTTTTGATGTATGCAACGCGAAAGTAGTTCTTCACACATTATGCTGTACTCTATTATTAGGAATTGGCGAAACCATCTATCGAAGATGCATTTAGTTTGTGTGTTCAAAAAGGAGCAAAGCGAATTATTGTGAGCCCATTTTTCTTATCCCCCGGTCGACATTGGACCCAGGTACCCATAACAATATCTATTCGGATGCAACATTCATCTTAATCCAAGTCATGGATGTGTGGGAAAATCAGCAGCTTTGATGTTTGCTATTTGAGTTTTTCAGGATATACCCTCCTTAGCAGCTGCAGCAGCCAAGGAACATCCGGGTGTCTCATATTTAGTTACAGCTCCTTTGGGCCTACATGAATTGCTTGTGGTCAGACATTGTTCGTTCAATTTTGCTATCTTCTTACACTCCCATTTAGTTTTCTGATGTTCTGTGTCATACCTTGATTGATTAAAAACTGTTAAAAGGATTTGTTGACATGCATTCTAACTGATAAATCGTATTATAGGATGTTATGAACGACAGAATTACACATTGCTTAAGCCATGTTTCTGGAGATGCAGAGGAGTGTTCAGTTTGTGCTGGAACAAGAAAATGTCAACTGTACGGATGACATGATAGGACTTTCAGACCTCAATATCCTTGACAACACTTGTATCTTTGGGTTGAAGAGCTGGAGATCTAGTATATGCAGCTAGTATCATTGACAACACTTGTATCTTTGAGTTGAAGAGCTGGAGATCTAGTATATGCAGCTAGTATCATATTATCTCCCATGTCTATCCTTAAGCTTTAATTTTGAAGAGACGAAAACAAAGCCATACGGGTCTCAAGAATTTGCTCATGGGGAAACTATCAATAATGGTGACAACTTGCATTTGTAGTTGGGAGTAAAATTTAAGAAGTATTGGTCCTGCTTGGTAGTTTCTTTCCCTGCTAGTTTCACGCTCTTCTAACGCCTCCTTTGTAATTTCTTCTTGTATGTGTCGTTTAATTGTAAGTGGTTCTATTTTGATTAAACACATTCTGCATGAAGTGGGATATCTTTTGGGGGATGTTAATCTTCAGGATTATTACTTTGTACAATCACTGTGTAACTAAATATCAAGCATCAAAGTGGCTGAATAAGTCCTGCGTTTGGCTATCTTACATTTTCTATGGCATCATTAGTATCATATGGTTGTTATATACAATTGTAACTTTGTGGACAGCTGTTTAATCAGTGAAAATCTCACTAGCTTTGACTCTGCCAGAGTTCAATTCTTGACCATCTCTGGAGCATCCTTTTTTCTCTTGATTGAAGAGTATAGCTGTATTACCCTTCTTTTTGGTGGTTCAGCTTCTTCTTGAAGGCTTCAGCAGCCGCAAAAATGTTGGCGGGTCTCTCCCAACCTTGTCCATAAATGCCATGTCCTTCTTTAGGCTGAGGTTGAGTTAGGTACTCAAGAATTTGCAGTTCGTCTTCATTGACCCAATGGATACAGTTGACAGGACATGAATCAACTGAAACCTGTTTCTCCCCAGGTACAAACATCAAAAAAAATTGTAATACACACACACACTACATGATAAGGCTACAGATTCAGCGAAAGCAACTTTACTGTACCTGTATGTCCATTAGGTCATCTCCATATTGAACTTTAACTCGGGCACATCCCTTAGTTTCATCCATGGTGAAAGTGTTATTTGCGTAATGAACACATTCCCTGCAGCCTGCATCATTTCAAAAGATTAGAGAACAATAAATTTATCCAACAAGATATCTTTTACCTGTGACTCATCTTGTTTATAGGGTTGGGTTGTATTTCTGACATTGGCCACGGAAACACATACAAATTTAGAGTGAAGTAAAACAATGTTTTTACCTATACAATGGTTCTGATCAACAAACAAGGCTTCTGGTCTTAATGGACCATTCCACGAGCTAAATGAAGAAGAGTCCCTCCCGTACCATTTTCCATGTCGGAAAATTGAAACGTCGTACTCTTTCCTTAATTCCTGACTCATCAAAACCTTGTACGCCTCGTTCAGCAATAGTGTATAATCATGGCCCTGGAACAATACTTGTATAATTCCATCAAACAGGAGACGTACTAATTTATAACTGACAATCATAGGTTTCAAGTTAAAACAAATTAGCTAACTCCAGAGCCAAAGATGTTTGAAATAATACTAATTCCCAACATAAACAAACAGATTAACCTTTGGTCCAGCAACATCAGGATGGTACATCTTTTGGAGTTTCCGGTATGCGTCTTTGATCTGTTGGGAGGTTGAGTCATATGAAACTCCAAGCAACTCATAATGAGTCTTCTTCTGGTGACGATGATGATGCAATTCTTCAAGTGTTTTTTCATCAATTTTGCTCTTCCAACAACAACTGATTCCTGATGTTTTCTTTACAACTTTCCATCTCCGACTTCAAACACATAGAACAATAAATTAAATTGCGATCAGTTCATCTTCTTTCTGTTCTTTTTTTCTTTTTTCTTTGGGAAAATGAAGAAGGTAAAATCATTCATCCAAAAACAATACTACTACCTCTGAATGGATTTGGTGGAATGAAATTGAGCAATGGGTGGCTGACAAATCTGGAAAACAAAAGAAGGCATGTTTCAGAATTCAGAAAGTAATTGATCCCCCAAAATCTCTTAACATATACAAGCGAAAATGATAGTGATCGATATCGTGCGTTGATATTTTTTGGAAAAAAATTTACATTTACTAGATATTTTCCACTCTGGGCCACTTGCTCAAAACAAGTTGTGGGAAAAGAGTCCACAACCCACACGACAACAAAGAACTCATTAGATGAATAGCCCAACCAATTGACTCACTGGCCCGGCCTTATCTTAATGAAGTTGGGGGATTTCCTTCAATCACGAAGCAGAGATCATGCACAAAGAAATTCTCTTGCAAATTACATTGTGAAAATTTAAACTAAACAATTAATTTGGTACGGAATCGATTCATCTATTATTGAAAATTATATGGAAGTTATGATTTATGGAGAAAATTCTGGTTCGAATTTAAATAAGACTTTGCCATTTGTGATTGAGGAAGCAATGTAGTGTTGTAGGTTTTGTGATCGAGTTCCGGTTGAATTGAAATGGAAGGAGTATTTGTATAAGAAAATTTTTTAATAGAAGCTCTCATTGTTATGCCTTTAATGATAAAATTAAAGTAAAGCACAGTTCATTAATGATTAAACCATATTGCCAAGGGAAAATGGAGCATATTTGTGCGGTCACTGCCAAATCAGGGGAACCAAAAGAGAATATGTCTAGATTCAGTAGGCCAAAAAGTAATATGGGTATTGATTCGTCAGGTATTATAAGTGCAAACTTAACTTTGAGTACATGAGAATCAATCGTACTAAACTACTAACCACAAAGTTTGGATGATTGATTCGCAAACTTATTGAGTATATATATATATATATATATATATATATATATATATATATGTATATATATATTTCTGATTATTCTCTAGCATTTGTCCAATACATCCATTTTGCCCCTTAATTAAGTTTGCGATTTGTGATTTTATTCATTTTCATTTCTTTGTTTCCTATTTCATTTTTTTTTTTTAAGTTGACCGGTTCTTGGGTAATTAATTACATCATCACAGACGTGTCTCATTGGAGCAAGTGATTACTCATCATCTCCACCAAAACATTCCGCCCCAACCGGAAGTGTAGAGGCAAGCAGCGAAATACTCGTTTGGGTTGACAAGCCCGTGGACCCCGAAAACAACAGCAACTGGGTGATCCCTCCACTTCCCGTCAATACAGATATACTGTATTACTCCCAGAGAGAGCAAGAGAGCTAAAACTGTAGCCCGAAGATAACAATGAAGAACATGCAAAACTAATTATAAGTACCAATAATAACAAGAATAGAGCAAAATATCAATGCTGCTACACTTTCAGTTTCAGGCGCCAAAATGTTAAGTTCGCGGAATTTTAGATTAGGAATATCCACTTAATCTACTAATTAAGTACATTTCAGAACAAACATTGTCAATAGAGATGGAGAGGTAGAACTGGAGATGCCAAAATCCACCCTGAAACTGCCACCACAAGTGACCCCTGCAACATAAACGAATAGGGTCAGTGACAACTGCATGTGCACCATTCATCTATAACATGTTCAATTTTAAAAGAGATAGCAAAAAAAATGCAAAAGAAAAGGTGCAGAGACACAAAAAAAGGTACACCCAGGCGGGCAAAAATAATACCCAGGAGTACAAAGGGAGCAAACTAGATATCATGAAGGTCCTTTTCAGAGGAACAACTTGAATTTGATGGTGAAATAGTATAGAATAGCATCTTTGCCACCCCCAAAAAAAAAAACATAGCAACAGTATGCAGTACTAACACCGTTAACTTAATGTCAAAAAATATTTAGGAGACTTGATTGAGAGCCAGAAGTCTGCATAGTAACTATATCAGACTAATTTAATATAGGACTAATAGGAAAGACAAACATCCTTGTGAAATGCAAATAAACCTGCAATTTGGATTGAATGATTATACCTTTTCAAACAAAGAACAACAAACGAGTCTCTAAAACCAAGAAAAATTCAAGTGAACCCCTAAGAGGACATAACATTAAACCCTAAAGAGTGGCAGGGATTCATATCTTCTAATAACAAGAATATGAGAATTTGAGCTTTGCGACTTATATAAACGAACAAAGAAGTCAACAAGAATACCACTCAACCACAAGTATCCAAACAATTAAGATAAAACAATTCCAGGGAGGTCAATACAGAGCACGTCATCAAAGACCGACCAACGAATCGACAACAGCAGATCTAAATGAAAACAGTATTAAAAAAAAAAAAAAAGTGGACCAAAAAACGTACACATCAAGAAGATACAGACACGCACCGAAAAAATCACCTGCTAATCAGTGACCAGGTTGAGTCTCACCACCAGCCGGAATTATCGCCGCCTGAGCAACATTTTCCGCCCTCAGCAAAGCAGTATCCAACTCCTCCTGTGCAATTAACTTCCGATTCACGGCGTTGATGAACTCCCGGGAGAAACCCAACTTGATCACGCTAACATCATCGATGGTGATGAAATAAATCTTGGCCTTGTCGATGAGTTCCTGCTTGAGCCGATGAACGAAATCTGGCCTCCCGAAAAGCAGGTCCTCGGCACGGTATCTTGCTACCACAGCGTTTAGAGCCTCACATGCCATGAAGGGTAAAAACTCGAGCGGGTAGTTCAGCCCAAAGAACCTCAAAAAGGATGGCAGCTCTGATGTGTCCGGACGGAAGAGGAGACGGATTTTGATATCCAGCTTCTGCAGATCATTGGTGATGGGCTGGCAGGAGATTGTAAGAGGACGGATCCTCACATCAATCAAGAACCGAGTGTAGCGACCTGGGAGAAGAAAATGAGTTCCCGCGTCGAGGGTGTGGGCGACTCCGGTGAAGCGGTCAAGTACGACGGCGCGATGTCCGATTTTGACAGTAAGGAGTGAGAACTTCCACCACGAAAGGAGGCCCAAACCTAGGCCCAATGTAACTGGGGCTAGCAATCTCGACAAGGACGAGGACCCTCCTCCAGAAGGAGTACCACCACTCATCATGGTGTCTTCGTTTGGTGGGTATGAAAGATTAAGCGGTTGGAGGGGAAGGGGTGGATTTTTCCCGCGCCGGAACCGACTATTGTTTTTGGGAGATAGGGTAGGTTTGTTTTGTTTTGGAGAGAAAGAAACAGAGAGAGGTTGTCGGATTCTCAAAAAAACAAACTCTTATGAAAGAAAGAATTGATTCAAAAGAAGAAGATATTCATAAAGGACTCAGACACAAAGGGATATCTTTTTTACAGTTGTTGTTTTTTTGCCTTTTTGTGGGTGATAAAAAGAGAGAGGTAAGGTAACGTGAGTGGGTGAAAGTAGTACATTGACTTGACAGAGTTTACCAAACAAGGGGAAGGTTTGGGGTAAAATAAATTCCAAAAATGAAAATAATTGTTACAGTATTGGAGCTATTGTATTAGTAGAGATCATTAAATTTAATGATTCCACGAGAAGAAATCAAGGATTAAGGAAAGCAATCGGGATACCTTTAATTTATCATATAGTAACTTTGTTATGAAGAATAATTAGGTCCAAAATTGTTGTTGGTTTGACAAATAACAAGGAGGAAAAATCGGTTACCAAATGAAATAATGGTAAGTATTTTTTTTCTGTAGAAAAAGAGAGTAAAGGAAAAACATTAATGCAACTAAAGTTTACTTTTTTACTGAGCTAGTACTATCTTTACCTTATGGGGGCTCGTTTATAGAGTCTACTACTACTCTCATAGTAGCCTGGTCATGATGTCTTTGAGGCTGACACTTGACACCAAATAAACTACTTCTTCTACTCAAACTATAAAGCAGAGAAAACAAAACCCAACCCCCAAAAACTGTGTCAGTCCCTTGGTCTACACGTAAGCTCTGTGCCCTAATTTTGAAAGATTCTCAGAAACTATATATGCAGCTAATTTTGAAAGCTCTCTCTTCTACTCATCACTAATTTTATATACAGTAGTTTTTACCCTCATTGTTTCACCGTTACCTCGCGTCTCACCACTCTAAAGCAGCAGTATTTGTCGTTGGTTAAAATTAAACTAGCCACATGAACTCTGTGAACATCTCCGTCTGTCGGGCATTCATTTGTTGTTCCCCTTTGTCAGCAAGAGGAGTACAGTGGTGGGACACGCATACAATTTTTTGGAAGATATATTTATTTATTTTATCCTTTTTTTTATTGAAATAAATATTATTTCGATTTTCAAGTCAAGAATTTTACCATATTGATTTTTCGGCAAAGACTCAAAAGCGAGCTGAAATTATAACTGGAAAGTTTAAACGGATATCTTAGTTCCGATTTTGTCTTTTGTGAGGCGTCGCTTACGCCTACTATTATTATGAACTGTTAAAAAATCATATAACTAGCAGAATCATATGGTTTACTTTCTTTCTCTTTTCTTTTTTTTTTTTTTTTGATTAAGCCAACTATTCAGTTTTTTATTTTTGGCTTTGGAAAAAATGATGGGAAAAAAACAGTAAAAAGTAATTTTATTGAATTAAAATAATGTAAAATTATTAAGATATAAGAATGGTGATAATAATACTACCTTATAACTAACAATGATAGGTTAAAGATATCAAATACTCCACTTTGTAAGGTGGAAAAAGTCCAAAAAGGAGACTTTTCTATAACAAAAGGAATTGAGGCCTGTCACATAGCCCAAAGTTACTTCTCTATTAGTCCTTTTCCAAGTTTACCAAACACTACTACAGAATTTCTTCTCGATTTGACTGTCCCAGCAAAAATTTTGAACAATAATGTTATATATGCATCTCGTCTTCTATATGACATTTCAGATATAGAACTTTTGTATTCTATTATGATTTCCAATCAATTGGTTAACATCAACTGTCGTAAGATGAAATGCAATCGTGGTGATATGAATATTATTTTCAAAAAGTAAAGTAAAAATATAACTTTTTCTCATAATTTAGTTCTCATGAGTCATGAGTATGCATTTTAATTTCTTTTCAAGCTTTTCCATTGAGATTTTCAAAAAACACACAAAGAGTATCTGCCAGCGGGCCGAACAAGTTAAATAAGGAACAATATGTAGGCCCAGATGGCTTACAAGGGAACTAGCCCCGTAATAAATCGGAGAAACCGCCGTTCCGTTTGTTTCTCTATCGCTTACCTCCACAAACTTACAAAAACTAAAGACATGCTTTAACCTTATCAATTTCCTTTACGACACGTTGAATTTCAGAATCCCCTATTTTTTTAAACACTTGGGAGGGAATCCCCTACTTACTTCACACAAATCAGTAGAAAGATAGGACACTTCCCCAAACCTCACCTAACTCAGTTGGCCCAAAAGTTTTAAGCCCATCTAATTCTAACCTAGTCCAAACACATTACTCATATCTAATCGTCTTTTGGGCGACTTTACTGTTCTAGAGTCTGAACTTTGGGCCACTCTCATTGGGCTAACATGTGCCTAGGACCTGGGCTTTAAACAACTACAACTGCAAATGGACAGCTTACAAGCCGTCAACTTGCTTAATGAAGATAGCCCACACCGGTCATCTAGTAATGTACTACTAAGAGTTTGCAGACTCCTAAACCGGAATTGGATTGTAGAAATTTCTCACATCCAACGTCCCGGTAACGAACCGGCTGATTTAAATCAGCTTTTGCCTATGCCTCCGGAGTACACGTTTTGTCAATACTTCCGGATTCAATCCTAGGAGATTTTGATTTTCCTACTTCAGCTCACTCTGAGTTACTTTGTAATCTAGGCCTCGGGTTCCCCCGTCTATTAAAAAAAAAAAAAAGAGGAGTCCTCTTTTTCTTTTTTTTTTAAAAAATTTTCCAAATATGCTTGTGGTTCGATCCCCCTTTTTCCTTCCTTGCCCCGAAATTCTGACCTTTTTTTTCCTCAAAACACAAGAACACGTCCAAGTAGAGAAAACAGACCGAGCAGGTAAAGACGAAGAGTGTTTTCTTCCCCAAACCAACCCACCCCCGCACAAATTCATATTATGACCAGACTACCCTATGAAAAATAAAGATTCAATTTTTATCGGTTTCTACGATGCAGGATCTGACCAAATAAGAGGAGATTGTTGCTGGATTTATTGCAGTTTCGGAGCGCTCCCCACTCAGCAAAGATGAAGCTTTTAGGTTTTTTTTTTTGTAATTTAGATCTTCAGTTTTCACATAAAGAGAACTCATAGATGGCTTGCAATTTTTAGTTAGATTTTTAAGTTGGTTATTGAAATATATTGTACTCCCTTCGTTCCCTCCATTCTGAAAAATAAAAATAAGAATTCTTTTTGGGGTATCTGTGAATTGGTTATCATTGTTGTCCTGGTGCTTGCTTAGGATTTTTCATATCCTAAACCTAACATCAGTTTTTAAACCTAATTGAACTAATTGAAGTTAAAACAATGGGCAAAGTGTTGATCTTTAAGTGAAATTGGCGTTGTAAAAATATATGTTGGTAGGAATTGATTATAAAAGATTAAATTTTGCCACCAAACAACCCCATTCATTACACCCCCATTGATGCTGCATTCTCCATATCTTGGATATAAAAACAGATGGGCCATTCTTTTCCCTTCCAAGTTCAAATCAGCCACCATCCACCTGCTTAACCTTCAAATTTGCTTTGTCATCTTGTTGCCTTGGCAACCTCACCGGCCTGCCACCGCCAAGATTACTTCATTCTATGGCTTAGAGTTTTCAGGATGGAGAATGATTTTTTTTATTGTGAGTATCCTCCTTTATGTCCCTAGAACATTAACCTGAAACTCTTTGCAAATACTATTTTTTGTTTGTTTTTCGAGAACTGAGACATGCTTCGCATTTTTTCTCTTTTTGGTTTTTTGTTTGTTTGATTAAGAATCACATTCTTATCATTTTTTATTGGTTGTCTTTCTGGATCAACAGGTCTATATTATGCATCACTTTCATGGTGTTGAAGCTTACTACAATTCCTTGCTAATTACTAATCGAGAATAATAAGTAAGTGTTTTTGAACAATTGGTTTTGTTTTTACTTTTTAGAGGTGTCATGACATGGGATTCTGTTTCGTAACGAACAATACGGCATTAGTCATTGTCCAATAATATTTTGCTCTGTGTTTTGTAACACAGTACACATACCACTCTGAGGCTGCTTTTTGGAACTACAAAATCCTTTGAGATTCACACGGACATCAGAGCTAGAGAGATATTTGCAACAAGCGTTGTCTTCGCCTTGACGTAACCATCCAGGGTAGAAACAGCCCCTCGGGCGAAGCTGTGACCGATTCAATGAAACATTTTTCGCAGGAGAGAAATTTTGAGAATGTTTTTTTCGCAAACGAGTCTGGAAGGAATTTGGTGTGAAGACGGAAGAAGCTGTTTTATAAAAGGCGACAAAATGGACAGACAGACCAAAGTCAAGAGAGGCCCAATTCAAAGACCCAGATCCAGATGATTGTCATGATATGGGCTCTTCTGGAATCAATTCTACAAGTTAGAGGGTTTAGTTGCCGATAATAAAAGTCATTAATGCTGATTAGGTATTTATTGTGTATTTTTCCAATTTAGCAATTTTTTCATTCTGAGATGAGGGTAAAAATTACTGTAATGATTATAGAAAAGCAATAATTAGGCACTAATGAATAAAATTTGATTCCCTCTCTATTTTCTCTCTCCTCCAGTCGTAAAAGGTTTTCTTCTCCCTTTGCTTCTCTAACCCTCTGAAATCCGGCCAATTCACTCCAGCCTTTCACCTCGGACAGAGCTCCGGTCGGAGAATTTAGAGCTGAATAATTTTCTAGCAATGACGCTCAACTTGCAAAGATCAAGGAACAATTGAAGATCTTGATCGCTAATTCTGAAGCGCGAAATGGGATCTTGAATACTCCGACGATAGAGAGAAAATAGCAGCACCATGCCACCATTTGGGGGTTAATTTAACTCGGCAAGATGAACAATAATTTTGTTGTCACAAAACCCGTCCAGCCTTTATGGAAATAAAAATTTGGCATGTGTGATTTCACATGGCATTTTAATTTGAAAAGTGGGCAACCAACAATTGGGCCTTATTTTTTGGACATGAGATACAAACTGAAATAATTTTGTAATAAAACTGTTGTCCAAACAAATCGAAATTTAGGATGATTAGATTGTTAAAAATAAATCTCTATTTATAAGTGAAGAATTGTTCCATTTATTCTCTTAAAATAAATTGTTCCATCAAAACCAAAAAATTTTATTCATGAACTTAATCTAACAATTAAATAAATATGAACGTTTATCCCCTTACATATCATCAATACTGATTCATGAATACGAATTTAGTTCTTTCGAATTAATATGAAAAACTCTTTGTCTACTTGGAAAATAAATATCGATAAGTGTATAATTCGTGTTGATCAGTCCAATGTAGTCACGAGCACAAAGCCTTCACACCTTCCATCTAGATTCCGCTTTCAGTTTCCAATTAGTGAAAAACCAAATTTCTCATTCAGATAGTTCAAATTCCAACATAAGTTGATTGGTATACTTTTTAATAAAATAAAAAAATAAATTACAGTCATAAAACCATAGAGCATTGCCATGGGAAACTAGAGCACATTGTGTGCTCACTTCCAAATCCAAAAAAGAATGTGTGTAAAAGGGGGAAAATGGATATTGATTCTTCGTCACATATGAAAAATACAAACTAAATTTTCAGTACATGAGACTAACTACATAGTTTTGATGATCGATTCTCGCAAACTTATGGTTTTTTTGTGATTATTGTCTAGCATTTGCCCTATCCATTTTTGCCCCCTTTAACTTAAAGTTGGCGGCTTTCATTTTATTATTCATTTCCATTTCTTTGTTTCCAACTATTTGACTTGGACCATTTTTCTGAGTTTGCGATTCCTGGGAATTAATTAATTTACATCATCATAGGATGTCTCATTGCAGCAAGTGATACTCATCATCATCTTCGGAATCAAGTTTGGAAGAAGGGCCACAAAACATTCCACCCCAACGTGGAAAGTAGATGAGGGTAATCGGAAGAGTCGAGGCAAGCATCATGAACCCCATCAGTGAAATACTTGTTTGGGTTGAGAGTTCCGTCGATCCCGAAAACAGTAGCAACTGAGTGATCACTGCCCCTAACGTCCCTCCACTTCCCGTCAATCCTGATATTACTCCCAGATATCTGCAACCAAGAAAGTGTTATTTATGGTGCGACACCAATTTGAACAAAATTCAATTTTAATTTGTGTCTTATATTCCCTCTGTTTCAAAATTAGTGTCTAATTTTTATTTTTATTTTTAGTTTAATTTATAATTGTAGAAATGAGAATCCAAAGTGGACAGTAATTTGAGCACGGAGGAGTAAATGTTATTACGTTGAAGTAAAACTAAGTAAAAAAAAAAAAAAAGAGTATGTTTCAACGAATTTGATGATGATTACTACCTTTTGGAAACGAATGGGACGACACCAAAAGTAAGGCCTGAAGAGGCCTGAACGAACAACGAGAAGCAGCACATCACCAAAATGGAGGCCCATAGAGAATTCACAAGCCCGAGTACCACACAGAGGATACCGGCCACAGTTTGAGCCGCCCACAAACTCCAGAGCCGGCCTCTCATCCCAAACTTCTTCCCCATCAGATCAGAAACCACCCCACCGGCGGGCCTGGACACCAAATTCGCCAGCCCGAAGCTCGCCGCGATTGCACCGGCGGTCTGAACGTCCAAATGAAACCTGTCATAAAAATACTGAGCGACGATATTGTCAGTCGTCAATTCAACTCCGAAAGAAAACCCATAAACCATGCCCAACATCCATCCTCTGTAATCTCTTAGCCCGTTAAAAAGAATGCTGAAACACCCGATTTGATCGGGTTTTTTCTCCGTGTTGGCAATGCCTCTTCTCCTGAAACTTCCATCCGGCGAGTCCTGGCCGAATACAAGCACCATGATTGCCGTTATAACCTGGAAGATCGCCGGCAAAACGAAGGTCATCCGCCAGGCGGTTGACGACGTCATGCCGGCGCTGAGGAAACGGGAGTATATCATGGGCATGACGATCTGGGTGACTCCGGCGCCGACATTGGCCCAGCCGGCGGCGACGCCGTTGGCGAGGCCGACGACGCAGCCGGAGAACATGGAGCTCATCCAGAACTGGTTTGCGACGAAGTTGGCGAGAGAGAATCCGATTAGGAATCGGACGACGATAAACCCCTGAGGGGTTGAGACTAATGACATGGAGAGGATGACGGGAGCGGTGAGGAGGGAAAGAATGGTGGAGGCGAGGCGGGGCCCGAAGAGGTCGCAAGCGGGCCCCATTGTGAGGCGGGACAAGATGGAACCGATGAAGGCGGCGATTCCGGCGGTTCCGATGTCGGAAGGGCTGAGGTTGAGATCCTCCCTGATGATGGGGAGCAACGGAGGGATGGAGAAAGTGGAGAAGTAGCAAGCGAAGAGGGATAGCCATGCCAGGTGGAAGGCCCGCATGTGAGGCGAAGATAATGTGAATGGCCGAAATTCGGTGGCCTTATGATCACAATCTAATGCCAATTTGTGAGATTTGATTCGAGGGGATTTGGACGGATTCTGGTGCAGTTTTTCTTCCATGTCGGTTGCTGCTGTTGGTGTTGTTGTTGTTGTATTGGTTGTAGGCAACAAGAAACTAATCTTCTTGGTCATTATTTAATGTTGCTAATTTCTCACACTGTAGTTATGTTGTTTAATTAGCTCTCCTGTGGTGTGGGAAAAATTGTGCGGCTATGGATGAATGTCGCTTGGAAGGCAGGAAGCTAGAGGGTATGTTTCCAAGATGGGGCGGATCGGTACTATGATATAGTGTGGGAGATTTCGTGCATTATGCATATCCCGACGAAAATTTTTTGTTTTGCTGATCTCTGATAATTTGACTGCTAGTAATGATAGTTTTGATGCTTTTAATTCTGGCCACGCACTTGAGGTTAATATTTAATATTACCTCCGTCTCCAAAAAATAGTCCACTTTGAGTTTTCAAATTTATATTAAAAATTATACAAAACTTAAAACTCAATGTGGACTATTTTTGTGGGACGGATGGAGTAGTACTCATCAGTTATATCATCGTATCAACTCCATTTTTTTAAATTTTATTTCTAGTACGTAATAATTATACTTCAATTGAAAATTAAAACAAAACAATCATTTCAAAACAGAGGAAATACTTAAATGTATGTATAGGGAATAATGGGATTAACAAAGTAAACCATCAAAGCGAGAAGTTTGTGTTTAAAATTAAGGTTTGTAGTGTATGTACATATTTGTGAAATAATGGTGTACGAATGTACGTATAGAAATTGTCCGGTAAAATACCGAATGACGCTTGGAAGGCTGGAAAAGAGTGTGTTTGGTCTTTGGAGAAGGAAGAGGCGGTTCGATTCTACTAGGAAATGGTGCAGGAGTTTACGTGCATGATGCAACATAGGTACGGTTTATTTTAAGTTTATTTGTTGAATAGTTGTGACTAGTGTGATAGTGACATCGATGCTTTCTGGCCAATGGAATTAACACACACAAAATCTCAGCAGATTAACCATAATTACTTGAGGTGTCCCCTTGGGACTACCCATAATTACATTGTAATATATCTCCGATTGGTCGTATTCCATTTCTGAGAATATATGATTGATGAGAAGCAATTAGCCGATTACTACAGGTAATAACCAACCAGTAAATTGAGGGATTATTATACTCCATCCACCTACACAAGATGTATACAGCTTATAAGAAAATATAAATATTTATTTAGTAGAGTTTTTTTTTTTCTTAAAGAGATTTGTATACAACCCCATTCACATTAATCCGGATAATAATCGTAATCTAATATGAGACGTGTACTCTGTGTATTGTGATTATTATTAATTGTTACAATTTTGGTTCAACCGTAGACAATAATCATCATAACTACAAGTTGGTTTTGTTGAATATGCACGAAGTGTTTCGATACGCATCTGATGCAGTACAAAAAGAAACCCCCGTTAGCAGTAAAACGCAATTTCGGCTATAGCCTCAAATCCAATTACAGGTGGAGAAAAACTTAATCAAGGAAGAGGGAAAAATCTACGGTACAGCGACTGTACCTATTTTTTCAGTGCAACAACACTTCTACTCCATACTTAAAACATCATGGTCCCTAATTTTTTTTTGGCTAATTTTCTCAGTAAAATTATATTTTTGCCCATCTTTTGTCTCTGTCTGTAGAATCCTACGTGGTACACTCACTGTACACTAAATTTACTCAAGGAAGAGGCATCTTGACAGTTGACATTTGTTCGCTCGGTTATTAATTTATCGGTTATAATTTTACTCAGAAATTTACAAGAATGTAACATGTGTATATCTCGAATTATATAGATTATTCTTTTCTCTCTTTTATACCGTTTAAATTAATGCACACTCTTCACGTGAAATGATTGTCTAGTTTAAAATTTTATTTTTAATATAATTTATATTAAAAGTAAAAATTCAGATCGGACAATTGATTCGGAATGGAAGAAGTAATAATTTTTTGGGATTTTCTTTTTCAGATAAGAAACTAATTAAAAAATAAAAGGTTATTCGGGACCAAAGAGGTCAGTTGTGATTTGTGATGTCCTCAACGTTCATTATTTGGGTTTTAGCGGGGTGACTTGGTCGTCGTTATTCCATTACCACAAGTCTTAAACAGAGTACTAGTGAAGAAAAACTTTAAATGAAGAGTGACGAATATTATGTCAAAATCAGTTATATGATAGAAAAACACTAACAATTTTTTTTTAAAAAAGGAAATTTCCCATGAGTTAGGGTCTCCATTCTAATGATAGCATTTTTTGGGAACGAGAATGCAAAAATCCTCGTCAATAAAAAGTAAAAGAAAAGGAGAGGGAGCAAGAAGACAACCTACTCTTTTGGTTGATGGCATCCAAACTTTATTAATTAAGAATATAAAATGACACCAATTACACCAGATTTTCAGTGCAAAAAGATTAACCGAGCACTCTTCTTCGTTTGGCTAAAAGTTTTTTTATTAAAAAAATATTACTTAATAATTTTTCAAGTCATCCTTCCAAGAAAAACGGTTAAATTGGTACAAATATAATATTTTGGCCATGATATTTAATCATTGCGCATTAGGAACGTTTTTAAGGGGATATACTAAGCTACTTATTATCATGTACCCCAAGATTTTGTTGACAATTCTAGTTATTCTCTCCAACCGTCGAAGGCTTCGATGTATCCTGCAGCATAATGGCATCATTTGAAGGGTGCTTTGTTTATTTTGTTTGTTCCTCCGTTGAAAGGACTATGATTGTGAAACAAAAAGAACCACAACAAAATTGGGCATGATCTAATCCACCATTATGTTATTTGTAAAATTTTGTTGCCGACGTTTAGTTCGTTTTCAGTAATCAATTGATTTTAGTTATGCTAGATTACGGGCGTCGTATAGAACGAGTATAGAAATACCAATTAATAGATCGAATTCGAGTGCAAAGGCATGGAAATTCTGGTCCCAACGCCTATTGCCCATCCAGAGTCCAGACAGTTAGAAAAAGGGGGAAAAATGATGAAACTCTGGAGTAGTATATTATGGATCGCTACCGGCTATTTAGAATTATTCACATTCACATTGATGGTAATCGAGATTTTAACAAGATACTTAAGTCTAAGAATACAATAAATACTTGCAAGATAATCAAGAAACGTAATTTATTGAAAGAAGTTTAAGTTCACACACATCATGCCTAGTTTCCAAATGTCAAATGGAATTGCTACTTGTTTTGGGCTATGATAATTGACTGAAATTATCCCATTAGTTTCCATCATGAAGCTATAAAACCTTTTTAAGTTCATTATTTCGCGGCCGACTAAGATAAATTTTGTCCCCAAAACGTCTCAAAGTGAGCTACATAGTAAGAAGAAAACGTAAAAAGAGAGCTTCATAGTAAGTAGTAACTGTAGTAATATGATTCGTTGTTACAATTTACTACTCATTCTATAGAATTATATAATGTTGTTAATAATAAACAAAATAAAACTTACGAGGTATAGAAAATTTGAAATTATTTAATTTTTTATTGTTGTATAATAAAAATTAGGTTCTTGATTTCCTCTGGCCGTCTTTGTGTATCGTATAAAATAAAATTCTTTAAAAGTGAGAAAAAATTTGTGTAAACATTTCATACTTGTCGTGGGGAGGAACATGCTACATTAGTACGTGTCACATATATGGCGAAGACCTGACGTTCATAAAGACATCATAATGTCATTCAATTCGGTGGTATTCTCTCCATTTGGTTTTGGGCCAATCCATCACCAACCATCACCACCATCACTGCCTGATTTTTAAGCCCAGCTCCGCCATAAGTTTTCTTAAACTTCAGAAGAGGTTTTATTTTAATTTCGTCCTTGTAAACGAACTTGGAAGATATCTTGGTGGTCCAATTATCCATGAAAAGGTCACCCAACACACTTACAGTAAGGTCATTAACAAAATTTAGAGTAGAGTGAACCATTGAAATACACATAGGCTTTCAATGGCGGAAAGACTAACGCTCTCAATCAATTTTAGCGGCAGTCCCAAATTATACCATGCAATCCACCATGCTCCAAAAAGGTACGGTAAATCAGATTGATAAAATCAGAAGAAAATTTCTTTGGGGCGTATCACAAGTCGAAAAAAAAAATGAGTTTGGTTAATTGGGAAACAGTTTGTCAACCCAAGAAAAGAGGCGGCTCAGCCCTCCGTAAACTCGGGGATGTTAACACAGTTTTTCCTATTTAAACATGCTTGGAGTCTTATAGCTAATGAGGGAATCCTTTGGCATACGATACTCAAAGCCAAGTACGGCTTACCAAGCAACAGAATCCCTCCAAACATTGACAGGACCAATTGCTCAATTTTATGGAGGCACATTGCAGCAATATGGCCTACCGCACTCCATGGTATTCATTGGACAGTCGGAGACGGTAAAACGATCCGTTTCTGGACCGACAATTGGCTAGATTTACAGGAACCTCTCTCATCTTTCTCTTTACTCCCACTCTCGCCTGCTAACAGTCAAAAGACACTTAACCATTTTGTTAATTCTCAGGGAATCTGGAAATGGAATCAGCTCCACGATTCTTTACCGCAAAACATCCTCGAAATCATTAGAGCCATTCCCCCTCCAATGATGTTCTTGGAAAAGATTTACCATCCTGAAGATGGTCAAAAAGTAGAAATTTCACCACCTCATCGTCCCATGTTGTATTAGTAGGAAATAGATGGCCAAATAAAAATCTCAAATGGAATCTCATCAGGAAATGGCCTGGTCCCGAAAGGATCAGGACCTTTCTGTGGCTGTTGTTTGGAGAAGCTCTGATGACTAACTCAGAACGTTTACGCCACAATATCACCAATGATGGCAGCTGTCTTCGTTGCGGCCAGCCGGAAACTTTTTTTTCATACTTTTAGAGACTGTTTTAGAGCCAAAGAATTATGGCAAAGTTGTTGTCCTAACCTGGATGACAACTTTTGGCTTAGTTCTAATTGGCATGATTGGATCTTTTCTAATCTAAACTCTTCTATCTGATGCAGTGGAATGGAAGCTCATTTTTGGCGCGTCATGCTAGAAATTATGGAAGACCAGAAATGAGGAAACCTTCGGCGTCTCCACCATCTCTCAATCTGAACTTAGGAACTCAACTCGGGCCTTGATTAGAGAAATAGTCAGATCAAATGGGATCTTTGCTCAGCCAACAAGAACCAGGGAACCAACAAACTCATACCTGCCATGGTCACTCCTTCAATGGGAATGGGTCAAAATAAATACAGACGGAGCCCAAACACATCTCCAAAAAAGGCAGCTGTAGGCGGCCTCATCTGTAACCATGAAGGCCTCTGGATAACGGGATTCATGGCCAATCTAGGCAACTGCAGCTCACTAGAAGCAGA